AACCGCCAGACGTCTCCGGCTTCATTTGTCCATCGCCGTGCCAGCAGGATCATCCCCTCCACCTTCTTGCTCCGCCTGCTCGATGGCCTTCGCCGCACTGGGATCGGCCACGCTGCCAAAATAGTTGCCCGTGGGCTCGATCTCCACCACGCGCTCCACGTCGTCCAGCTTCGGTGGTGCTGGCACCGTTATCATCAGTATACCGTCCGCGGAGAAGGTGGCCCTCGCCTGGGTGGCGTCGTAGTGCCGCGGAAGCTTGTAGGATCGGGTGAACTCCCGGGTGATGCACAGCTGGCCCTTCTCCGCCCGGTCGTCCGCCTGCTTGCCCTCCACACACACGGTGTCGCTGTTCTTGGCCTTAACGGTCAGCTCGCCGATTTGAAAGTGGTGGACGTCCAGAACCACCTTGAAGGTGCCCCGTCCCAGGGAGTCCGGCTCGGTCCCAGTCTCAATCACCACCCGCCCTACCAGGCAGGACCCGTGGCACCAGGCACTGTCGTCCATCCGCAGATGAAAATCCCGGGCGCAAACGTCCAGCTCATGGGAGAGGTAGTAGCGACGCTGCCGACACTTGGGCTCTCCCGTAGACCAGTGGCGCCGCGGGGGCCAGTGGTAGTGCGCCCCCACATGCTCGTGCTCGTGCTCCCAGTCCCAGTCCCAGTGGATGGGCATGGTTTACGATCCAGACTAGGTCCGATCCTATCCGATCCGATTCGTTGGACCCGGAGCAAGCGTGTTGATTTTTGGCTAAGATGGCCAAAAAAACCGTTGCCCTCTGCCCGGTTCGACTCTTACTAGCTAACTGAGGGCCAACTGAGGGTTAATGGTATGGTAATCCGCAATCCGCAATAGTCGGAGCTGCACAACTGTACCTGGCACCGCTGCCACTGTAACTGAACTATTTTTGCAATGCCTTCAATGCCGTGCATAAATACAGGTGTAAATAGACAGGTGGTACTAGGTAAGTAACTATCAGGGGAACTTCAAATAAATCTATTAAAGTAAGTTACGTTTTACTTATTTAAGTCAAAAAAATTGTAAATAAAATAATAAAGACTCTTCAGGGTGTTATTTCCTTCCAATTGAGTCTCTACTGTATCCCTTTCTATTAAACCAACACGCATAGTCGCTAAAGTGGGACTCAGCCTTGTCCGACAACCCAAACCGTTTGATCAATACCCGTCCCAGCAACCATCCAATCAGTTGGAGCTGAAGTCTCTTCCGTTCTCCGAACTCCGTTTATTGCACAAATGGCGCCAAGCAGCCGGAATTGTCCAAAAGACGACTACTAAAGGGCTAAGAAGGACCAACAACAAAACACACTGCACACCCAAGTCGAGCCAGTTATGAGATAATGCCAAAATTTTGAAACCCACCAACTACTGGTCACGGAATGGCGTTGGTGCCACTAATTGTGGCATTGTTGTCACTCCACAGCAGAAGGGCAGCAAAAGGAACACAGAGTTGAGAAAGGGCAGATGCATTGTGGCAAATGAAACTAATGAAAATCGTGACCCCCACATTGAAAATCTGAGGCACTGAAGAAAAAACTATCTCAGAGATACTACAGATTTTTTTCTACAGAGCTCTACCTACAATATACAGTATTGTATCTGTATACAATATATGCTGTGTAGTATCCTTCTTTGGAAAGAAATATTACGACAGTAAACACATTCAGTTTATAGTTTCTGACGAAAGTATCTAACATTTTGAGGATTAAATTTCTTGTGTAATCCTTTTTTGGGAGTCCTGCCCCCTCTATACTCGATAGAAGTATTGCACTCATCGTAGACAACGACAACGTTGCGTTGTCAAGAAATTTGTTGGCTCTTTGTTGCTGTTGGTGTTGCCTCTGCTATTTTGTATTACTGTTGCCCCGGGTTTGAGCCAATTTGTAAAATATATACGAAATATATTTTACTTATGTCTCGTGCTGGGGTCAGGCAATTTGGCTGCTTGGCTACATGGCTTCATGGCTTCTTGGCTGCATGGTTAGATGGCTGCTGAAATTGAATTTTTTCTCTGGCTTTTAAGCAAGTTTGACAAATTTTCAGAACCCGGCCAAAAGTGACTGCTGCAACAGTTTCGTTTGGCTATGGCTTTGGCTTTCGCCAAAGTCTTGTTCTTGGCCCGGATCGGATGGAGGGCAGAGGAGTTGAAATTGCATTGACAGGCAGTCAGGCCCTTCCACTTCATAGCGCTGAGACAAATATAGATTACGCAAGTGCTTAAGGTTGAGCTAATATTGGCTACGAGTTTCAATTCCCCCTTTAAAAGGTCAATTGGTTTGCTTTCGTTTCAATCTTTTACATAACACATTTAAGCCAAAGACGTCAGCCAGTTGTTGTGGAAAATTAACATTCCCTACCTGAAGGAATTAGCAACTATTTGTTATATATCGATTTTCTGATTTGAGTAAAAGTGCTCTTTAAAGGCGAAGCTGGTTTCAGTTTCTTTCAGACTTCATATCGGTACGGTATTACTTATTTAAAACAAAAAACAGTGAAAAAATCTATAAAGGACCCGCAGTGAATCAAGAAAGTGAGCCCCAAACCGCACCAGAAGATTCTGTAATAGAGATTGAATGGAAGGAATTGGCGACCCAGCACTAATAATAATAGCATTAGTACCGGTGTAGCACTTAATCAGCGGTGCACATCCGGCACCAGGGTGACCTTGGCCCTCCTCGTCCCTTATCCTTCAGGCCCACATTGCCAAAGGACAGAGGATTAGGGGCGCAATTAATGACCGAACCCCGGTGGCAGACATAGATTATTTTACACACATGTGTCCTTGGCTGACAACGCGACTGGGAATGCTGTGAACGCCAAGGCATGTTAATCACAGGCCCCGACCTGGAAGCCTCGGAGTCCTGTTGGCTCAGGTTCCGGCCCAGGATGTGGCAGGATCTTTGGAAGCCAGCTTGGGGATGCGTTAGCGCCGTGATTGGAAAATAATTGCATTCATTAAGTGGGTTATGGCCTGGGCCCGATAAACATCTGCTAACTGGGTCAATATTGGGCGACTGGCAATCGAACGCCTTTGAAAAGGATTCTTGAATTTAACAAGGAAATTATACAGGAAGTACTACATTTTTCTAAGATAGATTCCCCCACAGAACCTCATCTTAGTGGCCCTGTTTCGATAATAAATTACTGTTCCCTAGGGTGAAATCAAGCATTAAAAATTCACTTACTTCCGGTTATTTTAGTACGCAAAAGTAAAGTCATCGGACGGATTTAATGTGTAGTCGTTTGTATAATGCAAAGTTGGTAAATGTCCAAATGAATGACTTCGCTCACTTCACTTTAGTTAAAATATTTACTAATACTTCCATCTACCAGCCCGGTTGCCCGGATGCCTGGGGAAACATGTGTTTGCGGCTTTTGTACAGCAGTCATTTTTTACACATCAGTGCGTCTAAGTGGGGCATGCCACGTGTAGGGGCATGCTACTGCTGCAAACAGTCTTTCCCCACATATGTATGTTGATATTGAATACATACAAATATGCATAAAAGTAATCATAAGTTCGGACCAAAACGAACTGGCCATGAAAGGGTCCGAGAAACAGGAAACGTAAAGGAGAAACTGGACTGGTGAATTGTTTTTAGGAAGACCATTTGGGGAGCTCATAGTTGGCTTCACAGGATAACAAATACGCCCAGAATAGATTTGGCCATCGATTTGGCCACCCACTAGAATGGGGGAGGTGCCCTTTCATTTATTTATTTGAAAGGTAGTATGTAGTATACAGATGAGCAAACTTTGATTCGGACATAAAATAAAAATAGAACTCAACGTTACTGATAGAATAACATGCGATATGTAACCCGATTACACGAAGCGTAAATACCATATATATATTCAAAAATCTTTTTATGAATCCGAGTGTAAGGTAATTCATTTGGACAATTTTTGTAAGGTCTTTGGGTTCTAATTGATGCGGACTAATCGATTAGGAAATTATTTATTTAAAAGATATATACTTTTCTAATTTTAAATGAATGGAAAAACAAACTCCTTTATTATCCCCCTTTCATTTAAGTTTCTTAAAGTCTTCTTTGGAATCCTTTCTCTTTTAGAATTTCTCACAAAATGGACTCTGGCACAAAACTGAGTCAAAGGACCTACATATAATGCATTCCTGCCAAGGCTTAAATTTTTGTTAATGAATTGCAAATTCTATCGGCCTTGGAGCCGCCCTGTGCCACATTCCCCGACATTTAGAGGGCCTCCATGCCACCCTAAGCCACGCCATGCCACCCATTTAAAGTTTGAGCTTTGTGGCGAATTGTCAAGGCGACATAGTCGAGGTGGTGGAAGGGCTAAGCTCCTCATAACCCCTGCCAAGTCGTCCAAGTAACAGCCCCTCGTTAGTTACGGCCATATGCTTTTTATGTAATACACCCTACACCCTGGGTACACCCACGCACATGCACATGCCCTGAATGCGAGGGGTGAATGCCATGCCATTCGTATATGTTGGCCACACATGTGTTCCGGCTGCCTCACACTGTTGGATTTATGATCAATCATTCCGGCTAGGCTTACTGCGGTTAGGTTTTCGGCCTAGCCTGGTCCTGGCCAGAACTGAGACGTCCTGCTCCTCCTCCGCCAGGAACTGACTGACTGAGACTGCGACTGGGTCGGTCGTCTACGACTGACAAATCTTTATCTTTGGCCTGACTTATTTATCCTTTTTGGCCGTTTCATTTTTATTCTGCCTGGCATTTTTATGTCATGTTTATTGATGTGTAAAAGTCATAAAGTCAAATTGAACACTTGTGCTTGTGTCCCGAGTGTGGCAGGAGCTGGAGCCACAGATTTTTCCCAATTTCTTCAAGTTGGATACTATTTTATTAAAACCCAATGGATCAGAGGGGAAAAGATGCTTTCTCAATGGGTTTTATGGGTTGTGTTTTAGTTTTTTAGTTAAGCTGGGGACGCCAGATAAGCAGCTGGTGGTACTTCTTGCCACAAAGATAGTTCACTCACCTCGTTGCCTTGCTGGCGTTCACCACAGCGCCGTCCTTAAACCACTGGAACTGCATTCGGGATGATCCTTGGGCGGTGCAGGATATGATGAACTCGCTGGCCTCGCGCACACCCGCTTGCGGTTGATTGACACTCAGGTCCTGCGAAAGGAAACACAATGTTACGCTAATTAGACACTGGACAGCTGTGGGTTTTGGTTACGGGTTTCATGATTCGAAATGGAGGTTTTGGAATTGGAGTACTGATGGGATACTGAGTCCTGAGTACTCAGGAAGTTTAACCGTCAAACTGGGAAACCCCTGAGGTCGGGGCGGCTTGTTCGTCCTGTTAATGCCACGTAATTGCAGGTCGCCAGCCTGATGAGGCCAATTGTTCGGTGGAGCATGCCGCAATTAATAAATAATTATTTTGCGATCCCGGGCCGAGTGTCAAGTGCCACACTGTTGACATATTTATGTGCATATTTATTAACATGGCACTTTGCCACATTTGCCAATTACAACAATAGTCCGAGTGCCAGTGTAGTGGCCGCACTTTCATTGGCTCGGTTTTTGTTTTTTGCGCCTCAACACGTGCGCCTTCAATAGTTAATAAATTATTGTTTAATATGGATCGGAAATGGAACGAATTCCATCTATATAATGCGTTAAAGCCAGTATATTTATTATGCTTTTAATAGCCGGGCCCGGCCATCCTGTCTCGGATGCGAATTAATGAAAATACCATTCGATGAAAATCAATGATGGAATGCCTCCAATTGATGGATGTACCAGGGCCAGCACCGGGCAGGCCAGAGCAGTGAGTCAAAAGGAGTGGCTAGGACGATGAATTTAAAATTTATATTTATTCTTGGCCCCAGCGGGGGCGTTTTCAAAAGATATCTCCCGTTGGCTGGGAGAAAGAGCTTTACAAATGTCTGAATGTAAGGGGGGAGAACCTTGTCCCTCCTCCCAATCAAGTCTCCTATTCATTGGCCGGACAAATTGGCAATGTTTTGTGCAAAAAGAGATGGATTAATGCTTTTAACTGATAAATTAAGCTTTTCACTGGCCACTCACCAGCAAACTCAGCGGTGGGTTCTCGTCAAAGTGATGAAAATTGGCAACCAGCGTAAAGTTCCCAATCCTTCCCCGCTCCACCATCCGGGTGATGGCCTCCCGGATCCGCTGGGAATCGCCTTTGACGCCGAAAAAGTGAAAGGTGATATCCAGGCGATCGGTGGTGTTGGAAATCAGTTCAAGATCGCTGATTTTTGTGATGTTAAAGTTCCGCAAGACGCGACCCAACTGAAATGGAAAGATGTTTCAAATGTTTACTATTTTTACTATTTTATTACAATTAGAGAAAATCCTTTCGGGACTGTGCCCCAAAAATGTTCCAGTTCGCAGCACATTACCCTTTATGGTCCATCTACCTTTGTTAGTAAGCCAACGCGTCCCGCACACTTTTTCATAATTTGAAATTAATGATAATATATTCTACCCGAAAAATAGCACCACTGGGCTTTAGGAACACATCGGCTAGATACCAAGTTGGAGCATAAAAATATGCTCTGTTCGGCCAAGTCACCTGAAGTTCTGGCTCTGGAGAGCGCTTAAAGTGTGGTTACCTAATCTTGGTGGTTCACCTTTTTTCTACCTTCTTATGGGTTTGGCTTTAAGCTTCGGGCCAAGCAGCTGTTGGTCCTGTCGAAATTGGCCATAAAGGACATTTTCGTCTGGTTGGTTTTTCGGGCTGCAGCCCACCGCTGCAGGACTCAACTTGTGGCCATACCCCATAAGGCTTATCCTTGTTTAAATGATAATGCATTATGCCGAAGCCGTTTGGTTTTGTTGCTCATTGTTGGTCCACCTAAGTCCTAATACGGCGGTTAGTTGCTTTGTTGTCTAAAAGTTTTAGCCAACTTTTTCAACCAACCGGCAATGGCTTCTGTTTTTCTGTTTTTCAGCCAGCCAAACAAAAAGCTTTAAGGTTTAAAAACCTTTCTAGCAACTCAATTATTAGATGGCCCGCAAATAGGGCCCGCACAGACATAACCAATTAGCGCTTTTAATTAAGATGGCATTAAACTTTTACAATAGTGCGGGAAAAATGAAGGGGAAACTCCCTCGAGGATGTGGCATGCCATGAAATCAAAGCTGACAGGAAAAGTCCTTTGGAGCTGGTCACTATGGCGCACTTATTGGAACTTATTTTCGTTACCCTTTCGGTCGGCACAACCTTGGTCGCCTAGCACTTGAGTTGGCATTTTTTTTTCTAGACCCACTCCGTTGTGTTATAATTTCTTGGTAAACTAATTCCCAGATTCGTGGCCTAATTAGTGAGTTTCGGGCCGTGCAACTTATACAAATTAGGGGCATTGTTTGGCGCAAATGCGAAATACTCAACAATAGCTGGCAAACCCAGGGACCCGAGCCCACTAAAATCCGGCCATGAAGTGGAAAGCAAAGCCTGAAACCCAAACCGAATCTCCGGCTTGGCACTCTCCATAAGTGGCCGCCACTGCCGCCTCGTCATTCCGGCGAAAACTTTGCCCAAGTTGTGTAAATATATAGTTACGGAATTAATCAGAAAAGTGCGCACAAAAACGAAGCCGCCAAGAAAAAGAATAAATATTTTCGGTTAATATAAAAGAATTTCGCCCCCACCCCCAGCCACCACTCAACATAACCCATTCCTTGGTCCCTTCCCTCCATATACATACTTTTTTTTTTATATATTTTGTTTCTTACTTTTTAATAAATATGCCGCAGAATGAAAGATGGCAAGTGGTAAGAAAAAAAGTGCAACAGTATACGAGGCTGCAAAGTGGCTTCGGTTGTTTGGCTTGAAAGTTCCTAAGAGGCTTGTGGGGAACGGGTGAACGGGTCCTGGGTGTCCTGGGTACAGGATTCTGGGCCATGCGGACCGAGAGGACCAAAGGAACGAAGACCGAAAAGCCAGTAACAAGAAGAGTAGGCCGTTTGTTTTGGGCCTGCTGTGACAAAAATAATACAAGAAACACAAAAAAAGGGGCAAGTTTTTTAAGTAACAGTGTGGCAAACAAAAAAGCAAATGTTTGTGAAAAAAGTTACTTATTCCTGCCGGGGAACGGGTGTCCGGAAAATGTCAACCGACGTATTCAAATATTGATCAACTTGAGAAGAACCTTTATGGTCTGCTTGCCCAAAAATAATTTCACGAATTTAAAATTAAATGCCACAAAAGCATTTATTGTTTTTATAGGAAGTCGGATGAAAAATATAATAATAATGTTGCCTGTTAAGTTAAAACATGTTCACGCTTAGAGACATATGTTAGTACATATAAAAACATGAATTTTGAGAAAAAAAAACATGTGTTTTAAAAACATGTTATTTTTATGTAAATAGCAAATAACATGATAGAACGATTAAAGCCATATTACTTTTAGACTTTTAGGCATTTATTTTTGAGTGTAGAGTTTTATATATTGTTGTGGCATAAAAAAGAAGATACGTTTCCTTGCCAGCATGTCCTTGAGCCAGCTCAAGCAGGGAAGTGCATTTGCAGTTTGCCGACGTGCCTCGAGTGGCACTGTGATTTCATTGGAGAGCAAAAATCGCAGCTCCATTAAATCTCAGGCCCTTATTCGTTTACACTTTCACTCCGGCCCAGGCTCTCGCTCTCGACCAGATCCAGCTGCCAGGAGCACTGGGTATTAACCCAGGCTCGGCATTCCACCAGGCAAGAGCTCCTTGCTCCTTGTTGTTTAATCACACTCGCATCGCATTTTTATCTCGACTCGATGCTAATGGCATTTTAATTTCGAGAGCAAATATCCTTAAAGGAGGCTGCAGGCTCGCAGGCTCCCAGTTTCTACCTGGTATTGATACAGAATATAAACTAACAAGGAGGGAAGTGGATGTCGGGTTGGATGCGCTTTAATTAAGAAATTGTTGCATTAATCTGAAGTCCATCAGCATGCCCGAGAAGTTGGCAACGCTTTAGGAAAATGAAAACAAAACGGGAAACTACTTATAGAAAGCACAGCCTTCAGTGCCCATTTACGGCTACCTTGTCGGAAAGTTGGAGGAGCAACTCCGGAGAGAAAGTTGCAGAGATGCTAATGCAGTGACTGAATATAAAAGTCGAAGGGATAATGGGATGTTGTTGCTGGCAGTGTGGCAGGGTGTATCCTTTCAGAGCCTGCTTATGCAAAACAAAACGCTCTCTTTTTCGCAGTTTCCTAGAGTTTAAAATGCACTCACAGCAGATATACATAGGCGTTGGCAAGTTCTCAGCCAAGTTGGTTTGCCAAGTTTTTGGCCAACAGAATTTAAATTAATGTCTCAGCCTCTGACATAGTCACAGTTTCCATCTCCAGTCACCAGTCTTGGCCGGGCCATTACAATTTGTTAGCTAAACGGGCCACTTTTTTTTGGTTGGTAGGTTGGTCTTATCGTTTTGCCGGCTCAACCGACCGCCAGGACAGCCGTTGACAGGATGCCCGGAGTTGTCTTCCTAATCGTTGTGCCGACGGCGAATTTTGAACGTGAGCTGATTTACGGTAAGTAGCGGGGGCTACAAGGGGTATACTGTATCCCACCCATCCACCTAGTCCAAATTGAATAAGCACCTGTGCCTAATTAAATACAAACTTGCAATTTTGTTTACACGAAACTGTAGCATTAATCTAGGCGTCGGCAAACCAACACCACCACACAATCTGGCCCACTCATCCACTCCCCCGCCACACCACGCACTATAGGAAATTTGACCACTTTTTCTGGCCAAAAACCATTTTTTGAAAGTTAAAAGATTAAAATAATTTTAACTGCATATCATTCACAATAGATTAATTTTTAATGTTGCATACAAGAAATTTTCATAGATGGCGCCACTGCGAAGAAATCAGCTGTTAAAAACAGCCTTTGATGTTAACATTTGCATGAGCTTAGAATTTAAGATTTTTTGGTGCGATTTTAAAAAGACGAATACTGAAAATTTTATGGACAAAATCAAAAGTTTTGAAATGAATACTTTTCAATGTGGTTTGTATTATGTGTTCGTATATGTGAAGTGTCCAAAAACTTGTGTTGTCTTTTTAATAAAGTGAAAATGTAAGTAGTCTAGCAAAAGAAATTTTTAGAAAAAATCACATTTTTAAAAGAGATTTAAACCAAGTCTGGCCGAGTCGGACAATGTAATTTAGTCCATGTTGTAGATTGTTTAATTTTCTTCAAATGAGTGAAATATGAATATGCCCTTTAATGCACTTTCGAAGAAATTCATAATTTAAGGAGGCAACCTCATCACCTTGAATGCAAATCTGTTAGCTGTGAGACTAGTGTAAAACCGAACAGTTAGCATGTTATTTTTAAATAGGGGGCGGTGCCACGCCCACAATTTTTTCATTTCTGAGTTCTTTTGACCATATAAACTCAAATCAAAAATCAAAATTTAAATATCTTGCATAGTTTTTGAGTTAGAATGTGTTTCTTAAAAAGTGGGCGGTGCCACGCCCACATTTTTTTTAAATTTTAAATCTATTGACCATGTGAACTCAAATCAAAAATCAGAACTTAAATATTTTGTTTCGTTCTTGAGATATTATTTTTGGCCAGAAAAAGTGGTCAAATTTCCTATAGTGCCACGCCGCACCACACCACACATGAGGGTGTATACACATACCGATAAACGTATACCTCTATGCTTTGGCTTAGGCGCGTAATTACGTTGTTTAGTGGCGTTATTAATTATTTTATGACATCGTAAAAGTGCTTCCTCGGGCCTAAGAGCTTGCCATGAATGTTGCATGAATCCCGTCGGACAGAGCACACGTGGGAGTAGGTTTTTTGTTTCGCATTCCGAGAGTGCTTCAGGTATCCGACCGGGTTTGCGGCCAGGCCAGGCCAGGACCACCACCAGCACCAAGACCATCAAGTCATTCGGAAGAAACTTTCGGCAAAAGATAATTTTACAAGCGGATGCCGAGCGAACGTAGCACATTTCACAGCCCGAAAAATTTAATATTAAAATTTAATTAGCCACGACGAGATTGGTTGTCGAAGGAGTCAGTGAGTACCTAGTACTAGGAAGGTTCCGCCAAAATATAGACACGGCAAGTTGAAGCTAATAGGCACCTCTTTAAAATTAAGTGGTAATTGGTAGGGGTAGCATTTCTCAGAAATATTTTAAAAATAAATAGAAATAAGCCAAATAATATAAAATATTTAATACAGAAACTAAAATCATATTTTATAACCTCTAAAATACAAACTATCTTTTGGTAGTTGACTATTTATTATCCTGTTTTGTCTTGTTATTAAAAACTTAACTTTTTTCCATAAAAAATAAAAAGTGAAAAGTTCGAATATCGTATTATTAAGTATTTAATTAAGTATTTTATTAACTGGCCAAAAATGAAAGCTTTCTCCACCAACCAAATAATAAAAGAGACTTACCTGAAACCAAGTACCCTAAAGTTTAGGGCCTAAACTGTTTTAGAAATTTTAGCCATCCTAGTATTAATTACTAAGACTCAACGTTCACCACCACCAGGTTCATGTAACAATCATTTATCACAATCAGTGGTGATAAAAAGCACATAATAAAAACCCATAAAACAATATAATTTATGAAATAAATGGCAGCGAGAGTAAATATGGCATCTTACAAAAACCGATGGGCCGGCCGATGGGCACAAAAACAGGCTTGCAAGAGTCGTTTTCAAGCAAGAGCATTAATCAAATATTTATTTAAATACAAAACAAGGCGATGGCAAAAGCCATCAAAGAAAATCATCATTAATTTAGTTTGTCACTATGGCAGCCTCGGTCTGATAATGACAATGAAGCATCCTGGAAGGATGATGGTAGTCCCTGATGGCTTCTGCAGGAGTGGCAGGGGCGTGAACAAAGTTGCTTCGACTTGAGAAATAAACCAAAAATTACCTCCATACCCTGGACGAAGGTATATCACATATCAGTGAGATAAGTGAGACTTAGGGTATCTAGGCTTCGAAACGTGGAAAAATCAAAGACAATCTTAATGTTTTGCGCTGAAAAACAGGCAAGAAATGTTGGCCTTGGCAACAGCTTAAAGTGTGCCAAATACTTAGGCAAACAAAAAGACTTAAGAAAAGTCTGGAGGGAGAAAAAAAACAGGAGAAAATTGACATGCATTCTGGGTTGAATCGCTGAGCAGCCTGGCTCATAGGTGTCAGACATAAATCACGAATCTCTCAATTCCATGGCAACCTGAAACGGAGCCATTGAATGCCAGGAACCGAGACAGAATTAAATAGGCAAAAAGGACGAAATAATGGTCAGGTGGGGTATGGCGAAAAATTTAGCTGACTTTGGGGAACTTTTCTCTACTAGAGAAACTATGCGAAACAAATTCAGACACACACAAGAAGGGTCCCGAGTCCCGAGTCCTGGGTGCTGGGTCCCGAGTCTTGGCATCACGGCTTTTGCCCTAAGCGCATTTAAGCTTTATTTTGGCATTTGTCAATGTGGCGGGATTTATATTACATTTCGATGTCTGTCTGGCCCCTCGCTTGTTGGCATAATAAATTGTGATCCTTTGTGTGGTTTTTGTAGACTTTGATTTGATTTTTCGCCTGCCACTTTATTTATTTATTTAGCGCAAGTGGAGCTTAGAATCGTCCTGCAAAAAATACTGACGACTCCTGTTCAAACACACTCGAAAAAAGCCAAGTTATCTGTATAATTGCATAGCTACAATCATTTGTTAGTCCAGCCCGATAGCCGGCCATTTAATTAGCGTAATTTGCAACAAAATTAGGCTTAGCCATGGTTTCTGGCTCAGAGAAGCACAAAAAAGCAAATATTTGCTAAACGCTTAACTGGATACCGAAATATCACAACAATTTGCACTAATTGCAATATAAATAGTGCAATTGCCGTGAATTAACTAATCAGTGCTGGAATTAAGCTGGCCTATCCAAACAGAAATGCTAAAATTTTGTGCCAAAAATTTAATGTAGACATTCAGAGATTCCCCATATACTAATCACCTCCCATAGATTCTTCACCATTTCCATTCCCATTTCCATATCCATCACCATTCATGGAGTGGCCAGAATCCTTCTTAATGCCAAATCAGCTTAGCTTTATGTAGACGGCCGTATCACCTTTTCATTAACCCCAAACCAGGTACTTCAAATAATGCCCCAGTGGACGCATCGGCAGGACATCATGGCCATCCTGTGGTCCAGCTCGCCACCGGACCAGGTCCAGGTGGCAATGGAGGTGGCAACAATAATCTGAACATCAATCTTCCGGAGAATAACAACGCAATACTACGACTCGAAGTTGAATTACGTGACAAGAATGTGGCCAAGTATCGGCGGGGAGGAGGCGGAGGTCCTGGCATTGGTCATGTGGGCGGTGCTCCTAAGCGCAATGGAGCACAAGGACCGGCACTTGGTCCGAGACAGGTCCAGGGAGCACCTGACACCACCACGCTGGCCGGCCCGCTGGACAGCCGTAATTTAGTGGTGCCGCTTGAAAAGGTAAGTTTTCCAATGTCCAATGTCCAATGTCCTGTTCCAAGTGCCTGTTCCACACTGGTCAAGTGGGCAGGACTTTATGCTTCCCCAAGCACTTAAAGTTGATTTTCGTGTGCGTTTTGAACAGGGATAAGGGGTTGGATACTAGCTTTCAGTGCGAATGGCTACACAGAAACGAAAATCTTAGGGTAACCTTTTGAAGCTGTGCCTTAATTTACAAAAATCTTGCTGTGTGGGTTTATTTTTGTCTTTATGAAGGATTATTTGCTTGACTTAATGACTTAAAGGACCTCTAAGTTAAATCTGATGTAAATAATCAAAATCTATTTGTTACCACTTAGAAAAATGCTTTGATCTTGAAGTGTTGTTATGACTCTATTCACAGAAATTATTTTCGGGTTGGTCAGAAAAGGTCAAAAGAAAAGGATTTTTAGCTTGGTCCTAAAAGAAATCATTCAAGCATGTTTTTTCAAAACTTTCGTTGATAGAAAACAACTCTAACCATAGTCATGAAAAATTAAATCTACTAGTTTCAAAAAATCTTAAACATTTATGTTTCTGTGTACAACACCGATTGTCAACTGGCACAAGGATGGCTGGCGGGGTCCTTTTGTTGGGATGCACTTAGCGGGTCAGAACGTGACTCGAGCGCGCTGCGTAAAAGGTTGTATTCCGAATTGTATCCTTGCCAAAGATTATACTGATGAATGAGGTAGCTTAGCTGCCGGAATGTGAAGATTGATGGCTAGATGCACCGTTTCGGCCAAGGTCAAGACAAATCGCCAATCCGTCAGCCTTCAGTTATACTTTGACTAGAATCCCATTCCCCCGCCACCAGTTTGTTAGCCATCTTTCCGATTCAAAACGATTCCCTGGCGATCCAATTAAATGCAAAAGCTGAAAGCCATAAGCCTGATGAAAATGCCACACTAAGCTGTTGCTCCTCTCTTGTTCGCACAGGTACTTGAGGAGTTACTTGTCAAGCTTGAAATTGAGCACGTTACTTGGACGACCAGCAAGAAAGGTTATTTCCATCACGTCGTTTTCCCGCTGCAGGCAGGAGCCGCCTGCGAGACCACCCTGCACTGTCTCACGGAACTGGGCATTGGCACTAAATTGAATTCCAGTGTCAGGTAAGTTGAGACATTGAAACGGGGGATAGGAGGATGGGAGGCACGGTCCTAACACCAAACGCCAAACGTGCCGGGCAAGTCAAGGAGCTCCGCAACAGCTGGTCGAACTCGGGCAGTGGGTGTCTCCTGGCTTTTAATAAAAATGCAATAAAAATGCAGAAAGATGGGGGTACCAAGGCTGACCGGCCAAAGGGAGTCCCAATGCCATATTTTGATTGCTTGTAGGCGGAAATCCCTCTAGCGGAAGCACCAGGAGTCGATTATCCTTGGCATCAGCTGAATGCGGGCCATACGGATTCCATTTCCCAAACGCAAGTGCCCTATAATGCTAATGCAATTCCTTTGAAGTACGTTCCTTAACCCATAGTAATGTAGAGAACATGGCACTTTAATCTCTTTAAATTTAATTAAACAACAATAGAGACGATAAATTAAAAATGAAAGGACAATGGCACGTTTAAACTGAAGTGTGAGAATGAAAATAAGTAGGTGTGATAATCATTTAATGGCATTAAGCAAAGGGATTAAAATGCAGGTGAAGGTGCGATGGTAGTCTCCACCATACTCACAAGACCAAAGAGCAGATGTGCTTCCTTGACCTCAAGGACCTGCTGAGTAGCCTGCAGACAAAGTAGAACTTAAGCTGATTAATATGCGCTGAAATTTAATTAAGAAGAAGGTGTTGCCAGGATGCACTGAGTCCTGAGTCGATGGAGTGCCACTCCAAGTAATCTATAATTCATGTTTACTCTTACACTTGAGACATCCGAGGATCTTTGTCTGCTTATTCCTACCAAACATCAACGCATATCAGTGGCAATGTCAATACCCGAGGCTTGACATTCCAACTGATATGCGATTACAAAATTTCAATTTAAATTGCACATAAAAAAATAATAATATATATTTCGATAAATAATTGGTTTTAATTTTATGTACATGTTTCATGCATTTTTTTATGCACCCATAGGTAGACATTATGGTGTGTTAGTAGTTAAATATTATATTAAAGTATTTTTGTTTAATATGCTTTTTCTAAAACATTATGCTTTTATCAAAATTTTCCCGCAGTGTTCTGCCTTGCAGCGTTAGTTATGATGCCATCACAGATGCGGCCAACATGCGAGATGACTACAGGTAAGTCTACAGGTACAAACTAGACTCTGTGAAGGGGGGGGCACGTGATTCAGTGGCAGGAACAGCAGCAGAAGCACTCGTATTGTGTTCCGCCCCCGTATTGTATTTGCTGGCTTTGTGCAGGACCCGTTAGCAGTGAAGTGTCTTTTGTCAGGATCCCACAGCTGTCGCTTTGTTGAAAACTAATTTCAGGTGTTCTCGTACGTGTCAAAGGCGTCAGTCATTTCATTAACTTTCACTTGCACTCGTTCGTTCAAACTCACGGACTCAAGGACTCAAGGACTTAGTCACTCACTTTCGTCCGGCCGTGGGAATCGTGACATTTGCCTCTTTGGCTTTCGGCCGAGATCGTTATTTGGCTTTCCATTTTTTTCCCCTCCTTTTCACGGTTTACGGTTTATGGTTCGTCTAGCCAAAAGGAAGATGGCTTTGAGCTTTGGGCCTTGGGCCTTGGACCAGGACCAAGTTTATTACTCTCGGGGCCCGGGGGCAGACTTATGAGCTACTTGGAATGAGGGGGAAAATGCTTAAATTTGCATATGAAAGGGGCAAGGAGAAGGTGCTCAAACTATGAACCCTCGCCATGGGTTAAATGCATCCACTGTGTGCTCACAATTTATGGGCGTGCTTTCATCCAAAATGGCAAAGCCGACAACCGACAGTAAATACACACACGCTGACTTCTTGGCAAGCAATTGTCACAGGCACAGGACTACCTGTGTGCATAACTGATGAGCTCGTAATTGAGGTTAGCTTGTGGTTAATTTTTGGGGCGACAATTGAGGGAGTCTCCATGGTTGAGTAATTGAAGCCACACACTCTAATCACCAGGCTGCTTATAAAATAAGCTTTTAATAAAATCTAGGGAAAATAAACAAGAAATCTTGACTAGGTCCTACAACAACCATATTTGGTTTAATTTTCAATGAAACCAATTACATCCTTGAACACATTAGCCACTTTGTATCACATAACAGTCATTCTGTTTAACTGCCATTTTCATTTCCATTTTATATTTCCTTCTGGCGTTATCCTGTCTGTGAAATAGCGAGGAAGCCGAGGATGCCTCGAAATGGAACAATTTTGTGGAATCAATTAAATCGAAATTAACCGTCAAACAGGTGGTGGACGGAGTCCGGGCCGGAGGATCACTGTCCTTCGACTATCTCCTGCTAATTGTTACCGCCGAGTAAGTACTACACGGAAGACTTTATAAAAATTGATATGCCAACAGCTGACGTTGGTCTGACATTAAAAATAATCATTAAAAGGAGCCAGAATGCCTTCTGTTTCTATATAGTATATATTTTTTCTCTTTCCACTCGACTCCTTTTGCAGTTCTTTGGCAGCCCTTGGTCTGGTTGAGAATAATGCTCCGAATATAGTGGCAGCCATGTTAGTTTCCCCACTTATGGGCCCCGTAATGTCGATAACATTCGGCGCAATTATCTCCGACAAAGAACTAATGGTAAGTGCTGTTTCCCCCATATGGTGGTTGTGGCTTTTTCGGTGCACTAGCCCATTTTTGCACAGAACCAACAAATTGTATAGCTCCCCGAAAAGCCATTCAAACCACCGGTCAAAAAAAAGGAACCCATCCCGAAAGGAAAAAATTTGAAAATGTGAAAAACAGAAAAAGCGTAAAATAAACTGAGCAATACTGAAGTGAAAAATGGAATAGTTTGAAAAAATGGAATAGTTTGAAAAATGGAATAGCACTCCCAAAAACGGGCCAAAAAAAAAAAGTAGCACCCATTTCGATGCGCGTTAAATGAAATCGTCAACACTCCTGCTCTGCACTACTACTATGTGTGAGACTCGTTCTTGTGAGTGATTTATGAGCAAATGACATTTGGAAAATAATAAAAATTGCACCGAAAATTGGTATGCCCATCCCGTCCGTCCGTCTGCTATGTCCTTTGTGCCAGCTGTCAAAATTCGCATCCAGCCAACAGAAATATGCGAAAATATTGAATACTAGCCCGGTACTGATAGGAGAGGAGGTTGTCCTCCGAGTTGGGGGGAAAGAGTCCTGGTCCGGGTCCTACTCCTGGTATGGGTTATTTCAGTCAAATGCATAGCGACATAGCGCTTGATGTTTTGCAAATTTGCATCGCTTTTGTGGTAAATGGCAAAGTTGCTGAATTGTTTATTGACAGATCTGGCTTGAAAAGGGTGGCGCAATATGAAATATTTAAATGTTTTTTTCCGAAATTGGATACAGATGTAACGGCAGCATACCACAAGGATTTGAGTATTTGTATTCACACCGAAACAGGCAAATGGATTGGGTTTAAAAATTCTTTGAATGCCAGCGGGCATTCCATATAATTTTGTTTATTTGTATTTTGGTTCTGTTTTAATGGAAAGCCTTTCAAAAACTAGGCAAAAGGATTCTTTAAAGTTTTTGGAGTTCTTTTTTAGTCTGAGAACTGCACTTTGTATAACTCAGCCATGCTGCCTCAAAACTATGAGTATTTCATTGTGAAGAGGGACCGCAGAGTGGCGGTTTCCTCAACCAGGTGAGTGAGAAAACCCCGGCTAAGCTACTTAGAATTAAAGGACCAAGCACTTAGGTCCGCCATTCAGAGCTCAGCCAATAAAACAGAACTTTAACTGCAGCCAGACTGGAGAGGCAGCTGCTGCTCTCCAAAGTGTCATAATTGTCACTACCAAGTTGGGGGAGAAGCCAAAGCCGCCTTATTGCTCATCGTCTGAGATAAGAATGTCGGTCTCTGTAGTTTCCCCGAATCAAAGGCAGTGGTTTGCGCTTCAGGAAATCCAAAACCCACGACTTAATGTGCCGGCGAAGCGTTAAATAGAGGCTCTGTGGCATAAAATATAGAATATAGAAGAAGCAACAAATAAACAAAATAGAAATATAAACATGTAGAGTGAAATAAAAATATATAAAATAAGGAACATAGTATATATAATCGTGTCCTGTCTGTTCTAATGAAGAGACTGCTGAGCTAGTGAGTTTTGTGGCCACCACCCCAGAGGCAACTTGTTGTCAGCCCCGGTGTCTGCTGACACAATTTTCACACCGCACACCAATGGCTCATACCTGGCATATACCTGGTCTGCTAAACACACGAACACACACACACGTGTTTCCAGGTGTCTTGCCGGCTGTTGACATCTGCGTCGTGTACTTCAATTAAATTTTAATTGAAATGAATACGACATACACACATGCCACTATACTATGTATGTGCATCTTTTTTGTGGCCTTCCTTTTGTGAGGCACTGTAGCTCCATCTCCGGCTGCGTCATCATAATCTTTGATAAAGCCAAAGGGTGAATCGGTTGTGGCCCAAAAAGGAAGGACTTCGAAATAGCAAGCTCAGGTTGTGGTCTCTAAAATGTTAAAGTTTTTTCACTTCAAACTCATTTCAAGCTTCAGGATGGACATCCTGAATCTTAACTATTTTATTAAATGTCAAATGCTTTGAATATTTTGAAGTTTAAGCATTTTGATTGTTTCTCGATGATGTGTTTAATGAAGAAATATTTCAAACTATAAGGAATTCAGCTTCAAAATATTGCCAGACACACGTGCTGTGGCGAACATAATTTAAAAAGCCATTTTATATAACCAATGAAAATGCTTGTGGCCAAAATTCATAGGCAGCCGCGTTAAAACATTTTCACACAAAAATGCCAATTACAAACGATGAGAGAAATAACACTCCGTTGAATGGAGCAGTCAAAATTGATGGCCTGCTATTAAAAATAATTGCTAGTGAAAAAATTGTTTCCCGGAACCCCCGATATGTGCGGCAGGAAGCGAGTGAATAGTTGAATGTTATTGAATTTCCATTTCTGTAAATATTTGCAGGCCATTTAAAAAAGATGATTCAGTTGCGAATGTTTAATAATTTGTGTGCGAAATGCGCATTACGCATACGCCCCGTGGGCTGATCCGATGGGTGGCCTGATGTGTGCGAATACAACATACCTGAAAATAGAAGAGCAAACAATAAACAAGAAATTAGCAAAAAGTTTTCACACCCGCAACTTAAATGCCAGTTGGTTAAATTGTTGTGTAAACTCTTTAAACTGCATTTACTTGAAACTTTCCCTCTGGCAAGAATATTTTCTGGCAGCTTGTTAGTCGGCTGCTTTAAGCCTCAAGACAAGTTACTTTATATGCGTTGCCAGTTGTGTTTGACTGGTGAACGAGGGGAAATGAGGAAAACTACTAGTCGTAGTAGTAGTGTAGTAGCAGGAGAGGGTGTGAAGGAACTCCAACCCTACCCTAAAAACCAACCCATCGTTCTGACTTGGAATACCAAGACGACATCATGTGGCTGACATTAGAGCATTTTTCTTTTGTGTGTGCAGCTGCCAACAACAGTTTTGCAGTTGCGTGGCTGCAAATTTGGGTTAACATGTCACGAATCTACCACCACCACCACTGCCACTACTATTCCACGATGCCACTATGCTACTTTCATCTTTGGGGCGCTTCAAAGTATGCAACATTATCGCTTAAAGTGTCGGGTTCCTTTCGGCATTTAACTCGATGTCCCCCTTCTTAATTTTCTCACTCTTCTGCTCATTCCAGAAAGTTGGCTTCCTCTGCCTGGCCCTTGGCATGTTTATATCCCTGCTATTTGGCTTCATCTTCGGCCTGATCCTGGGCACCACCGAGATGCCATGGGGCCAGAACTCCGATTGGCCAACAGAGGAAATGCGTGGAAGGTAAGGTCAAACCGGGGCGGGCAAATACCTTGACAATCCTAAACAAGTCCCAAATCAAAGTCAATCAACCAAACAATTGCGGTAGATTGGGAAAACGCCGCACGTTCAAATCACTCAGGAACAATAAATTAATTCCGTCATTTGGCCATCGTCGAATTGGCCCTAATCAAATTTGAATGACATTGCATTGCAGTAGTTGCGGTCCACAATTCGATTGATATTTCAAACTGATGCAGAATTTAATTAAAAGATATTTATTATTTGCATTTCATGCAGATCTGTGAACGACAAAATATGTCCAATACCGCAAAGTATTAAACGAGAATGAAAGACAGCTGTCTATCAAGGACAGTCCTTTAATAAGGTTAATTCAGTTAACCAAACTTTGATTGAAAATTGATAGCTTATTTAATTTGTTAAGTAAACTCATTGTTTTAATTTATCACCACCTACGATTAAAAACGCAATTAAATTTATTAAGAGTCAGGTTATCGATTTGAACCTTTTTTTCTAAAAACTTTTTGCTTATCAAGAAAGTTTAAAAAGTTTGGGGTAATAAAAAAAGATCCAGACAATATCCATTTCCAAATATTAATTAAGACACATTACCCCACATCATTTATTTGCCAAAAAACAAAAGACGTGGGCCAGTCTCCCTAGAAAATCCCTAGACTTTCGAAAGTGACTTAGGAGTTTGCCGAAAATCCAAAATCCATTAAGCATGTTAATTATCTAGTGTCTCGTGAAGCCCTCTGCTTAGCCCTTGCTGCTGGGGGATACTACTTTAATTCAGTTGGTAAATCTATGAGTGCGAATGTAACAAATTACTTGCAAATAATTCAAATAATCTCACGACCGGCGGTAATGTGAGGCGTGTGCTCATTAGAAGGCCTCCTTCAAGGCTCTTTCTGGGACAATCCTCTACCGAGTACAGCACAGCACAGCCCAGCCCAGTCACTTGAGTCCTATATATATGAGCACACATTTATTATGGCATCGTTTTTTGCCAAACGAACGAAGGAATCTTTAAGTCGCCACGCGCCGTCTGTGTAAATCTCTTCCAGGACTGCTCCCGGCTCACAATAGGCTTAGAAATGCGTCGAAACACGCCCCCACGGCGGCAACAATAAATTAAGCTCAGCCACAGAATTTGCCGGAAGTTGCGTGAAATGAATGTGTGTCGGCAATTGTGTTAATTGCACAAAATAAATTGTTAAAATAATAATACAGACAATAGACAATACCGAGTAGAGCCTGACATCTAAATAGATATACATACATATATAGGAGAGTGTTACGTATCTGTATAATTAAGTGGCTTTAGCCTATGGACGCTACTTGTGCTTTATTGTTGCCTTAGGCATCGCAAATAGTACATCTCCATCACAATCTTCACATCTCCATCTCTCCATCATAATAATACTCGTGTGTCCACATAATGAATTCCCTCAGATTGCGTGTGCCCATCACCTCGCATGCAATCAACGTGAGTTTCGAATGCTCATTCTTATCCGACCTCTTGTGATAGCTCACTGGACTCTATAATTGTGTCACGTGGCGCGTGAAAATATAGGCTTGTCATCCGCTTCATTGGCAACTGGACTGGACAAAGGCCAAAATGCCGTCTCATCCACCAAAGATGGTCCCCAATAGAGCCAATACTGGCTCAGCATGATTAGTATCAATTGATGTAAATTTGGTTAATTAGGAACTTGAGTTGATTTGCTCATTGGTTTGTTCAATAATTAGACTGATTTGTCTTCCAAGAAATTTTTGTACATGAATTTTAAATCTTAAAATAAATGGTATTCAAAGGGTTAGTATCTTTTCTTCCTCAAATGAATGTGAGGGTTTTTAAATCTTTTTCCTTGAAATTTCTTATGAAAATTCCCATTTCTATTCAAGCATAAAAGCCTTTCATTTCTTTTGAACTCATTAATAATAAACAAATTCCTATAAAGTGATATAAAGTAATAAGGATTCTGATTTCTCTACAATATAATTCAACAAAGCTATTTAAATAGCTTTAGGATTTGAACTTAAAATATAAATACACTTTTGTCATTTAACCGAAAACATTAATGTAAATATTTGTTCGCCCTTTCATACATTAATTTTATATTAAAAGGACACCCCAATTACATTAAATTGAAAGAGGAGAAGCCTTTGAGTTATTCTATTTTAATTAGAAAGTTAGCTGGCGGCCCAGCCCCCAACATTTTGCCAGTGGCCGCATAAACAGCAACACCGAAACAAATTAAATTTATGCTACTTTACTGCATGGGCGTGGCGACACGCCCATAATGTTGCAACTGTCGGCAAATGCCACATGCGAACTGGCAAAAATAATCAGTGCAAATGTCGCCGGGGGGATATAGTATGTGGCCACCACCTTTCAGAGGACGAGGAGTAGAGAGAGAGGATATCGTCTGGTTTGCAGCAGCCAGGAATGAAGTATCTACTGGGTTTTTAGCACGACATTTTACAGCCAGACAGCCAGGAGTGTGGCTGCCACAGCAGTGTGTTGATTATTACATTTTAAAAAGCTTGGTAAAACAAATCTCCCCGGTCAGGTCAGCATAGTTAAGGGAATCGCAATTAAAAGCAGAGCGTCTGTTCTGGTCATTTTCCATTATCCTCTGAAAATTATGCATCAATGCAGGGGATTCTGTGTTCGCGACGAAGGTTCGTTCTTTATTTCTAATGATTTCTTTTATCCGACATTGAAATCTAGTTCCCAGGGTCCTCCGACCCACATCAAAATAAAAGAAGGAAAAAAAATCTCGATCCTGCTGGAGGCTCATTAGCATTGTTTTCAATCTACACGAGGCAGGAACCGTAAACAATTTGCTGCAACAAATTTATAGGACTTGGCTAATGCTGTTTGGGGCTATAATTGAGCGTAAATTGCCGGCATATAATAAAGTTGTTTTATGCATAAAAGTTAAATACTTGTATAACTCAAACTGCGGCGGATCCATAAATAAAACTCACACTTTTCGGCGACACACAAAAACCACACTAAAGCAAAGTAAAAGCGCCATTAATCAGAGAAAGTTGGTCCCAGGTTAAAAAAAAAATGCCAAATTTTCATATATAGGCAGGCAGGTAGGGGCACAAATGAGGTGCATGAATCAAGAAACGAGAGAGTTACACAACTCGGACTAGCCAAATCCCAAAATACCCTTGCGCCCTTGAATCTTTGATTCCTGGGATTAAAAGTAAGCGACATAAAGAAAATCTGCTCTGAAGATAAAGGGCGAATATTTACTAGGGTGGACCATGGAAAAAGGTTTTTAATTTTATTGGTATTTTCTGATATGTTAAAATATCAGAAAATGTATTGAAATACTAGACTTTTACAAAGTTTACATATTTATAATGAGCCAAGCCACCACTGCGTATGAGTAATAAGCTATACAGCAAGTCGGCACTTCTGGCACAAGCACTTAAACGTTTAAAAGTTTAACTCAAGTTTTCTCTTGTTAGTATTAAACGATTTAAGACGCCACTTTAAATTTCATCTTCATTAGAGCACCACCCTGGGACGCCTGACTGCGCCAGAATTACGACTAATCATGGGCTTTACTTTTTGCTGTTCAGACCGGGTGGGCCTAAATCATAATACCCTTAAGAAGGGTATAAAAGCCAAAGCGCAATGAAAAGTTTGCCAACATTTCTCACCATTAAATGACTCTGACTTCTGACTCGACAGGCCCTGGGCGACCAGGTTGGTTGGCGGAAGCGATAACAAAGCCGCTGACACTTGACAAACTTGCGCGAGTGTCAAAAAATCTCCGCGGCCTGCAGGATACCAAAGGTTTTTGAATGAAAAAAACCCTCCCAAAAAAAAAAGAAATCAGCATCACCTGGCGCCACCAACGAACGAAGTGTTCGGCCCACCTGCTGACCCCGACACGCCAAACGGCAGATAAGCAGTGTCAGCGCCAGGCGTCCTTTCTGCCCAAACATTCATCTTGAAGTGACTTAATTTGCAGTGGCCACCGTCCACGCCCCACTGCCCACCTTGAGTCGGATGTGGCCCGTTTAGCGGGCGGGTCAACATTTGTCACTTGCCTGCTGTTGTGTTTTTAATTAATTTTTACACTTTTTCCCTCCACCTACCCCATTTCTGTCCATTTCACAGTTGATTTTTCAATAATTTCCCCTTCGATTCGCAGGGGCAATGTGCGCGCCCTCTGGATGGGCGTTTTGTGGGCGTTAACATCTGGCACAGGCGTGGCCGTGGCCTTGCTCCAGGGCTCTGCAGGACCTTTGATCGGCGTGGCTATATCCGCCTCCCTCCTGCCACCGGTTGTCAATTGTGTAAGTAAAACAAAATACTAAAACACAAATTTAATTTCCAAAAAAGTTCAATAAAATCAAAGAGACAACTCTGTTGTGATTTTTAAGAATAATATATCCTTTTTAAAATATTAGATAAAATATTTTTATTTTATTTTTTCCATAAAATTGAATTACTGTGTATGAATTACAATAAAATTTCTGAAAAAAAATGGTATCAGATGCCTAATTTAGGGTGAGAGAAATTAATTATCATATCGTAATTGAATAAATTAAATTCAAGCTGTGATGCATAAAGTAATACATTAGACAGAAAATTAAAGCGGAAAGTATGGCTTTAAATAGCAGATTCTACGCATTCAAAACCGAGCAAGAGTTCTCAGTTTACCATGTTTACATTGTCAGGTTCTTAAGGAAATCTCTGCCTGAAGTTGGCTTAATTGGTAAGCCGATACGTGAGCCAAACAACGGAATCCAAAGACACACACATCAAGTGACAAAACATCAATATGCACAAATATGGCAACTGATACATACTTGTAGAAGCCTACTTATAAAACGCTACCTACCAAGTCCTTGAAAGAGGCTTCCTCGTGGCAATTTTCTTCCCATTAGCAAGCTATTAACAAAAGCCTCGTCGACCTTCGAACGACTGGCAACAAATGCGCAGTTGATATTTCATCATGAGTGAGCAGGTGCCGGAAATGACTTTGCCAGCAATATTTATGGCAGCGGGACTCCATCCATTCCTTCAAATGTAAATAGCACAGCAACCGAACATTCCAATCAAAAAATCCACTCTGGTCAGCCGAATGGAAAATTACGCAAATTCTCATTTATATTGTATTATGTGCTCTCGAGTTTTGACTCCACTTGAGTCTTCTAGTCCATATCGATCAGGACAGAGTTTATTTTGCCACAAAATTTTCTATATATTTCAAATGCGGCAAACATTGTGCAAAAGTTCCGAGTGGCTCTAAGCCAGAAGTTGATGTTTTAAGGACCTGGAAGGCCTATATTGGCCAGGCCAAATAGAAATCATGGTCAGTTAGGATTTTTGGGTTCTTCTAGCGATGCTGGGTGCGCTTCAAGTGAATTTGGCCATAAATTAGGCCGAAAATACAATTTGCTGATTAATCTGAAGTGCATTGCCCAAAAACTTTTGGCCATAAATCTGCCCCGAAACGGCTCGCCGCAGGAGTACGAAGAAGAGATGCCACCGGGGGCATCCGATTCTCAGCTGTTTTTCCCCACTTTGTGTGGCGCAACCGCAACGAGTGCATAAATTTCGACCCAATTTTCAAGTGCAAATTGCGAATCCAAAACGGAGGAGCAGCCGGCACAGCCTGTTACGTACATACTTCTGTTCCCCAAACTGCAGTCAGGATGTTGCGTAAAATTATAAAGCCAGCAGAGGCAGTGGGGGAAGCCAGAAAGCGAGAAGAATACGAAAGGCTCCGAAGGGAAACGTTGCATACAAAAACTTGCACAGAGGAAACGGCGTGGCAAGTGCCACACAAACAAACAAACCGGCAAACAAACGGCGGCCCAGTCAGCACAGCCTGACATTTATCAATGCTGACAGGGAGGACAAAGGCGTGCCGCCGAGAGGGGGTTTTTCGCGGGGAGTATGGGGAATAGGCCGCAAGCATGACAAAATGATGCAAAAGGCGAATTATGGACACTGGCGGCTAATGGGGGCATACTAACAGCTCGACTACCAGCTACCGAACTTTAACCGGCTAAAACAATGGCGCCGAAATCGCTTAATCATGGCGGCTGTTGCGGTCGAGCATGTGTGCAAGTGTCGCTCCGACTGCCTTTATCCTTTAGCTCCTCTGTCCTTTATCCTCGTCTTGTGTATGTACATATGAGCTGCATAAATCAGTGGCACGCACTGAAGCTTGTTGCCTTTGTCCATGTTTTCTTCCTATATTTTTTTTCCTTGCAACTGCAAGCAGCAAAAAGCGTGTTACAATTAATTGCCCTGCTGCCGGGACCCTAAGGCAATAGCATGGCCAACAGAGCGTATGAGTAATTTCAAGTAGTTGTTAGCTACATACATTTCTCCCGAGGTGTCCCCTACATATAGAGATTAAACTAAAAGAAAATAAGGAGAAGTTTCAAGACGATGGCACAATAATTGCAACTCTTAATTTCAGCTTATTAAATTGCGAACGACCTTATTTATGTGGCCTGGCCAAAATGAACTCCGGCCAATGCCAAAAACGTTCTACAGCTTCTCCGCCTTTCTCGCTTTCGAATCCGAGCACGCAATAATTTAGCCAGAAATGGTCGTAAATTCGAATAATAGCGAAAATAGAAAGTAAGTCGAGGAAAAGAAAAGTCATGAGCTCGCACACAAATGGAAAAACAAGCACACACGAAAAGATTTGCTGAAATATTGGATAGTGGTGGTCAATCAAATAGGGACGAATAAAGAAGTATTATTTCAAATGCTTTGCTTGAGTTTAGTAAAATTATCTAAAAAAGTATATTTTATACCTATTTAATTTATAAATTATACCTATTTGTGTAACCTCGAGTATTCCCTCATACATATCGGATTCGCACGCACTTCCGTTCCGACTAAGCAATGTGCTGAGTCATTATAATTTATAATAGCAGAGAGGAGCGTCACAAAAGCGAAATCGAAAAAAAAAATGAGCGAAAGGCAGAAAGGAGACCGTAGAGAAAATGCGACAATGAAGTTTCATCTCTCATCTGTGCCCAAGTATGTGTGCTTGTGTGAACACGCCCTCACACTCACACACACACACTTGTCCTGTAAAGTAACAATTCAAGGCCGGACAGCCACTACTTGGTATGCCAACGGCAGCGGCATCTAACCGGAACTAAGCACGCGGCGACCTTATGACCTCGAAAGCAGAATCAGAATCAGACCAGACCAGACCAGACTGAAATTGAACTGAACTGGACCACAAGAGTTGACCATGACAACTTCAAAGTCACGCTCCAACCCGCCTCAACTCAGTCCCCACTTTCTTCCGCTTGTGCTCTCTTCCGCAGGGTCTCTTCTGGTCACTGGCCTGCATTTGGCTCATCTATCCGGAGAAGCGGATTCCACACTTGAAGAACGAGGCAATGAACTCGACCAGTGCGTATCCCTTCATCTACACGAACTACTTGCCCACGGAGTTCCTGATCAATGGCATTGTTTCCGCCTGCCTGACCATTGTGAATGTGATTTGCATATTCATCACGGCCATAATCGTTCTCAAGATTAAAGAGGTCTCGGCGCCGTATACAGCCAGTCCGGACTTAAAACGGTAAGTATTGGTCAATTCTTGGCAACACATTGTTTGCCATTTTTCAAGAATATAGTGTTTTTTTTGTCATTGGCGACATGAAGTCGATGTGTCTTCTGGGGTTCAACTAGGGTGAATCAACTCATACATATATGAGAAATTAACTAAAATTTTAAAGATTTTTTTATTGTGAAATTTTTATAGAAAATATTAGTAATACGCCATGTGGTCATCTTGTCAGGTTTATTATAAGTAAGGAATAAATAAAAAAAATTTTAACATTAACAATTCAAAATATTATCGGTATCTCCTCTCTCGATACCTAATAACATTGCTGCCAATAGATATGCCCTTGTGCCATAACTAATTGATACCATAAAATAAATTCAAATATTAATCATACGCCACGTTGTCATATGCAGTCATTCAGCCATTTTTTTCAACAAGTATACGCAGTGTAGACACGCAAGTAAGTTTAAAATCAACGTTTTAAACATTTAAAGTAACATTTCAATTTTAAATTTAAAGTAAAATATAGAATAGGACCTTTAGTCCACCCTAATGGCAAATACTTTCTGTGTGTGAATAGCAGAAAATTAAAAATCTGCACAGCGCGCAAAGCGCTGGAGTGTGTTTAATGACGAGGGAGCAAGTGCTTTTAAGCTTATCATTTCCGTTATGTTCGCTTGGACAGAGTTGGCCATTAGTAAGTGTAATTAATAACGACAACAGACGCAGACCCAGACGCAGACAGGACACAACAGGGCTCTAGAGTTTCGAGTGCATCGCAACATTTACTTTGACCATTCTGTTCTGTTGACAAACCCATTTAAAATTCAGATCTCTTAGCCAGCAGATTGTTCTTTATATATTACATCAATATTGACTTTGACTTAATCAGGGATAAGTTAATAAATCTAGTTTGTTTACTTGTTTATTTTCCCAATCTTAGATACGTTAGTTAGGGCCGCAAAGCCCAGGCCAGCAAACGACACGTGTGAGCAAATGGCTGGGGAAATTAACTTATATTGCCTGACACTTGGCAGGCAGCACATTTAAATCAATAAAAGGCCAACGCTTAGTCAAGTCTCGGGTTATGTGGCGATGCTGTCATTTAGGAGAGAAGGATTTCCTTGTTTCGGTGCCTTCCAGGGCAGGCGATTTGTCAGCCATGCCTTTTGGGCTGAGCGCCTGAAATTATGTCGGACAGCGTGCAGCCTGTCGGCACAAGTGCTTCACTCAAATATGATATATCGCGTAATTAACTGACTGATTTCTTGTTTTTATTGTTGTTTTTGTTATTTTGGAGAGTGGCTGACTGGCCGGGCGACTGGCCGAGGCAATCTAAATGAAAATGAATGCCCTCCATCGCGGGTCTGGAGTGACAAATGGCGATATAAGCTCCAGTCTGAGTCTGAGTCTGTGTCTGAGTGCCTGGAAGAGGCCGAGGCCAGACATGTGCCTGGCCCGGCTGGCGGCCTTTAATTTCCCAAAGTGGCGCATTAAATTGCTTAAAGCGAGGGCTTCCGTCCAACCCAGTTGTCAACATTGCCCGCGAAAGTGTGCTACAGTTTTATTTCTACTCCCGCTACTGCTTCTCCCCGTTTTTGGCATCCTTTTTTATTATTATAGTTTTTGGTGTGCACATATACATATGTATGAATGTCCTGTGACTATTCCAACGTTTATTTAAGCATACTCACGCTCGTCTGCTCGCTTGTTTAGATTGTTTGTGTAGCTTTTAGAAATTGTGTGTACTCTCTGCCCTATACCCTTGCAAGGGATACACTTGTTTTGACCAGGAGCCTGCTATTTTTCTGTATATTGTGCAAGTACGCACTCCTAGTTGGCTCACATATTGACCCTTGAGTGCCCGGATCAGATTTTTATATTAGCCAGCCACTAGACAGAATGGATATTTGAGTAAATTTGCAAGCAAAGCTATCCAGCTGGCCAACAATCCTGTGATACTTTATCCTCCTCTCCCGCTTGTTGGGCTGCACTTAGACCCAGTCCGACACAACAGGGTTGTGTAAATAAAAAGAAAAGAGGGAGTTCCCCGGCCCAATCCCGGACTCTTTCCTCAGGCTGTTGCATTACGCATAAAGTGCATGATTTCATATTTATTTGTTGCTATAGCCAGAGTTTCGTCCGCCGACTCTGGCGAATTTGTTTTTGTTTTCATTGCTGCGGTTTTCTTTTGACAGCGGTTTATGGTTGCGAATTTCTTGTCTCCGACAATTCAAAATGATTTTTATGGGTTTTCTGTCAGTGGATGGGACTGAGAACAGTGGAGCGAATGGGGACAACGGCTCCTGCAGGCAGTCAGACAAGTCCTCCGATCGCCCAAAGGTTATTTCCTATAATAGAAAAACTTTCCTGATGGGAACTTGCGTAAAATTGAACTAAAAGTTTCACAGAAAAAGAGTCGTGCGTTGCCAATCATTCAAAATATAATTTTACAGCTTCTCTACACTGAAAACTTTGAGGGGGAGTAAAGGGATACATACATCGAATAGTAAAAGGAGAGTCATTTGTTAGAAAACTATTAAGATGAAGCTCGTACCATAAAAAATACTTTGTAATTTGTACTATAATGGCGTTTCATGGCGGGAATTTCTTCAAAAATCTCTTAAAGCTAAACAAAGCTAAAGCTAACTAAGCTTTCACTTTCAGGACCTAATTTTCCATTGTGCATTTAACTCATGAATATCTGTAACATTTATATTTCTCTTATCTGACACAGATTTTGGGAAACAGATCTTCGTACTGTTCGAAAAACGAATCGCTCAACAATGCGGCATCCTCGCGCCCGTGGCAGCATATTTGGCGGAGGAGGTGGTGCGAGTGGCGGAGCCGGAGGCAGGGACAAGTTCAGCGGGTGAGTACAAAACACATGAAGGACTATGCATCGAAACTCTTTTGGGACCGACCGCCCCTGAACCAATTCTCATATTTCCCATATCCTTTACAATTTCGTTTATTTTTTTTTTTTTGTTGAATAATTGAGCCCGAGTGTGTATACAAGGCATGTGGCCCTGAACTCGCACTCGGTATCACGTCCTGGGGGCAAGTCAATTTAGCGTTCGCAGCATTTGTCTGCGAAAATGCTTGAACGCAATTTGAAAAGGTAAATAATGAAGGTATTTATGTCGTAGGAGTGCAAAGGTCCCGCCTAGTCCATAAATAAATACTTTGCAGCCAAAAAAAATATGTTTATCGCATAATTGAAATCATACTCCTGGTATTTATGGAATTTTTAGGGAAATCAAAAATATGACAAACTGGGGGAATTCTGGGTAAAAACTGCTACAAATTGCAACAGCTGTCAAACGAATTTTACCCAATTTTTTGCCAATTTTATATTTATTTGTAAATAAATTAAAACACAAGTGTATCAATATGTTTTCATATCCGAGGACCAATTTAGGTTGCCCAAAAGGCAAATTGAAATCGAGCATTTTCTGTAAATGACCATAAAATAAACATTTTGAAACCTGCAACAACGAAAAATAGAGAATACTAGTGATGGACGTTATAACAATGCAAATTCAGGCTACAAATTAACACACCGATATAAGCTTTTTAATTTAGCACAAAATACCGCCACCATTTGTTTACACAAAACATGCAAAAACCATAAATGTTTTTGTAAATAGAAGGCAATGTCATTCCACTCTAACGCCTCGTTGAAAGTTCACGGTATTGTTGCATGAAATTAACACTACCCTAAACATACATATACATAAAATAAAGAGGTTTTTGTATTTTTCCATTATTCAGTAGCTATCAGGGATTAAATGAACGCGATGCCCAGATGGATACCGCCCTGGAACGAGCTCTAGCCCAGGCTGAGAACGATGCCACCTTCAAGAAGGTCAAGCGTATGAGTTACTCCAGCAATGCTGCCGGTGAGGTAAGGATTTCTTTAGTCCTTAATCTCTTTATAAGCCATAGCTTCATTTTGCAACTAAAATTTTCAGTGATTGAAAAATTCAAATAACAAGAAACGAAAGCTAGCTTCAGGAGGAACCGAAGATGATATACCCTTGTATATCCTTGTATATACCTTCTAGATTGGATATTTATCGCCTTATTCTTATCCTTTTTCCGATTTTTCAGTTATATGGTAGCCAATGGGCCCATGACCTATGATTTATAATTTTTCCCCTATATGGTCCACTGGATGCTATATCTTTCCCAATTCTCATCCGATTCTCAAGCGGAGTACCTTAAACGATTTCTAGATCGATTCTCCACCATTCTGCATCAAAATCCTGAGACAAAATATTTTTAGATTTTTGTCCATTTTTCGATGGGGAGATGGGGTTTCCTTAAAAATTATAGGGTCACGATGGCTTTCTTTCCCATTCTATCCGATTCTCAAGCGGAGTACCTTAAACGATTTCTAGATCGATTCTCACCATTCTGCATCAAATCCTGAGACAAAATATTTTAGATTTTGTCCATTTTTCGATGGGGGTCGAAAGTTTTTCCCCTATAGGGTCCACAGTGATGGCTATATCTTCCCCAATTCTCATCCGATTCTCAAGCGGAGTACCTTAAACGATTTCTAGATCGATTCTCCACCATTCTGCATCAAAATCCTGAGACAAAATATTTTTTAGATTTTTTGTCCATTTTTCGATGGGGAGATGGGGTTTCCCTCGAAAATGCGTTTTTCCCCTATAGGGTCCACAGTGATGGCTATATCTTCCACAATTCTCATCCGATTCTCAAGCGGAACACCTTAAACGATTTCTAGATCGATTCTCCACCATTCTGCATCAAAATCCTGAGACAAAATATTTTTTAGATTTTTTGTCCATTTTTCGATGGGGAGATGGGGTTTCCTCGAAAATGGGATTTTCCCTATAGGGTCCACAGTGATGGCTATATCTTCCCCAATTCTCATCCGATTCTCAAGCGGAGTACCTTAAACGATTTCTAGATCGATTCTCCACCATTCTGCATCAAAATCCTGAGACAAAATATTTTTAGATTTTTGTCCATTTTTCGATGGGGAGATGGGTTTCTCGAAATGGATTTTCCCAGGTCCAGTGATGGCTATATCTTCCCAATTCTCATCCGATTCTGCGGAGTACCTTAACATTTTGATCATTTCCACCATTCTGCATCAAAATCGTAGACAAAATATTTTTAGATTTTCTGTCCATTTTGAATGGGGTCTTGAAATGGATTTTCCCCTATAGGGTCCACAGTGATGGCTATATCTTCCCCAATTCTCATCCGATTCTCAAGCGGAGTACCTTAAACGATTTCTAGATCGATTCTCCACCATTCTGCATCAAAATCCTGAGACAAAATATTTTTTAGATTTTTTGTCCATTTTTCGATGGGGTTTCCCTGAAATGCGATTTTTCCCTTTAGGTCCCAGCGTGGCTATATCTTTCCCAATTCTCATCCGATTCTCAAAAGGAGTACCTTAAACGATTTCTAGATCGATTCTCCACCATTCTGCATTAAAATACTGAGACAAAATATTTTTAGATTTTTGTCCATTTTTCGATGGGGAGATGGGGTTTCCCTTGAAATGCGATTTTCCCCTATAGGGTCTACAGCGATGGCTATATCTTCCCCAATTCTCATCCGATTCTCAAGCGGAGTACCTCAAATTTCTAGATCGATTCTCCACCATTCTGCATCAAAATCCAGACCCAAAATATTTTTTAGATTTTTTGTCCATTTTTCGATGGGGAGATGGGGTTTCCCTTGAAAATGCGATTTTCCCCTATAGGGTCCACAGCGATGGCTATATCTTTCCCAATTCTCATCCGATTCTCAAACGGAGTACCTTAAACGATTTCTAGATCGATTCTCCACCATTCTGCATCAAAATCCTGAGACAAAATATTTTTTAGATTTTTTGTCCATTTTTGATGGGAGATGGGGTTTCCTTGAAAATGGTTTCCCCATGGTGATGCTATATTTTTCTCATCCGATTCTCAAGCGGAGTACCTTAAACGATTTCTAGATCGATTCTCCACCATTCTGCATCAAAATCCTGAGACAAAATATTTTTTAGATTTTTTGTCCATTTTTCGATGGGGAGATGGGGTTTCCCTTGAAAATGCGATTTTCCCCTATAGGGTCCACAGTGATGGCTATATCTTCCCCAATTCTCATCCGATTAACAGGCGGAGTACCTTAAACGATTTCTAGATCGATTCTCCACCATTCTGCATCAAAATCCTGAGACAAAATATTTTTTAGATTTTTTGTCCATTTTTCGATGGGGAGATGGGGTTTCCCTTGAAAATGCGATTTTCCCCTATAGGGTCCACAGTGATGACTATATCTTCCCCAATTCTCATCCGATTCTCAAGCGGAATACCTTAAACGATTTCTAGATCGATTCTCCATCATCCTGAGACAAAATCCAAGGGTTTCCCTTGAAAATGCGTCTACATGCGTCCCATCTACAGAGGTAGAGGTTTCCTCTTGGGATGGCTTTATTAAACAGAGCCCATCCAACGTAATTGTTCATTTTGTAAAATAAAAACCATGGTTTTAAGGATTCGAGAGATCCGGAAGTAACTTGAAATTGCATTTTTTATGTTGCACAGAACCCCAGGAGACTGACCCAAAGTCCTCTGACAAACAGCATTTAAGCTTAATTACGGGCAATTATTTGGACGGAGTCGAAAGCGGAGAGCAGACAGGGCGGCCAAGTGACCTCAATCATTAGTTGATAAGCACTATGGCCGCAGAAGAAAAGTGCATGGCTGGAAAAAAAATGCCGCCCAAAAGCAGTGACAATAAACCAAGTTGGGGAGATCATAAATCAAGGAGGCAGCATGCAGCCAAGAAAAGGTCATCTCCGAGAGGGCGAGCTTCTGGAGGAGGGTGGAGAGTGGAGAGAAAAAGGAACAACAATCCCTGGAAACTGGCTAGTAGTTGAAAATGATGTAAGATTTATAGTTAAGCCGAAGTGAACCTGTTGGACTCGCAGGACTCTAAGCCAGGAAAGAAGAAAGCAAGATGAGATATAAACTCCTGTCGGTTTTTATGGCGATGGCCGAAAGTAGTAGACCCACTGGACCATATCTGTCATTGTGGGGCAAAAAGCCCTTCAAAGCTGCAGCTTTGTGCATTTGATCCTTTCACTCAAGTCTGTGTCAGTTCAGTTTAGTAACGATTGGGCTTTTTCTTGGAACAGGACTACGGAACAGGTCAGGACAGGCGATAATTAGCGCCAAGGAGCACCCTTTCGTAGTCTGTTAATGATGTTAGTCCTGTATTCCACAAGCCTGAATTCATAATCATAGGTCCTTCTGCTAAAAAACTTTCTTAATTTCCTGTTTAAGAAGCTGACGAGCCAAGGCAGCCCGGGCGCTTCAATTAAAACTCGCCGGCAAGAAACATTCAAAAGCCATCCAAGCGTCGATTGCCACAAATCAACTTTTACATTAATTCGTTTCCAGGACGAGGTCCTGGCAGGAGCGAGGAGGTTGGAGGTCGGGGCTCGAGTGGCTGCCAGACTGACATGCTCCAAATATTTCGAGAGAGACAGTAGTAGCTGTAGCTACGAAATAACCGAGTGCGATGCAAAACAAACTTGCAAAGCCTACTACCACAAACCAGGCACCGTACACCCTACACCCGGCTACCCTTTCGTCCTGCCGCCTTCTGGCAGCTTGTAATCAGTTTAAAGTGAGTCCCGGCCACTAAAACTCAATTAACCCCATTTGAATGGAGCACGAGGCAATTGAAAAAAAAAAGGAAAACATACAGAACACAGAAACATGAAATGAAAACGAAAACGAATTGCGAGAAACGGAACAGAAAGCGAGCAAATCAAGGCAAAAGATTAAAAACGGAAATGGTTGGCCATTGAGTATGGTGGGTGGAATGGGTTGTTGGAGAGTGGAGAAGGACCCTGGATGGAGGCCAAAGGTTGGCAGCATTTTTCACTTAAAACCGCATTGATACTCAATTACCAGGTCGACAGTGGAGCTCCCTCCAACTTTGGACAAAACAAACGGCGGATGCGCCGTTCAGGAAAACGGAAGCACTTTGCAACGGAAATGAAACATCAATTAAAGTCGCACACACCCACTGAGACGATTCGCGGAGGCGGTGGAGATCCTGGCAACGACCTGACAGACCTGCCAGCCAGTCAGCCTTCTCCTGCGCAACTATATATTGCCTTTCTTCCTCTGGCCTGGCTCCTTGTAGACTTGCTCTGTGGCTGCCACACGGCCTAGGGGCAAGTTTCGTTAGTTTTTATTGCTTAATTGTAATTTCGCATATGGGAAATGAAAAGTTTAATTGGCTGAGCTTAAGTATCACTACCAGAGCGACTTTCCAGGGAGCTGCAATATAACTTTCACAATTGATGACTAATGGTGCACTGGGAGAAACGGTTAACAATAGATTAAAAGGGCATACTATTTTTAATTACTAGAACATCTATGATAAAAAAAAGCCTATAATTTTTCTCATTTTCTATCCTTTCAGCTCACTGAACGCCTGGCCAGGATTGCTGGACTCAATCGCCTCAAGACCGACGGGGATCCTGGACAAACCAGCTCTGGTTCCGGCAGCCGCATGAACTCCATACCCAATTCCCAACTAAACGTGGACCTCAAGGCACTGGACAAGCTGGTGAGCACTTTGCTGGAACAGCGTTCAACCGGAAGCAAGGCAGCTGGAGCCTTTGGGCCGGAAACGGGCACCCGGACACCGCCACTGCAACGGCTCGCCTCTAAGAAACTGAACAGATGGCGTCCCCTTTCACGATCCGCCCATAGTGTCAAGCACAGGGGTGATGGTGGCGACATGATTGGCGGCAGCTTCACCCAGTTGCTGGAACGGGTGGATCCTCCGGCCACCTCAATCAATCACCCCCATCCACCCAACATGCCTACGATCATGGAGAGCAGTGCCGGAAGTCCCCCGACTCCGAGTAATAGCCAAGAGCCACCGCCTCCTTGGACGGCAGCCTTGGAGGCGCCTCAGGGAGCCGATGACCCTAACCTGACCCACAACTATGTGGGCTGAGATACGAGTATATTTCACCAATGAATATTGAAAATATTTCCATATTTTATGAACATTTGTGTTGAAAAATTTTACAATATTAAACTGATAATAATTTATTGAAAACGCCTAACATATTATTCGCAATTAATTGGAAAAATATGATTGGCGAGAGTTGTTACGCGATTCAATTAAAAATTTGGCTGTCGGCTAGCCTTATAATTAGTTTGATCCCACTGCTTTTGTATTATTAATTATAATTTTTAACAGAGAGCCCAATTATGTTAAAAATTCCGATTCCGAGCCCACCTGGGCCTACAATGTACATATATCAAGAAACAAATGCAATTAACTCACCTGTCTTTCCATAACGCCCGACACCTGCTCCCGCTCGGCATGTCGATAATATCCCGTTAGATTGGCCCCCAGTCGCATGGTGACCTCGTAGCGCGTCTTGCCACTCCGGCCCGAAATCCCCCTGCCCTTCAAGGCGGAATAACTTTGCCCAAAGGACGATCCCTCGCCACTGTGGCTGTCAAAGTCACAGGCCTGATGGCAGTCAATGGAGCTGGTATTCCTGGTGCAGCCTGTCGAGAGGTAATGAAAACTTTAGTAATGGCTCTCGAAATGGGTCAATCAATGTGAAATATGTGTGACATTCAAGGCAATAATTCAAGTCTGGGAAAAAAAAATGTATAACACCTAAAGGACATCAAATTATAGACTCAACTATGCTAAGCATTTTTCAGGTTCCTCCCTTTTCAGTTTCATAAATACCGGAATAAGGTCGATAAAATTGGAATTTCCTTTTTTTTCTATGCTTGACCTTAATCTGTGACACCTATATGCATTTTTCAATTTTAGAAATTTATACCAAGGTCTGCAGGAATATTATATTGAAATTCCATAAAAGGTATCCCCAAAATACCTCATCATAAGTATGACTTCTTTTTTTTAATAATATTCTTGATTATTTTCAGTACATTTCCTCATTCGCGGAAAACCGGAACAACTTGAAATACGCTGGAAACATTCGGATTCCGGTTCTTCATCCTGCATCCATCCTCCGAACTCATTACCATTGCAGGCACTCTACGATTCAATGAACTGCAGAACTTAAAGCTTAAACATTCCTGCCGACTGGTGACATGGACGTTGTTGTTCTTGTCAAGAGCCACCCCGAGGGGGGTCCTGTGCAGCAGGAGTAGCGGCAGAAGCTGGGGCAGCAGCAGGATGGAAATTGGCACGGATCCCGGCCAGTGACAACCTGAGGTTTTCCACTGTGTTGCCGGTTGGTTGTTCCCTTTTAATTCTCTCCGCTGCAGTTGCTCCTCGTATATATACTTTTATTGTTTTTGCACGCACTTGCCGATTAAATGGCGCGAAAGGACATTCAGTGGGAAAAGGTAGGATAGTGAGAGAAAGAGGAGAAGGCTACCACCCACCCACTTCATGCCCTTCCTTTCAATTTGTCTGCAGTGTGTCTACGCCAGCACCCCAGCTGGCAGTGAGTGCATTTTTAAGGCTAATTATTTCTGTAATTACATTTTCACTTTAACAGCCGCTCCTTTTTGTCCACCCTCGTCCTTTTCTCCCTCATTTTATGTGCCTCTCCTTTTTTGTATATCTTTTGTTTTGGCCATGGCGCCTATTAGCCGCCTTACAACTCACAGCATATACACATACATACATATCTTGGAAATAACATTTATTACTGCACTTACCCAGTGTCGTCTCATTTATTTCGGGTATTTCGCATCTGGTCCCCTTGAAGCCTTTGGGGCAGTGGCAAGTTATGGCGGCGTCGCCGATGTGCCTGCAAATGATGATCCGACAATAAGAAAATGGCGGCCGGAAAAAGGAAATCCGGTTGAAGCCGATAACACGGAGGATTGGCCAAAAATAAACATATCTTTTCGAAACAGGCACTTATCTTTAATTGTGTGTACCGAGAATGGTGACACTTACAAAGCTTCTTTAAATGGAAAATAAAGGATAAGAAAACAATCACTTGCATAAAATCGATTTCAATGAGACTTTAGATATAAAGAAATAAAAGTTAAAGGTACTGTCCCTGATTAGAAGAATTTATTAAATTTCTCTAAAAAAACCGATATTATTTTTGGCCACTTCCTATCCTCATGTAATACTTACTTGCAAGTGCCACCATTTTGGCAGACATTGGTGTGAACATCCTCGCAGAGGGGACCATGTCCACAGTCGCTGCCACTGAAGCCGGAAAAACAGGCACACCCATAGGAGCTGCAAGGACAAAAACCGGACACTGTGAGCACGTTTCGAATTGTATATCTCCGATCTGGTTGGGGAACTGCAAACTTTTTGGCCAGCAATGGTCAAATTCAGAGACGACAAGTTGTCAGAGCGGCTGGCGCAGGACACGCATTTATTTTGGCCCAGATATTGTGACTCATAAAAGTTTTATTGGACCCACTTGATGTGGAATTTGTTGTTTTAAGTACGTGCCTAAGCTAAATTCTTAGTTATTTGAAATCCCACTTCGACATCATCATCAGATATATGTACAATGTATATACTGGAAGATGCTATGTGATACCAAAGGTCAAGCACTGGGTCACAGACAATAATTTAAATATATATAAGCTGCCCAGCCAAGGTCAGGCTAAAAAAGCCTTAACAGAGATTAGTTTATTGAGTGGGAAGGTCAAAGGGGAAGGATACTATTTACTCGAAATTCTGATATTTAAATGCTAAAAAATCAAACAAAAATCAAGCTTCACAGCCATAGTTATCTGTTCAGAATGCCTTTAAAAAGAAATTTTCTTTTTTTAACTTTCAAACAAGGTAATTAAAGAAAGCTTTCCCCTTGTCATTTATTCTAAACAATTTTAATGGAAACCTCTCTCAATCCCTTACAAATGTAATTATCGTCCTGAACTTTGCAGACATTTGAAATCACAAATTTTTGACAATTTAATTGGGGTTACCCGGTTTGACCCATTATTTCCCACTTTTTTTTTGTTTTTTATTTTTTTGGGAAAATGTGTAACCATTTGTTGAAAATAATTGGGCATCCCTTGCCATTTATTTCCAACCCTGTCGCTCGTTATTCAGCTGAAAGAGCAACAATTGCAATCCTGTTGTTAGTCCTTGTTGTTAGTCATGCGTTGGTGACACACGTCAACTGAAATTAATTTTCCATTCCGACCTTCCTCATGCTACTTACTTTTAAAAAAAAGCACCAAAAAAGGTTCAGGTTCTCAAGAACTCATAAAGCGTAAAAAAATAACCTTTTTCTTTGTTTTGCCACTTCCAGGAAATTTCGTTTAAGCCTAATGCCTATTCAATGAAAGAAAAATTCTAATTGATCTATTAGTGCCATCTGCAGGAACCCCTGTCTCGACGTTTATCATCAAATTCAGATCTATGATAAGAAAAAAAAAGAGAACAAAAAACTTTAACGCCGCTTAGTCAGAATGGTCGAAAAATCAAATGTTCCCCAGGGACGAAGGACAAAACAAAAAGTGACTGGGAAACTGGGAAACTTTTGACGCCCCATAAAAGTTGTACTTTTATGCGAAATCTTTTGCGGAGACAGAAGTATTAGACGAAGGGCGTTTCGCAAAAGTTTCGTCATTGGTGGCCGCAATTATGCAAAATATATTCGTCTGTTAGTTACTATTCAACGAAGACAAAATTATACTCTTTACGGTCATTTATCATTTGCATTTGGTAATAGCAGGCTGCCCTAAACTTGGCCTTGCTCTAACACAAGAACTATTGTCCTTGTAGAACGGAAATTAATTGCCAGTTTGTCCTGACATCTGCGATTCTTGCAACATATAATGTTGCCTATTTATGGGCATCGTTTCTTGTTAGGCCTTCTGTGACGGAAGTATTTTTTGAAGGACATCATATAGGCACGCACATATGCTTGGATTTATTTAAAAGAACAAAATATTGTTCTCATTCGGAGAATCTTGTACAATATTTGGATAGAAGGAAGCCCTTTTGAAATACACCACCCGTATGTAAACTTAAAATTAAACAACGTGGGTTGTTCGTAAGGATAAAGAAATATCACGAAAAGGACAAAAACTCTCTCTCACTGGAGATTTTCGCATCAGCGCCTGCACTAAACCTTCTTCATTTCAATGAAACGGGCTTTGCATTTTTTACGAATCGTCGAAAATCACCTGCAGCTGTATTTGGCCGTATGTTTGCGAGTTTTTGGTAGTCCTTATGGTCCTTTTTCGAATTTATTTTTGTTTTTTGCATAATTCTGTGTATTTTGCGACATGTGCACTTCGAAAGTTTTTTGTACACAAAAAAGTATTTGGCACACTGAATTTTATTTTTGCCTTTATACGTGCTTGATGCTGCCGGCCCTTTGTTTTAAATAAAAATTAAATGTGCCGCACACATAGTAGTAGTACCACATACCGCCATACGGTTCAACATTTCGTTGGAGGCACAGAGATATACATAAATATATATTTTCGGTTACCAGTTCGGCTGGGCTCTCTCAGGGGGCATTGGGCATTGTTTTGACTGGCTCTTGGCAAACCAATTTTGCGCATTTTAAATTCATTCATATTCCGAAAAGCTGAACAATTAAAATCGCTTGCCAAAAATCTGCAACAACTTTATGGGGGGACCGTCCTCGAAAAACTGCTGACAACAGGGCTCGTGGAGCTTGGGGAGCTGGAGGAGGCGATGCTTGACTGCATTTCGAATATGACGACGATGGCCTAAACCGAAACGGCATAACACACACATATGGCCCATAGTATGAATGCCATGAATATGTCAGATGAGACGCCAGTAGTGCCTTTGGCTTTTCCCGAAAAATGGTTACTTAGTAGCGGGATTTTTTGGCAGATTTTTGACAAAGAGCCAAAGTGCATGGGATGAAAAATATGATGAAAAAAATAAAAAGAATCATAAATATATTCCCCATTTTTAGTGGGCCAAAAAGAAACTTAAATATTTGAGATGCTTTTTGGGAAAAGCTTCTACATTTCCACCACATTAAATGGCTTTAATTCGAACGAATCAATAAATGAAAAGTCAACCATTGAATGACTGATGAGTGTTCACTCTCACATATTTTATTTCAACTTTAAGTAATGGCATATGTATTTCTGTACTCGTGTCCTGTGTGTTTCCTAGATGTCTGTATGTTTTCCTTTGGGCCTGGCCATTCAGTCCTGGAAACGCAATGAAATTACAACAAATTGCTTTTTTCTTGCCAGTGGCACGTGTAACCGTAAAAAGAAGCGGTTGAAAAAAAAAAATACACATATAGTATATATAAAGAAAGGAAAGGCTGAAATGTTGGCAATTACTTTTTCACCCATTCGCCTAATGCAATAAAATTTAATTTGATGGGAGTATGTATGTGGAAAGGTGCGCGGGCGGCAAGGATAGAAGTCCTGATATGGTTTGCGGCTAGGCAATCGTAAAACACAAAGGATGTGTGGGATATTAATATGAAATATATATATATATACGCGGTGTGGCATATATACAAATAAGTAAGTGTTTTGCTGTTGAATTTTAATGGCTTTGTTTTTAAAGAATAAAATATATAAATGTATCTTCAAGCACATGGCTCTAAATCTTGTTATTTCTTTTAAACAATTAATATAATTTATTTTAAAAAAAAAATCTAACCCTAAGAATCTACTACCTTATTTTTTATTGGGTATATGATTTCCCCTGATATCAAATTTTAAAATTTGAAGCAAATGAAACCCCAGGTACGCATGCAGGTAAAGTTTTTTATGTTCTACTTCAACCCACACACATTTTCATGCATCTTACAACTTTTGAAATAAATAATAACGTCTGTTGTTCCTGGAAAGAGCCAATCTGGGCTGCAAGACAGGAAAATTAAAAGGACGAAATTACCACAACATTGGCAGGAAAAAGTTTTAATTGAGCGCCACATGCTCCTCTTATGGAGGACTCTGACTTGGATAGGGATGTGAAAATGGGCGAATTTCGTTACCCAAACAAAACATAATTGCAATATGCAAAGCTCGGGACTCTGACCAGTTGCAGTTGCAGTGGCAGTGGCAGTGGCTGTGGCAGTTGCAAGTGCAGCTCCCAGGGCGCTTGTTCGTCGACTTTGGATAAATGACAATGTTTGACATCGCAAACAATGCAAGAGGCTCTGGCGCAGGCGAATCGGAATGACACTGACACAGTTGCCATGCGGCAAGCCAAGTGGCATGTGCAAGTTGCACGAATGGACGCCGCCCCGTCACGACCGCCCTGTTCTCTGTCTTTGTTTGGTCTGATCTCATTTGGTGCTGACATTGTGTTTGTTCAGCACCAGTTCGCTTTTTGTTATTAAAGTTAAGGCCAAGACTGGAAACGGACGCAGATCCATAGCCAGCGGCAACGCACATTGATTGCCCCAAAAAGCCACCCGCCCCACTCAAGCCACTGGACCCCACAATATGCCGCCCGAATGTGGCCTAATTCGGAGCCGATGTCATTGCCGTTGGTGCAGCTTCTTTCGGCCCTGTTTACGGAGCTGCCCTCGAAAAAAGGTTGCCAATCAGTTGGCTCCGGGATTGGATTTTACGGCCTCTTTTACATTTTTGGGCACTCAAATATACATTGTTGTATTTTAGACCAAAAACTCTGCCGCCAGACTGTAAGTTAACAAGTTTTTGGAGCAAAAAAAAGGGTGTAGAATAATATTCTTTTTGCAATACTGTGTATACATTTTGGTGCCTTTCTCTGACTTGTTTTTGGAAAACTTAAAGGAAAAATAGATTAAATTACTGATTCGGTTCAATAAAGGGCCGGCCCGTCAAAGGACGGGTTCTCAAAGCGAAAAAGTTTTTCAATTAAGCGTCTGTTAATGAAAATATATAGAGAAGCTACGCAAAGAAAACACAAAACAAAAGTAAGAGCCATCCAGGGCCACACCCTGCCAAAAATGGCTTAAAACCGTAAAAAGTATTTAAAAAATATAAATTGGTTACTGCTCTGTTGAGTTTTGCGGTGAAGTGCAACAGATTTCCACTTTCCACCAGCAAATTGATGAACGCTCAACAAATAAATGCATTCAAAAAAAAAAAAACAAAAAATACTTCCAGCTACCAGCCAGGACTCAGTCAGTCGAAATAAATGCAGGAGCCAAAAGGAAGTGCGCTGGCGAAATGGAAACGAACAAAAACTTCAACTTGCTGGCTTTTGGCCAATTGTTTATGCCTTATTGTTTCTGCTCTTTGGCTTTTGCAGCGAATTTCTAAAGTTTCTGCAAGCAGTTTGCAGCTCAGCACCATTTTGAATATTTTATAGAAATTTTATTGGCCATTCTATTTGGTTAGTAGAATTGTGGTAATGAGATTTGCAAGGAATTGTGTAAAAAAAATTATTTTAAAACACAAGACTGAAAGTAAACGTTCACTCCTGAAAAGAATTAAATTTTCTCGTCACTCTCTTGCACTTGACACTTTTACTTTCCACATTTTAAGGAGTAATAAGCTCCACATTTTAAGGAATAAAATTTTTTTCAAGAGAGTCATATGTACCCACAATTATGTCTAAAATATTAGGTCTTATGGTGTTTATTAAGCTTATATTTTTATAACTTAAGAAATAAAATAGAACCACCAAAGCATAAACTCTTACTATTAACTTTATTTGATAAACTAAAAAAAATAAACTTTCACTATTCTTATGAACTTAACCATACCAGAATATGGTGACTCCTTCAAAGCCAAGGATATGGCACTTCAAAAGTATAAAAGGGGCAGCAAAAAAAAATTAATAAACGGGGGAGGACTTAGCATACGCACACTGGATGACACATAAAGTTTCGGGACGAACACCCCCGCGTTTTTTACCATCTATTTAGCATTCCCCGATGCTATGCATTTTTCGCACATTATCTTAACAAAGGAGATGCTGGAAACGAGTGCCATAAACGAGAATGCAATGAGAGATTGTGCTGCCAGGGGATGGATTTTTTAGAGGGTGCTGGGAGACGGAGGCGGGACGACCGACCTCCTCATCCTCAGATTGGGGTAACAGTTGACAACATGAGCATGACTGTTTTGTTGTTTATACAACGGCTGGAGCAGCAGATGTGATGCCTTGCCTCTGACACAAGTCACTTGACAGCCACTGGCACATCCACCCATTCCATCCAGGATCCCCGTTCGCCTCATCGTGCACTGAGAGATATTTGGCACGGAAGTTCGTTATCTAAGGCACGTAGTGCTAGTGGAGGATGAGCAGCCCCCCAAGCCCCCAGTTGCCTCTAGTTGGTAATTAACTTACGGGACGGTACGTGGCAGGCGCGAAATTATATTGCTCTTCTGATGAGCCGGGCCAGACTAAGTTCAGCTGTCACTTTTATATTAATTTTTGGCCTTCGCTTTCACCGAATTTCACTCACATTTCGACATTGATATTAATATTCAATTAGCTGTCCGAATGCGCGGCCTTGGGTCTAGTAATTAATTATAATTATGTTAAGTAGGCTGGGAAGTTGCAACTTCTTGTTCTACTTAGAAGGCCAAACCGAAGGCAAAAGTTTCTCGATACTGCCCTCTACCCAGTCCAAAAAAATAAATCGCGCAATTAATTTGATTTGTTTAACCTCCTGTGGGGTCATTGTTCCGGTTGGCATTTACGTGTTAATTACCTTAAAATTGTCTATTTGTTGTCATTTAACTTTATAATTGGTTTGGCAATTGAAATTGTAATTTTATTTGCCTTTTATTTGGCCGCAGTGTTTCCGCCATTTCCGCAATCTGATGGAGTGGGCTGGGGGTAAAGAAATCTCTGAGGGTGCATCAAGCTGGTATGTAGAAGCTCTTCAATTAATCAAGCCCCTGGCAAAGAACCCGTCCACGGCTTGTCATGCCATTGTAAGTACAATACCGCAAGCCCTCCTCACGTCAAACTCAATTGCGAAGCTTATTCATAAAACCGCACTACCTGGATTTTGTCAGGGAAAATGCATCAAGCGCTCTGTTCGCTTTTCTTTTGACTTTTCATACGGTTTTTCACGAACACATACCTTTCCTTTTTGCTGACATGGGTTTGGCATTGGATTGCTCTGGAGTACGGAATACAAAATACGGAATACAGAATACGGAGGTAGTTGTTTTTCGGGTTTTTTTTTTTTTGGGCTACACTTATTGAAACATTACTAATGTATGGCTCCCACTTGGTTTAGTTTTGAGAGCCTCGAAACGTAACCCATGAACCCAAAGCCCAAAAACACAAGCTCAAAAGCCCGGGACCAGTTGAACAAGTTTTCTGTTCGCAAAAAGGGCCAAAAGATTGATGGGCGAGCAGTTAGCAGTTTCGACGGTTCAACCTGTCGGTGATTTTCCGCTGCCGGGTGTATAGATTTGTCTGAAAAACAAAACGGGAATTGTGTTTTGAAAACGAGAAAATCTGGGGCCGTTTCTCCACCGTTTTCACTTTCACATTGCCATATTTTCGCCAAAGGGTCGATGCGGGCCGTAAAAGTTTCGTTTTCGCTTAAAAATGCTACATATTCCGGACGCAGGTGCCCGCCGTGTCCGCGGGGAAACCGCCGGCAGACTGCCGGATCGCTTGAGTTGTCGAGCTTGACTTACAAAGGGCAACAAATGTTGCTTTTATTCACATATATGAACACATGGGAGCTTCAACAAACTCTAGTACTATATTAAAGTGAAGTTTTTCATTCCGTGTTTCAGTTTTAAGTAACATTTTCTGAAAAAATTAAGCATTTGACCAGCGTACCAGGCCTAGTCTACAAAAAAATAGCGTATGGAGAAACCATAAACGAAATTGGTGCATATCTTTCATCTATAAAGATCTACAAATATAAATTTCATTTTCCGCGCCAAGTCCTAGGCAACGTGGCGTATGAGTAATATGTTGGGTGCCCTGCATGTTACTCTTTTCTAACGTGCTATTTCCAGTACAAGGAGCTTCCAGTACAAGGAGATACAAAACTTAAATTAATTGGTTTAATCAGAAAATTAAAACACTAAATAAAGATTTGTATGTACATTTATTGATAAGTTAAGAATCAATGGTATCGACAATGGTCGATTACTTCTCGATTACTTACCTAAAATCTTCACTTGCATAGCAATCTCCCAGGAACCGACACTGCAAAGTGTTGCACTGCGTCTCCTTTACATCGTTTAGCACTTCGTAGGTGATGTTGAACCCGTAGACGTCCAGCAAACGGTCCAGGGCTCTTAGGTGGGTGCCATCCAAGGTGGCCATGGTGAAACGGATCTCGAGGTACTGGCTGTGGAACTGCACCCAAGTGACCTGGGTTACGTCGTCCTCGGTGAGCGTGAAGATGCGGTGGGCAGGCACCTTGAAGTCGTCGGAGTAGTACATGTACTCGGTGAACTTGAGACCACTGAGGACATACAGTTGTGTGAGGTACACCACGATGGACACGTTGCCCTGGACGGGCAGCTCGGAGGCGTCGATTATCCAAACGCACTCGATGGGCGTGGCGAAACGGTGCGGGAAGTTCGGCGTTTGGATAATGCCGTAACGCTTGTTGAGGACGCCGCCGCATCCTGGACTACTGCCGGAGAAGGCGGACGAGGAGGACGAGGGCCGAGACGCCTGCTCGCCTCCCGCAAAAGCATTTAATGCAAAATTGTGCTGCACCGCCGTAAAGGGCGGTGGCGGTGGTAACGGCACGGCGGGCAGCGAAAACTTCTGATCCGCCACGGTGTCCCGGACATTTTGATGACGCGTTGTGGCATCCGTCTCGAATTGATGTTGCCGGCTCAGGGGCACCAGCAGGGTCAGAAGCAATATCGTCGATGCTATCCGGACTTGGTTGGCCGCCCGCAGCGACATTGACTTGGCTTTTAGCTCTCTGCCCCGCTCTCTGTTATTTTTATTTTTTCCTCCTCGTTTATCGGGCCAAAGCTAGCTTATCATTTGGCCAGGACAGGCACTGGAATCCAGTCTGCCGGTATAGTTTTCCGCGTTTCCACAGCCCACTCACTCATTGACATTTGGCCCATTTTTTTCGGCCAGGCTGATGGTGGGTGTGGGCTTGGATTTGGGTATGGGTGGTAGATGATGTCGGCTGCAAGTAGATAGAAAAAAAAGGAAAAAATAAAGTCGAATTTTTAGTTAAAACCATTTTGACAGCTGTCGTTTGCATTTGAATAACTGCCGCTGGCTTGCCACGTCGTCGTCGCAGTCGCACCCGTCCTCGTCCTGACTGTCAGCATGAAAAAAGCAATTTGGAAATCCACTAAAACGCGGAGGCGCTCGAGGAGCGCATCAATCATGGCTTCACGGTTTTCGTCGAGCATCCCCGGCCCATAAAACAAAAACACAAAGACCCACTTCACCTTTCTTTCCGCATCTCAAATTGTTTTCCCATATTTTTTTTTGTGACTACTCTCCTATTTCTTCTATGCTGCACCAAACTAATCTGAAGCCTCTGGGGATGGGTTTAGTAAAGCATATCCGAAAAGCTGGCAAAAGCCTGACAGAAATGCAATCATGGCTAATCAAATTCACATAATTGTGGGCAGAATACACACAGCAATGCAAATATATAACCGACTCAACATAACATTGTATAGTAATTAGGATGGACTAATCGGATAAGTAAAAACTTGGTAAACCAAATCAAAATTTGGATTGCCACAATCTCCGGGCATGTCGTCAACAATTCAGGGCACAGCGGTATTTGCCGGAGAATTGTGTGTCTAAATTATTCATAGAGTCCTCTAAGAGAGCCGGGTTGTGTGTGTGTGTCTATGTGGTTAATAAGATTATGCAATAGAACTTCCTGCCGGGTCCGGAAATACCCTGGCAGATATTTTAGAATTTATGCCCGGGTTTCGTTTGCCTCTCCGAGCCAAATGAGCTCGCACCGTTGACTTTAAACTGATGTCAAACTTTGGCATCCGGCGGCTGTTCCTTCGTCCCATCGCAGGATTTAGGATTGCTTAGTGGGGAATGAGGGTGTGGTGGGTGGTAGGTCCTTTCGGTGGCAAGATGTCGCTGCGTGAATGTGTGTTAACAAGTTTAATCAAACGACAATGTCGTGAGATACGTGGCATACTTTTAGGCACAAAAGTCGACGCGGCATATGAGCACGTAAAACGGCGAGGGGCCGCGCGTACTCTGGGCTTGAAGAACTTGAAGTGAAAATGAGTTTTACTTTGAAATTACTTTAGTTACGCATTTAAGACATAATGAATAAAAACTCGGTTGCTTTGCAAAGAAAACTTTTTAGCCTATCTGTGACGCCTGGAGAATGCAAATTTGTGGCGCTTAGTTACGCCGTTTAGTCGACACGTTTATATATTTAATTCTTCCTCAATGTTTAGACTAAAAAATAGGCATTTCTCGAGGTTGGAGCGATCTTTTTCGGGATTTATTTGATGTATTTTTGAGGCTGAAGCCCCCTCGTTTTTGGAGACCCTACTGCTATGTCGGCCGGGTTAAAAGAACGTCTCGCGTTAACAGTGACGCTTGGCGTGCCCAACACTTCTCTATAGATAAGGCCACTAGGCAGGCACTTCAACTGATACCGATAAACGTAAAGCTAGCCGTCGCAGTCGCCGTCGCTGTCGCGGTTCAGCGGCTACGCCGGCAGAGCCGTAGCTGGCTCGTCGAGCAAATTGCCAATTTAAATTGGCCGCGTTAAATTAGTCGAGTTATCAGCCTCCACGGCGACAGGTGTGCGGAAGGTTTACGAATCGCAGGGCGCAGTACTTGGCAAGCCATACACCCTGGCCCCCCCCTCGGCATCGGGCAGCGCGGAAAAAGTGATTCAGACCCTAAATGGCCCAAATGGAGCGGAAATGGTTACGTGCAAAATTGTAAAAATGACCATAGTGTTGCTCTCTGGCGAAGGAAGTGAGAATGCCACCATATTTTAAGTGCATCCGCAGTCGCAATTAATCTTCGGCCGAACCTAGTGATTCGATGGTGACATGCCCGATCGTCGTGCTTGCCTCAAGTGGTTTGTGTTAAAAAAAAATAAATAAATGAGAAATCATTATGAATTATGAGTTCAATCGGTGTATATTTTCAACAAAAATCAATCGGAAATATTTATGCTTTTTGTCATTCATTTCTATTCTATTTGACAAATTAAAAGTCAACAAATATATCAATCATCTTGAAGTTGCTGATATTGATATCTAATCAAAAGATATGGCAGACATGGAAATATTTTGAGTGTTTTAGTGAAAAATTAGTTTGCGTCAGACCCTTTTCCAATAAAAGTTCCAACATTTTTTTCCTGCCAAGTGTTCTGGTCAAGTTCTGCAATTTTCAGAATTGAGAATTTCGTGAAATCGCAGTGTTTTTACCTTTGCTTTCCACAAAAAGCTTATCAGGCTGTAAAAGTTACCTTGGTCGTCAATTTAATGTTCCGGCCATAATAAACAAGCTTATGCTATAAACCCGAAATCAAAACCTGAAAACAATTCAGTCATTATGAAATGCAATGAATAAAGAAAAAGAACCTTTAAAGTAACTGAGGAACAACAAATAAAGCTGAAGAAAAGTGTGCTGATAACTGCCAACGAATTGTCAATAAATTAATATAAATGGAGTAACTCGTGACACTAGCTGCGCTTTTTGCCATTGCTTTTTGGCCATTTCGTAGCTGGCCAAAGTCAAAAATCATGGCTGAAAAAGCAATGCAAACGTACAAACACAAAGTTATATTTTTTTTCCCGATTTGAAAAGTGTACACCGATTAGTTGTTTGTTTGTTTGTTTGGTTGATTGTTCGTTTGTTATCGACAAATCGTATAAGGAAATTCAATTCGATAGGTGGCTAATAAAAACAGAGCTATGGACGATTATGGACGACAACATTAAATTTGTTAATTCACCCACCCACCTACGGTATAATGCAAGAAGCCCCAATTCCGGACTGGCATTGTTGCCTTTCGAGGCATTTGCTTTAGAGCTCTTGCCCAAACAATGAAATCCCACCGCATAAATAGAAAACAATTAGGCATTTGGAGACGATAAGAGCCAGAATGATAAAAGCCAGCAAGCATTCTGACTCATCGCAGTGGCCAAAAAACAAAAACCGGAGAAATTGGTAGCAATTGGTCGCTCCGAGCGGTAATTAAAGCAGCCAGTTGACGATGCGCATAATTTCTGAACTTTGAAACTTTTGTTCCACAAACAAATTTATCAGATTCAAAGCAAATGCTGCTTTCTGGGACAGTTTCTGGGACAGTTGATAAACCGATGTGGTCAACACAAAATTTAGTGGCCCACTCTTGCTTGGAAATCCTTTTGTTTTTTATGGCAAAACTCAAAACTGAAAGCTGATGGTCTTAATCTCTGGCTTGTACTTTTTTTATGTCTCACAAGGTCCGGTTATAACTCAAGAAATAATAGTTCTTTGATATAGACAATCAAAAAAACAAGTATTTTTAGTTTTTGATGAGATTTTTATAAGTTTTTATTGTAGAAACATTTCAATAATTACTAGATAATTACAATCCTTAAATTAGCTCCAAAATATGTTAAATGTTTGTAGTTTTGTTTTTCAAAGAAAGTACTAAAAACTGTAACAGTTAAATTATATTTTTTCAATTCAGATAACTTTAATCTTAAATCGTTTTAAAGCTAATACAGTAAGTCCTATAAAATTTATAAACTGGCTGAAATTCACAAATCGTGAATCGTAAACCACAAAAAATCGAATTGAAGTCAAACGATTATCGAAGCATACATAATCCGCGACAATTGCAACCGAACACAACAAATTTATGGCCGCAATTAAATCCTTGACCATAAATCAGAGAATATGGCCGCGGTAATCAAAGTGTTTAACCCACAAAAGCAGTACCAGGAGCAGTAACAACGGCAGAGCAGTAACCGCAACGTATCGAGATAAAAACATTTGGCCAACAGAGAGAGAGAGCAGGGCGGACAACTAACCTCGGCTAATACACACTAACAAGGAGCAAAAGTCATTTAGTTGGCCATTAGGTGGGACGCCCCCTCTCTATACCCTCTATATTTCCTCAATTCCCCATCCTCACCAGCAATATGGCCTGCTTTCCCCGATTATTCCACCATCGCAGCAAAAACAAATTCACGCCCGCCGAAGATGAAAACACCGATACGATACTCAACACACAGGATAGCCCCGTGGTGAGTTCCGCATGCCAGAGATCACGCTTTGGTGTTGCACTTGTCTGATAAGCCCCCTGATAAGTTCATCAAGTGCTTAATTGAGTTAATCGGGGCGGCGCGAAAAAGCCACAAATAATGTGAAGTCAAACAAAAAAACAGAAAAAGTACAAGTATGAAAATTAAGTTAATCGACAAGAAGATACACTATAAGAGAGGATAAATATCTTGATATTATTAGGGATATATTTCTCTTTCTTTCTTTTAAAAATATTTCAAAACCATCTTTCCTATAATTTCTTGTTTAATTTTTTTTTGTTAAGTCAATAAAACCTTACTACAGAAGAGCAACTACAATACCTAATAAATAATATATATAATCTCCACATCACATATGGAAAGTTCCCCACATTTGGGAAGCCTCCCAAAATAATCATTATTATTCATAATTGTTTATAATCGATAACATGCGGATATTCTCTAAATATAGGGTATTGAATCACGCTAAAATCCGTTTGGTGCAAAACCTTGTTAGCCTTATCATTCACTTTTCTACCCATGACGTTCACTTTTCAACAGGCTTATCTCACAAGAACCGAAAAAAAAACTGGGGGAAAAACACGTGCGTCGAACACAGAATTCCCATTAAAATAAGGTTGGGAAAATATTGCTGTAGGTTGTCATAAAAATGTATAAATAATACTACTGACCATAAACCTGTGACTAGTAACTAGTAGAATACGAAAAACATGGAAAATTTTGTTAAAGAAAAAGTCCACAGCTCTAATAAAGACACGTTGACACAGAAAGGCTTCGATTATTTCGATTAAAAAACCATGTTTCTACATAAAACATGACGTTAGATTGAAATATATATAATAAACGTGTGACCAAGAAACTGTTCAGTTCATAAAAGACAGAATATTTTATATTAAAATAATTAACTGCTTTAACAATAAAGCATAAGCCGAAGTTCCGATTAATTTCGATTGTTTCAATAAATTCAAAAAATTTCATACTGATTTACATTTATAATTTGAACATCCCATTGGAATTGGTCACATAAAATGGCGGAAACTTATCAAGACAACTTCAATCGCCAGGCACTTGACTTTTTGCAATCTTTGCGTTTCATCAACGACAAACATTCAGCGACGATTCTGTATTCACTCGTTGGTATGCAAAAATATGATAAGCATGCATGGTATAAATAGGTGTGGGTCGAAACAGAAATCGTAAAAATAAATAAAAAATATTCAAAAGAAAATCAAATTCGTGGCATAGCAGGCAGAGGAGGAAACTCATGCATAAATCTAAAAACAAAATGGGCAAAGTGGCAACGAGATACTTGCAGCCGGAGCTCCAAATGACGTATAAATATGCAGAATCCGTTGGGCTATCTATAGAAGCATCTGTAGCTGTCTCTCCAGAGCCAGACTGACATGTTCCTAGGCACTTGGATGACAATGAACGTGATTGCACGCACAACTTACACGTCAAAGTAATTCTAAATAACTGCGCGACATTCAGGGCCGAAGCCGTTAGAGAAGCATACGCCCCCGGGGAGGAATACTGGCAGTTGGTAGCTGAAATTTGGAAAATTCCTAGTCTCATTCTCCCATTTAATTTTTGTCTTTTTTCTTTGGGAAAAATCCTTCGAGTGCAGGGCTGCGAGTTGGCCTTATCGTTTGGAGTTTATCGGCCAAAAAACAGAATTTGGCGCTTCCGTGGGAAAACGGAAAACCTGTCAAAATGCCGTCGTTTAGGTCGATTAGCATATCAAAGCAGAGGCAACCAGGCGACTCGAAAATTGACACGTGTTTATTTATGCCTGCACTACCATAGGCACCCCCTTAGGGGGTTTGAATATTTCATTAGGCCCCCATGCCAATTGAAAGATAAGATGTAAGAGCTTTTCGCATGAGCGGACTTCAAATATATTTACGTCAAAACTTTTAAACAGGCAGTAAATTAACAAACAAAAAATCATAAACCTACCGCAATGTTTAAACAGTCAACTTTTTTGGCTTTGACTCTCTGACACAGTTTCAAAAATAAATTATAAAAAACAAGACAAGCTGACTTTTTTATTAGTTTAAGAGCAGGAATAATCAGAGTTAAAAAAAATGCTATTAAATAAACTTTGGGTAGAATAATAAAAGCTTTTGACAATAAAATTCTTTTGAAACCTTGATGCTTGATTTAAATCGGTATCTCATCACCACTTTAAGCCAATCAATTTGCAATAGTTTACGGAAAATCCCTAACTGACGGATTGAAATCAGAAGAAGAAAAGGATACAAAAGGGACACATTTTCGCAACCATGCGAATTTCGCATAAAATGTGGCAAACAAAGCCGGGCATTTAAAGGACATAATGCCACTGGAAATTGGCTGTGATGTTGTCGAACTAATGGATATTTTACACAGACGGATTGAAAGCCTTAGCCTTATTGGTCAGAATAATCTGGCGAAAGGAAGTGTTGAGAATTAAATTGATTTTATGCCAACTCTTTGGGAGAGAGTTATATTTTATACGGTATCTAAAATACGAAACACCTCTTTTCTGGAAAAAGTAAACATATATTTTAATTATAGGCCAGAACTCGGCGAAAACAAAGTCATGGGCTTTTGTTGCAACATTTTGATTGTAGAGAGTTCAGGGCAAATATTGGGCTAATAGAGGTTGTGTGTGCTCTGTACATGGAGAAACAGATATCAAGACTTTTATAAAAAAATGCCTCTATTATTAGCTATTACATTAAATATTCTGCTATTAAAAAAATCTATTTAATCAAGCATTTATTTACACAACCTTATATAGACTAACTTTTTTATTTAAAAGTTTCCCTTGTCTATTTGCTAATTAAAGTCCAATCTATTTCAGCAAATTGGCCTGTATATCCGTCGCGAGGAGAAGCCACTGTACTCGCCCATCGTCACGCCCAGCGCCAGCGAGGTGAGTAAGCTCCGTATTTACCTGAAAATTGTATCGCGTCGCTTTGCGTTTCCACCTGTTCGTTGGGGGACTGTATTTTGTGGGGACCCAACTAATATTTGCACACATGCTTGTATGTTTCTTATACTTTCAAACGAATTGATGTACACAATACTATCGGCACAAAAACACTTGTAAATATAAATATATGTACGAACACTCGACAACGCCTTCTCCTCCAATGTCCAATGACACCCTCACACCACCTCACACCGAAACACCGATGCCGAAACTTTTGCACCGCTTTGTTTGTCTTGGTAAATGTTTTTGGCCAGGCCAAGCTCCAACGGCTGAGACAGCAGCAGCCGCCCCCCTCAGGTAGCTCCTCCTCGGCGTCGGCCTCTGCCTCGGCCTCTGCCTCGGCCTCAGCCTCCACCTCCGCCTCAGCGGTTCCCTTCGAAAATGGCAGTGCAAACAATGGTGGCCAAGAGAAGAAGTTTAAGTCGAACATGGCCAGGTTACAGAAGGCCAGCAGAGAGAAGGAGAGAGAACGAGAAAAGGACAAGGAGGCCCAGGAACTGGACGAGGACAGGCAAGAGGATGCGACAACGGCCTCTGTCAACGGCAATGCAATTAATGTCACACGCTCAAATTCGAAATTAAAACCGGTCAAAGAGCGTCGTCCCACAGCCCTGCCCTCGGAGGTGCCTAGCATTGAGATCGAGGAGGATTCGCCGGAGGATGCCAAGGATACGGCGCAAGAGGAGGACCGGGAGGAGGAGCGAAAACGAGGCGAGGGGCGTGCTAATGCACATGCCGTCGATGTCGTTGATGGCGGCAAGTCAAAACTCAAAGTGAATGTGAACGGCATAATTGATGAGAGGGGCGGTGCCGATGATGTTGCCACATTCGATGTCGCCACACCGCCAAGCACCGCCGCCGCAACACCTGTGACCGAGGGTCCTGTAAAGTTTTTCATTGGTCACACACAGGAACTAAGCACACACCAAACAGAGGACACTTTGTCCTGGCAGAGCAGCGATACCAACAACAACCGCAACAACGATGCCAGCAATACCAGCAAACTGGCAAATGGTTTCCTGCCGCTGGAGCGACGGGATCGGGACAAAGACCAGCTCGAGGCTCCACCCCGTGCCAAGAGCTCCAGCAATGTGTCACTCAATTATCTTGCCAAGCCACCAAGCAATGCCGGCAGTCCCCGCCGCAGACGAGTGTCCACGATGCCCGATATTAACATACCGCCGGCACCACCAATGCCCCCGGATCTACTCGTCCCGGGAACTCCACTCCATTTGCGCAAGAAACGGAGCATGGAGCGTCCCCCTCAGTCGCAGTCCCAGACGCAGTCACCTGGCATTCCGCCGGATGCCTCGAATAATCAAGTAAGTAATGAGTTGGGTTCCCAGATGACATGGGCAGGAACTAGCCAGAAGCGTGCGGTTTTTGGTTAATTTGCTAACCTGTCAGCCGCCAGTTGTGGCCAGGATTGACTTTCCATTTTTTTTCTTGCTCTTGAGTTTTTTATTTTTGTCTAGAAAGTTGTACAGGTCCTTCGTGACATTGAGTGTGATTAAAAATACTTGTAAAGTAATATGATTGCTTTTACCTTATGGAATGATTAAAAAATAGTTGCTAGACTACTAGAGAATATGTTTTTTTACTATTTTTGTATAAAAGCCAAAGACTACACCCCCATCCTCCTCCGATAGTCACTTAGTGTCGGCCAGCTATTTACTCAGCAAAGAAAACTTTCATATGAAAACTAGAGAACAATCTTATGGTGGGACTTTCTCAGACTTCTCAGTATCTATACCCGAGGGCATACACAAGGAAAATTAGAAAAGCAACAGCTGCTTACAAGTGTGCCGCGCCATCCAAACACACACTTGTAACAACAAGTGAAATGTTAATTGTTCGCCAACAGACACGATCCGAAACTTTCGCCCAGCCAAGAGCCAAATAAAGTCGTTTTCGCCAGCTTTTCGCCATTTGGGCCTTTGGTTCTGCTGCATTAGCAGTCTGTGGCTAATCAGCCAGTACAGGGCGTCCGTTTAAATTGAATCCGAAGCTGATACAGCAAAATGTTTTCTTAACGGCTGAGATTTTCCCACTTTTGGATACAACAATATAGACAAACTGTTTCCTTCAGGTACTGGAGTTCCGAGTTGGCCTGAAATGGCCTTTCAGCCCAAGCAACAAATGCTTAGCATGTCCTTTGGTTTTCATCCGATTCCAGAAAGGAATACACCAAATGATTTGTAGATTGATTCTGTATAAATCTGCACCAAAACCTGTGCTCAAAATTTTTTATCCATATTTTTCATATATTCCTCATGGACCCCCTAGCAAAATCCAGGATATCCGTATGTGACCCATTGCGATACCTATATTTTCATCCGATTCCAGAAAGGAAAGCCCCAAATGATTTGTAGATTGATTCTCTATAAATCTGCATCAAAACCTGAGATCCAAATTTTATTTTCCTGATGGATCCCCTTGCGAAATCCAGGATTTCCATATGGGACCCCCTGCGATGGCCATATCTTCCGCAATTTTCATCCGATTCCAAAAAGGAATACCCCAAATGATTTTTAGATGGATTCTGGATTCGCAATTTTCAACCGATTCCAAAAAGGAATACCCCAAATGATTTGCAGATGGATTCTGTATAAATCTGCATCAAAACCTGAGATCCAAATTTTTGATCCATATTTTTCATATTTTCTGATGGACCCCTTTGCGAAATCCAGGATTTCCATGTGGGACCCCCTGCGATGGCCATATCTTCGGCAATTTTCATCCGATTCCAAAAAGGAATACCCCAAATGATTTGTAGAACGATTCTCTATAAATCTGCATCAAAGCCTGAGATCCAAATTTTTGATCCATATTTTTCATATTTTCTGATGGACCCCCTTGCAAAATCCAGGAATTCCATATGGGACCCCCTGCGATGGGCATATCTTCCGCAATTTTCATCCGATTCCAAAAAGGAATACCCCAAATGATTTGTAGAACGATTCTCTATAAATCTGCATCAAAGCCTGAGATCCAAATTTTTTATCCATATTTTTCATATTTTCTGATGGACCCCCTTGCGAAATCCAGGATTTCCATATGGGACCCCCTGCGATGGGCATATCTTCCGCAATTTTCATCCGATTCCAAAAAGGAATACCCCAAATGATTTGTAGATGGATTCTGTATAAATCTGCATCAAAACCTGAGATCCAAATTTTTGATCCATATTTTTCATATTTTCTGATGGACCCCCTTGCGAAATCCAGGATTTCCATGTGGGACCCCCTGCGATGGCCATATCTTCGGCAATTTTCATCCGATTCTAGAAAGGAATACCCCAAATGATTTGTAGATCGATTCTCTATAAATCTGCATCAAAACCTGTCTTTAAAATTTTTGATCCGTATTTTTCATATTTTCCTGATGGATTCCCATGCATGATTTCCATAGGTGACCCCCGGCAGGCATCCTGTAACTTTTTTACCTCTTTTTGAAACGATAGAATTTAAATCAACCATATCGCTTCAAAAGCACACACATGCTTAAAATCATTCTATTTTCTTTACATTTTTGCCCAAAAACTTGAAGGATCAAATAACTGGGCCCAAGGAGAGCGATTCCAGCGATGGCTCGACTGCGAAAACACAACGTGTGGACGGCGGAATCATCTACGTCCGACCGAATGTGCCCATTCGGGGCGACATTGAAATCGAATTTATTGCAAAGGACGAGGCGTAAGTTGGGTGCCGGGGGGACTGCCCTCGAATTAGAGAGAAAAACAAACAAGCCCTGCTTATTACCCCCATGAATTCGATTCACAGCACACGCAATCTCATCCGGACGGCCATCGAGCGCAATGATTTCCTCAATAATCTAATGGACAAGGAGCGCAAGGAGATGGTAATCAATGCAATGGCGCCGTGCTGCTACAAAAAACACAGTTTTATCATCCGCGAGCACGAGGAGGGCTCCGAGATATATGTTTCCGCCGAGGGTCAGTACGATGTTATCCGTGCGGGTCAGCTGGTTGGAAACTTTGGTCCGGCCACCGTATTCGGGGAGCTTGCGATTCTCTACAACGCCCCTCGCCAGGCCACCATACAGGGTAACGACCAGCATAAGCTTCTTTAAACAAAAAGTATCAGGTTTTTAAGACTCGGTATTTTCCATCAGCTGCCACGGATGCCCACGTTTGGAAAATTTCACGTGAAACCTTTAGGGCCATCATGCAAATCTCCGGCTCTAGGGAGCGCGAGGAAAATCTTCAGTTTCTGCGCTCGGCACCGTTTTTGCAGGAGCTCGACCAGAGCCTGCTGCACAAAGTCGTGGATCTCCTGCAAAGGGTAATTTATCAAGCCGGCAATCCCAATTTCCCAAATCAGTTTTGTTGATTTTATCGCAGAAATTCTACGAAACCGACACCTGTATTGTCCGGCAAGGCGAGGTGGGCAACGAGTTCTACATCATCCGGTGCGGAACTGTGACCATAAAAAAGAAGGACGAACAGAACCAGGAGCATGTGGTGGCAAAAAGGCGAAGGGGAGAGTATTTTGGGGAGCAGGCGCTTCTGAATGCGGATGTTCGACAGGCCAGTGTTTATGCCGACGCCCCTGGCACGGAAGTCCTAATGCTGGACAGAGAGTAAGTCCTTCCTGAATAATCAGTATATTTAAATATTTTATTAACCCATTCCCTAGGGCCTTTATAAGCTATTTGGGAACTCTGAAACAACTCCGGGAGAAGCCTAGCCAGCCGGGCGAATCATCCGGCAGATCTAGCAACAGAAGCTTGGAGTTCGACAACGAATACTCCCAAGTGGCCATTTCTGAGCTGAAGAAGATTGCTACCCTCGGATGCGGAGCCTTTGGACGTGTGGACCTGGTGGCGTATGGCAAACAGGCATTGGCTTTGAAGATCATCAAGAAAATCGAGGTGGTCAAACAGGATCAAATCGAGCACGTTTACAACGAGAAGAACGTAATGATTAAGTGTCGGAACTCGCCCTTTATAGTGCAGTAAGCCATAAATCTCACAACTCATAACTCCGGCGGGTACTTAAGTTCCATTTTATTTTAGGCTCTATCGCACGTACCGGAATGACAAATACGTTTACTTCCTAATGGAGGCCTGCATGGGCGGTGATGTATGGACGGTGATGTCGAAGCGGCAGTATTTCGAAGAGAAAACCGCCAAATTTATTGCGGGCTGTGTTGTCGAGGCATTCGATTACTTGCACTCCCATGACTTTATTTACAGAGACTTGAAGCCCGAAAACTTAATGCTGGGCACGGACGGGTACTGTAAACTCGTAAGTGTTTAAAATCTCTATTGCTCACTAATACTCTAAGTTCTATTGTATTTCTAGGTTGACTTTGGTTTTGCCAAGTTTGTACGCCACAACGAGAAGACCAACACGTTTGCCGGCACGCCGGAATATGTGGCTCCCGAGATTATCCTGGATCGTGGCCATGATCGAGCCGTCGACTACTGGGCCTTGGGTATCTTGATCTATGAACTGCTTGTCGGAAAAACCCCCTTCCGTGGAGTGAACCAGATCAAGATCTACCAGCAGATCCTCAGCGGCATCGATGTTATCCATATGCCGTCAAGGATACCAAAGTCTGCCCAACACCTGGTAAGGCATCTCTGCAAACAGTTGCCGGCGGAGAGGCTGGGCTACCAGAGGAAGGGAATCGCGGACATCAAGCGGCACAGCTGGTTCGAGAGCTTGGACTGGCAGAAGCTGAAACTGAAGCAACTGCAATCGCCCATCAAGAGGCCCCTGAAGAGCTGGACGGACCTCCAGTACTTTGGTCCGTCAGGAGTGGAGAACGACTATGAGCCCCCGGAAGAGAAGAGCGGGTGGGACAAAGACTTTTAAAAGGAAAGAGTTCGAAAGTATTTAATCGGATATTAGTTAATAGTCAGAAAGAACTTGTACTTAAAACAGCCACAAAGCAGCCATAACAAAATAATCATAGCTTAGATTACCTTTTAATAATTAGATTAGGTTAAAAATAAGATAATTTCATTCATTTACCGACTTTGAGCCATTGTACTTCACAACTGTAAATAAGTTAGGTTTAAGTTATATTTCCAAGGCTTTTTAGTATTTTTTTTAAATATTTCAACTTAAATGAACAACCACTAAAAAACGTATAAGAATTTTGAGAAACCTTTCAAGAATATTCTATAAAATGACAATAAACTTTTAATACTACAATCATAATGCATAGTTCTGTTCTTTAAAGTTGTCTAAATATAGCGTTTTGTTTACAAATCTTTTACATTTTAAACAAACTAAACTTTGATTTTCAAAGTCACTACCTTTTAGCTACAGGAAATCACACGAAAGACAAACAAATAAATTCAATTAAATGCTTTCTCTGAAATTGCATTCTACTCTCCGCTGCTTGCCAAATGCAATTCTGAATTCCCAACACAAAGTTGAGGAATATAAGACTACTTTGTCTCCCACAGGTAAGAGCCAGGTGCTCCCCTTCTTGGGTAACAAAACTTATTGGGACGTCATAGTCTTGCTTCGTTAAATTATGGCTTTATCATAGAACGGCTTTTATCATCGCCATCAATACCAGTGTCGCTCCTTTGTCCTGCCGATGGGTGTATCCTCGTTTGTGTGTTTGGTTTTCATCAGGGAGAACGGCTTATTGTTTTCTCTAGAACTACGACTACATATCCATGGCCATTTATGTCCCCTAGCTCTTTGAAATTCGCATTCAAAGCAAACTTTCTGCTTTGTCATTTCATTTGAAAAGGTGATACGAAAGGAATGTTGCAGGAAATTCCAATTGTGGTACACTTCAGGTAGGTTAATAAGTGGTCTTTAGGACAAAGTACTTTCGGGTAAAAAACTCTTCTATTTTTCCCATAATAATTTTATTAAATTTCTAATTTATAGACCCTTTCAAATCAATATTTCAGATTCCTTCATTGACTAATCAATTGAAATTCTATCCATAGAGGCAGTGAAAAAATTCAATTTTATTCAGGAAAAAAATAAGCTAAGTTGTAGACGTGCTCGAGTCTAACAACATTGTTAATCAATAATTTATTGTAGTACTAGAGAACGAAAATTTTCAAAGGGATGAAATATAGGGATCCATAGAAAAGAGGACCTTTCCGGGCTCTCTGTAGACATTCGCACTCATTTAACAATTTTACGCTTCGTTTAAGAACCGTAGAGGGATTGGCCAAGACCACTTGGAAAAGTTCCGCCACCGCCTTTGATATCCGGGAATTTTTGTATATATATTTTATGTTTCTATTTCGTTTTGCGGCCAAAAGTTTGTGCGGAAAAAAAGCATTTGCATGGCTTTCTTAGTTAACCTTTTTTTTTTTTGCACCAGTCGAAACACCATCACGGAAAAACTAAGCGGCGGTTTTTGTCGTCCTTCCCCTCCGTCCTGCCGCGTCCTGCGTTGCCGGTTGAGCGAGCACAGTTTCCCAACGGAAATGATGACATTTCGTCTAACTTTGTCGCCGATGCGGTGTGCAGTCGCATAGAAATGCTGGAAGGTGTCTAAGAAAAGGGACAGCCACACACCCACACACCATACGACAGTTGCGAAATGAAAATTTTCACTTTGCCAGGCGGTAGAGGAAATTGTTGAAATGTTCCTCGGTTCCTGCCCGATGCCGCAAAATTGAAATTGTGGCCAAATGTTGTCGACGTCGTTCTTTTTATTGATTTCCCCAGCACACTTGTACAATTTTCCTTTCCTTTCCGACTTTTTGCGGCCTTTTCGGCGGAAGGAAGGTAGCAAAATGTTATTATCAATTATCATTTATTATTGCAGACCATTTTTTCGGTTGGACGATTATGTTTTCGTATTCTTTGTTGCCATTTCCGGGAAACTGTATCTTATTTATTTACTTTGAAAGCCAAAGAAACGACCTGATCAATGTGGCTGGTTTGATTCTTGAACAAATATTATCCTACATTCTGATTCAGTCGCTTAGAAGTGGATAACTCAGGGATAAGTTTCCACGGCACCTTGACATTGAATGCGAAAGAGTTCCCAGAACTTTGCCTAAAATATCCGCCAGGAACGTCAAGTAAACATTTTCTGTGAAATGATGTGGAAACTCCTAGAAAAGGATACACAGCCCATTTAATATATGCATGGAAATACATGTCACAACATCTGCTAAACAAATTTCTATTGCTCATACACAGCCCCCATTTATGAAAGTCCTTTCAGCTTGCTTCTCGAAAGCTCCATACAAATGCAAATTGAATGACAGCCTTTTCAATGCAGGGCTTTAAACAAAAATTAGACCCTAATCAAAGTAACTATTGTTTACTTTACACCCAAGAAAGGATATCCCTCTTCCTGACAAAAAATGATAACAAATTGTAAGTTATGTTGGCAGAAACTAAATCATATCGGAATCGGATCAGTCTTTTAGATTGGAATTTCGGGGCTGTCACAGTTTATTAGTTAAGACTCCTATCAACTGTAAAGTTGGCCCTAAAAACTCATTCTTGAAGGCCAAAAGTCATCATTAGGTTGAAACAAATCAGAACACTAGGCTTCGGGTCATATAAAGCATTCATTTCCCAAATGAAGCGAGTCCTTGGCCATTTTCAGTTGACAAACATGCACAAGCAATAGCACTTACTAGTGATCACCCAGGGTGCAATTAGGATTTGAGTGTTCCAATAACGATTTACACAAAAGCAGGCCCACAGGCCAAGGAGGTCCTTCTGGGAGCTGACAACTGGGTACTGGAAAACGTGCGGTCGAGCAAATAAGCTTTAAAATGTTACCAATCGAATGTATCGAACAAACGACAAATGCAAAAGTTCCTTTTCGACACAACAAGGACACAGCACGTATGGGGTAGCCCGGCAACAAGAGTGGCAATTATATGGAGGCTGGAGTCGAGGAGTCCTTTTACAGTTCCAGTGGCTGTTCCCCAATCCAATCTAATCAGCTTCGGTCGAAAAGAATCTGTTTACAATATTGACAATTTTGTTTTGTGGGCGAGACCTAAAACTAGAGGTTGAATCAAAAAGTTTATTTTTATGCTGAGCAAAAAAGTTAAATTTGCATATTTTTTTGTCCAGGCACAGAGCAGGCAGGGCCAGTTGTCCTTTTTTCTTCTTGAGAGCTTCTGGTTCATGCTTCTTGCTGTTAGCCAATTTGTGGCCGAAAAAGGAGATGGCTGGCGAGTTAAGGCCCTGCCACATAAACACTTCTCTGCTGAATACTATGAATAAATAATGAGCTTTGTCTTCCATCGCCCGGCCAAGTGATGGTCCTTGCAAATGCATACTTACAGAAGTACCTCGTACCTCGTCGGCAATGGGCTCATGCAATATTTCTGTGCCATTTAAGCGCTAAGAGTCTTAAATTTAGCAGAAATCCTTAAGGATTGCACAGAGCTTAGGACAATCAATGCCTCTGTATGGTCAATAAATCAAAGAAAAAAAATATATATCTTGGAGTATGCATTGATAATAAAAATCTGGAATAAATATCGGTGCAAACGTAAACATATGTTGACTAAAATCACATTACCACTCGCCCCTCTTAGTTGGAATCAAATTATGTTATTCTCATGAGCAGCCCGAAAGTATGCAAATATTTGTTAAGCCCAAACACTGGATGCGCCAACCTCTTGCCACACTCGACATACGGCATACGGAATACAGAAGAAAGCTAAAGCAACAATGAGGTAGCCAGGCAAAAAGGTCGTTAGATTGTTAACAAGTTCATAAAAAGACGCTGGCATACAAAAACGACACACAGTCAGGCCCACACACCCAAGGGGGTCAGAGGCTGTGCGGGTGGGGGGGCAGGGCAGGGCAGGGCGGGCTAAGGACACCACAGCAAGGACTGCCTAAATACTATACGACGCGTCTCGTTGCGTATTTACAGAGCACTTTTTCCGTTTCTGCTGCTGCTGCTTCTCAACAAGTACCGGCAACAAAAATGCAAACAAGTATGCACTTAAAAAAATGATACTAAAATATAAAATTAAGTCTAGAAAATATAATTTAGAGCATGTAGCTTTCAATCGATTGATTTAAATCTTTTTATTTATATGAAATTAATTGGAAAAGCATCCATTTTGCATATTTAAGCCTCTTTAGTTCAATAGATTGTGAAATTTAAATTAAATACACATTTATTCAACAGGAATTTATTGAGAAACACTAATCTTTAAAAAATTACGTTAGCGCCTAGTGGATCTAGAATTTTAAATAAAAATAAACACATATATAACGTATACGACGCATTGGTTTGAACTCGCCTTGATAAATTACGTATACGACTAGTTGGTTGAATCCAAAGGCTTAAAATTTTTTAAGAACTATTTTTTCTTGCTGATTATATCAAAATAATAATTTCTATGAAATATAAACCACTGACAATTTTTTTTAGCGTAAAAAGACGAGTTAAGAGGTGGGTGGGGAGAGGTCAGAGCGCGACTATGAATATAGGTATGGGTGGGTGTGCACAACAACTGAACTGAAAACTGAGAGCTGAGAGCTGAGAAGGGCTCCTGCGGTTGTTTGCATTAGGCAATTGATGTTTATTATTTCTGAGGGGATCAGGAGGCACAACCGGCGCCGTCACCGTTGCCGCCAACAAAGCGCTATTTGCGTTTGCCATTCCGGCTGAATGCCCGGGTCTTTGCCAACAACAGTTAAAGTATAATATGCTTTGGCTTAAACCGTATTAAAGCCTAATGAATGCAGCATGCGGCATGCAACATTCAGATGCATTAGCCTGCGTCTTTGCCACACTCCTGCGGAAATCCCCCTCCGAATTCCGCAAATTGCAAAATGGCCAGTGGCATTTTCAGGTCCAAGCCTTATTTAATAAACAGTTTAGTGGGCCGGCAATTAAACCCAATTTGTAACCGCAATAGAATGTGCTTTAAATTTAATGCCGCATTGGATCGCATAAAATATATGGCTGTGCAAATTAATTAAATTTCCATAAATATGGTATTATTAATTATTTGTTTTGTTTTTTTCCACCCCCACATTAGAGCTTTTAATATGAATAAGTAGATATTTCCTTTATTAGCTTTGGCTTATGATTAATTTATAAATTAAAAATTTATAATTAAAGACTATTGTTTTAGTGGGAAAAAATGAACAGATTTTTATGAATGGCCACTTGCCATATGCTCTGTTTTTTATTTATTCCCTCAAAGTTTCATTAATTTTAATATAAAATCAATTCGTTGAGGAGAGTCCAGGAGGAGCATGAGCAGACCCCAGTCTAGCAGCCATTGAAAAGGATAAAGTTTTAATTAAAAAGAAAATATTTATTCAATATTTATGGAAAGAATAGCGCAGTAAAACCCGAATATTGAATTATTTAGTGAATCGTTGCGGGACGCACAAATGTTAATAATTGAAATACTCAGCCCGCCCCGCCCAAAAAAGTTTCAAAAGAAAAACTGGTATAACAAATAGGCGGAAAACTTTCGCCGTCGGCCCAATTAATAATAAATCGCGAGGCAGGAATGTAGGAGGAGGAGGAGCGACTGAAAATCAACGTCTAGCAACTAATGATGCGCCTCATTTAAGCGTCAAGAAAGCAAACCACGTGTACCAACAAATTACCGCCACAAAAGCGAAAAACTTTGCCAGATAGCCATCAACCTCTCACCCGGTATGCGCCATCCGCCATCCGCAACCCGGAAGGTTAAAGGTGAGCCAAATAGCGAAAGGTAAACTGTAAACGCTTTCACAAAACTTGAGAAAAGGTTCGAGCGGACTTAGCGCTTGATTAAACGCCACAAAAACCTGGCCATAACCCCATTGTGTTGTGGGGTCGGTTGATTGATAAGGCAAATTGGTGTGCAGATTGTATCCTCAACCGGGCACTTTTCACCCGGAAAACTTTCCCACAACCGATGCAAATTAGGCCCAAGGCGTGGCATTTGAAAACTCGGCGATTTTTAATTAATTCATAAGAGAAAGAAAAGTATCGATCCTATCATTATCAAGTTTAAAGCCATGCGACTACAAATTTCTTCAAAGACAGCAGTTATACCATATGTAAGAGTACATATAATAAAAGGTAATTTAAAAAGACTTTTCATATTGTTGGGAAATTCGTCGACACTGCCTTGCGGCATAATTAAATTTTCTAATTGAGTTACCGGTGCTGACACGCATTGCCTGTGCCAATTTCATTCCATCTTTCTTTCGTCCTGGCAATGTGGTTGCTCCGGCTTCTGTTCAGGACTTTTTACATTTCGCTGACTTTGCTAATAAATTATTGTATGCCAGTCAAACTTTTGGAGGCATAATAAAAAAAAACAAAAAACAGGGAGCCGACAACAGTCAGTCGGCAATGCTTTATGTTGGGCTATGCGTAAATTGCTTTCGCTTCTCTGATTTATACTCAATGCACGAAAATTGGTCCAAGTCATACTTTATGCTTGAAAAAAGCCACATCCAGAGAATGAAGAAAAGGAAAACCAGAACACCCATAAACAGAGAAATCTCTTCATGCATTTAGATAATTGGTGATTTTATTGACTAAGAAATAATGTGCCGGCAAATTCTATTTGATTTAATAAAATGCCTGGCAAGCTAAATTATTTGCCAGACATACATACATACGTATTTGCACTTAATTTCTTAATTTTTATTTACAGATGAAAAGACACAATTACAATTAAAGCCTAAAGATTTATGACGTGGTCTTATCTTTGGGATTACTGTTGGCATTAATAGTACACATCTATAATCTGATTTTCTGCTTCAATCTTCTGAATTCTCAAATTTTAATAATATCCTTAAAACTAAATAATGATAAAGGTACTTCATTTTCCGCTAAAAGCTCTGTCTGGTTAAGGATACTCCGGCGCATCCAGCCCCTTAACTTTATTGGGTGTTTATTGAAATTTATGGCTCGTTCGGCTTTGGCATAACAAAGTTGAGTGCTTTATATGTTCGGCAATATGTTGAATTTATGGCTCAGCTTAATGGCCAGTGTTAGCACTAGGCTTGAACAGAGCTTGTTGGTTTATTAGTCAGCTAATCAATGCAATAGTTATGCATGTTCTGTTGCCAGAATTTATAGAATAGACAAAATGATATAGACAAAATAATAAATATTATTGATGGGATAGATTTTCAGATTAAACTATAAATGCTAAATAAATCTATAATGCAGTTTAAAACTCTCAGGTAAAACTTTCAATCGAATTTAATTATAAACACGAATATAATTTTAATTATACATTTATCGATGGCTTAATTATATTAACAACTAATTGAATTGAAAGCCTGCAATTGCATTCGAAATATTAACATAATTAATACTCGACAAGGATGTTTTATTGATAAAAACTGGTAATTTGTCATAATCCAAGGAATCCACCAAGCTCCCGTCTGCGTTTGACATTAATTGGCAATTAATTTGGGCCACCATTCACGGAATGTTCAGTTGCAAAATGTCAAGTGACTGAATGAATGCCAAAGGGCAAACTCAATAGAGTTTCCGAAAAGTATACTCCAAATCCATGCTGAAAATCCACTTCAGCGCCACAGCAATTGCCAGACAAAGTGCGATAAAGGCGGAGAGGCCTTCCGAAAAAGGATGAGCCCAAAGCCGATGATGATAGCCTGCTACTAAATCAATAAAATGGTCAAGCAGTTGGCGCATAAGTCGAAAACATAAACACATAAAATGCTGGCCATAAAAAGGAGCTTCCATTTCATTTGTAAACAAAAGCATTCCGTATTGGCCTCCTCGGAGGGCCACAACAATTGTATAGGCCAGAACAACTAACCCGTGGCTTTTGTTGTTGGCCCTGCTGAGCTTTTATTTTTGTTATGCGGGACTCTTTTTTTTTTAAATAAATAAAAAAATATTTTCCTTTTGTCCGAATCCTCCCCCAAGCTGTCCAGATAATGTTTTGGCGTCGGCGTGATGGACGGCAGTTTAACTGTAAAATCAATTTATAGCCTGGCCCGCATTTTTGTTGTATAACTAAATTATAGATTCATGACTTTCCATTTCTGAAGCCATCCCTAATCTTGGGTTAATGTCGGTACCTCCTTAAAAATGCTGGCCAAATCAAATGTGCGTGAAAAATGCTCAACCGAAAAGATCCAGAAAGTCAAAAGGTCCTTTTTACTAAGAATTCAACTATGTGGAAAATGCTGGAAGGACTACTACTAAAAAAGAGGACTATTATTTAATTTTATTTACGCATCATTTGCAGCTTTCTTCGGCATTTTTCGGGACTTGCAGAAAGCCAAATTTCAGTTCCCTGAAGGCCATTTGGGCCAAGCTTCTGTTTTGTTGACAAGACAATTTGCAAGATACATACAGCATGTAACATAAGAAGTCTACTGAGGCACAAAACACACACCCAACCTCACACTCCCCCTACCCCCTAATACACACACAACAAATAAAATATTAATGCGGCAGATCAAAGCAAAACATACCGTAAAACTTGCGAATTATCCGCGCATACACAGCTCCCCACGAAAAAAGGAAAAGTTTTATGTTTTGTTTTCTGTTTGTTGGTCCAAAAAGTCAATTTATGGTTTTCCACCCGCATAATTTCATTTTATTTGGCCGTGTTTGGTTTCTTTATATATGAGTGAATTATGCAAAAAAAAAAAAAAGGAGAGAGAATTTTGTTTCAAAAGCCTGCGACTGAAGGTTATGTTAAAGTATGTAACTCCTCTGAAAAAAAACAGACTTACAGGTTCATCTAACTATACCAACAGCTCTATTAAAATATATTGGATTGAATATTATATTAAAAACTTTTAATTAATTAAACAAAAAAATATTAAAGCCAAAAATGGAAAAAAAAAAACTTTTTTGTTATGCTAGGATGCTAGAAAATAAAGCATATTTCTATACCATGGCGGTGGGATGAGCCAAAATGCTGACAGCGTTGACCAAAAACTGCATCGCCAAAGCCATTTATCAAAACTAATAGCCGCCTAGATAAAGTGTGAAAAAGTGGAAAACGATAGGACGAAAGTAAAACCATTAAAGCCAATGCAACAAGGACGAACAGGACATGCCGGCACATGGCAAGTGGCACCTACAAAATTACAAAAAGCGACCAAAATAAATACATATTTTGTGTTAAAAAGCAGCAGGCTGGAATTTATGTCATCGGCCATTTAAAAATAGAAAATATCGGGTCCATCAATCAAATAATTTAGAATTGAAATAAAAAAAAAGAATAAATGGAGCGAATGGATTTCGGGACAGAATTCCGGAATGTAAACTTCAGGGAAGTTGACGTAAATAACCAACAAGGTCGTCCCCTCAAAAATCGCATTTTGTTGGCACTCGTCCGCATTTTTAAAGAATTAATAAAATGGATCTCCATTGTGATGAACTGGCTAGAGATTATTCTTAATGTCCCGCTTAACTATTTGAAGGAGAAAAAGATCATTGTTCATCGAGATACTCTGGCGGAGTTTTCGCAGTCCCGTGGTTGGAAAACTGTGGTCTACAAGGGTATGGAGTTCCATCCCACTTGTCCATACGAGGTGATAGCCCTGCTGACCCATGCTGATATTGTGATGCTCCACGATGAGCGATGCCTCACACCTACAAAGTTCAGTGCCTTCGAGCAGAAGGATGCTACTTGCATGGCCTTTCGGCCTTGGTCGCATGGCTATGAACTGGCGGTGGGATGTGCAGCCGGAGTTTGCCTCTGGACTAGTAATGTAAGATCTTCCCCGGTTTTGGAAATCCGTGAAAAGCAAATGCGCACTTGTATGCATCTACTGCAGGACGAAGGACATGTCTATGTGACGTCGCTGCAATGGAACGAAGATGGCACAACTCTTGTCAGTTCTTCTCTGGGAACAAATCACATTATTATGTGGGAGCCCGACAGCCGCCAGAAACTGCGTTTGATTCCACATCCTGGCAATGGGTCATCCTTCTTTCTTCTCAAGTACTCTCCGGACTTTAAGGCCCTGCTCTGTGGCCAGTGTGATCTGGGCGCCAGCCTCTTTATGATGGAGCCATCCAACTCGCGTCGGTTTGAGGTCCTATCGAAGCACCGGATTCAAACAGCCGTCTGGACCGGTTGCAGCAGCTATATCGTATTTGCCGAAAAGGGCAGCTCCATTCTATACAGCTGCAAAGCGGATGAGGAAAGTGAAGTTTTTCTGATGCCAGAACCGAGTTGGAACGTGGAAATGGTTGCCGATCTTAAGGAGATAACCACTTGTTATGGTCAGGAGCGAGAAGGCGGGGAACCCCACACCTTAGTCATGGATCCTTTGGGCATTTACCTAGCCATCATCTTCAAGGAGCAGCCTTTTGTGTTGCTCACTCTTTTGATTTCCAATCGAGGCTGTCGCTTAAAAGTGCAACCCCTGGAATTTATTTTTTGTGAGGCTCCATATCCTGATTATCCTGATAACGAAACCTTTCCGGTATGTATGAGTTTTGCGAAAGCCCGAGTAGATGATCCGGATTTACGTTGGTTGGTGATTGTTTGGAGCTCAGAACGCGTTCAGCGGAAAAGTTTGGAAGCCAAAACTCTAAAAGAAGCCCTACAAATTTACGGAGTTAAAAAAACTTAAATATCTGGAAAAACAATGAATGAGAAGGCGAAGTACAACTGCATTTTATCCTCCTGTTTCACTTTACGATTGCTGCTATTAAATACTCATCCCTTCATATGAATATTCAATGACTCCGCTTATGCAAATCGGGGACGAGCTCAAGTGGCAGGCAACCAGTTTTCGAGTTCCACCTGCAGCACACTCCTCGTTGGGATTTTCGCGATATTTGCAAAGTATTTTCCCCTTATCCGGCCAGTCAGCTTAATGCCAATAAATTGTTACTGAAAAATTGGTTCCCACATAGATGTTTCTCACTTTTTATGATTCATGTAATGGATATATTGCGCAACGCAATACAGATTTTTTATTTTTCAGAGACCTATCCGAATTAATCGACAATTTTCCAATAAAACTCCGCATTTGACCCTAATCATAAGCTTATAATGTATGCATATCCCTGCTCTTTCTGGGTATTTTTTTCGGACTAAAATGCTCTTTAACGACTCCCTCGATGCCGACACATGTCGAGGCACGTGCTACAAAAAAGGCCAAAGTAAAATATAAATTTATTCAGTCTAACGACCAACTCTCAATGGATATTGACAATTCAAAGTTAATCTAGGTGGCTAATGAAAATTGATTTCGGGTTGGCTGTGCAAAAAAAAAGGACATAATACAGAGTTCATATTATATAATAGAGTATATATTGCAGAAAACTAAATAACAACTATTTAAAAGGCAATCACAATCAAGATGTTTCTCAGAATCTCAATATTGACAAAGTTGCAAACAAAAAGATACAGAATAGAAGAGGATTAGTAGGTTTAAGCTGCAAGGAAACAAAGTTGCAGGGACCCAAGAAGCCACTCCAATCACAATTCCCAAACCGAACCAACATTGACTTTCCTTGGGTAAATAATCTTAAAAACTGAAATGCCTTAAAGGAAGTACTACCAGGGCAGAAAAAGTGCAAAAAACATAAATGCAAATAAGTTTCCAACAATTTCCTAGGCATGGACAGCATTCATGAATCACTTAAATTCCTCAGACTACAAAGGACTCAAAGTCCTTTGTCCTTGCCCAGTCCCCATACATAGGTATGGTACACGGAACTAATTGAATTATTGCCCGATGTTACAGGTCTAATAATATTATAATAAGAGGCCCCCACAACGCAATGTCCATTTTTTGGGGCTCCGGAACTAAAGTTAAGACCTAAGAAAATAAACAAAATGAGTTTTTATTGCCAACACACAGGAGCTAGTTCCGTAAAAACCCACAAGAGAGTAAAAATTCTAAAGACCGCAGCATTAAAGTTTAATGTTGGGAGCAAAAATGTGTAGCCATAAAAATCATTTAAATGTTTGTTTGCTTCTGTCCGAGATCTCAGTTCCCAGTTGGTGAATTCAAATGTGTGAGAATATTTGAATATTAATAATACACAATATTTTGAACCAGGGGAAAAAAAGCATCTGAAGCAAGTGTGATATCTGCATATCCTCGTATGTTTTTTCAACTGGCAGACTTGCAAACACGCCATAACAGTGCCAAATTTTCTGGCATAACAAATATTGCTGATATCACAATTGTTGCGAATATATTATATCACTGCTTTGTGATTCGAAAACCTTTTCAGAAAAAGCTGTATTTATTGTTTTAGCATATTTTGCGCCAAAACATCAAAAATACAATTTGATGCAATGAATGCGAGTCACTGAAATGGCAAACTTGGCAATAATTTTGCGCAGACATTGATATTCTGACAATGTGAGCGTTGATTTTTTGTTGTTCCTGGCCAGGCAGTTCCCAGGACCAAAAATATAATACCCAAGAACCAGGCCCAGAAGGAAATGTGCGTCAGACATCACAGAGCAAGAGTGGGTACATGCTAGACATACCAAATAAATTTACTTATTTTTATGCCCAGGAGGGGATGTCACAGGGGGCCTCGAATTATATGCCCGGCCGGGAGGATTTCGAATGTGTGTCAAATGGCGTAAACGCGGAGCAATCAGCAATGAGGCATCAATAATTCTTAACGCGTTTGCGGCACACTCTCGGTGTCTCGAAGCATTTGGGAATTTGGCTTTTGCTTTCACTTTCACTTTGGCTTCCGTTTTCCAAGCTGGCGGAAAACCCAGGACTAGCCCCATTTAAACTTAAGTTTTCCTCAATTTTCTACGTTTAACTTTGGGACCTTGTGGCTGGAATGAGGGTTGTGGTTTTTGATTTATGGCCGAAACATTCTCCAATATTTATGCCCCAACAGCCAAACATGTTTGTTTTCGTAATCACGTTTTTATCTTTTCCTAAGCAACTCGTGTATACGAACCGCAAGTCAAAGATTATTTAAAAAATAGACAAAAATAGACTAAAGTCAAGGACGAACAAAAAACTTCCTTCCTTGTTTACCAGGAATATTGTTTTGGAAACCGTTAATTGACAGGCGGAAGATTTCGTAGTAACTACTATTCGAGCATGAAATCCTGGAAAAAACAAAGCTTCTTTGTTTTCTTCTCTACTAAGGACCTAAGGACTCTCACTATCCCCAGTGCGGCTGACATTAATGCCCTTTAGCATTTAAGTAGAAACTTTTAAGCTGCCAACTGTAATTGGTAATGTAAGCTTAGTTCTAAAGTTTCAGTTAAGTGATGTCATGACCAGTCTTACTGTCTTACCAGTCTCCGTCTCATCAAATGTGTTCATAGTTTCTGTTGCCAAAAAAGTTGTGTAGTACGAGTAAGACCCAATTATGTTAGGTGCATAGCTAAAACTATATTCTTTCTGGCTAAAATCATTGCTGCGTTAACAACTGATAAATGGCACAACCCAAAAATGTATGCTACAAAAATACAATTCTTTCTCAAAAACACACACACACAATAAATTTGAAACTTTGACCGATAAAGCTTGTTTTATTTTCGCCTTAATTAAAATTTATGCATTCTGAATGCGAAATCATAGATTACAATTGTATGTACAACACACACCCGGGCCATATATTTTGAATTTTTGTTCAAAAATCAATGTGCAAACTATAAAGCCTGTTTGCTTTATTCTTTCCGAGGACTGACACACAAAAAAAAATACAATAAACAGAGCAGCCAAAATAAATTTCCAGCCGCAAATCCTTGACAAATCTGCTGCATTGGCTTTGGCGGCTGCCGTCCTTTTGAGATAAATCTTTATTGCCTCATTTTGCTTAAAGTTGATTCTATTTTTATACTCTGCCTGAGGGATGTCTCTGAATTTGGTTTCAAATATCTGTCCAACTTTGTCAGAGAAAAGGATATAAAAGCTTATACGCTCCAGTTAACTACACTACACTATTTCCTAACTAATAGATAAAAATGGTGAAAAGACAGTTGATTAGATTTCTTCTTCTACTTTCTTTCTCATTACATTACTTACAACTGAATTAAAACTCTTTGACAAAAAAGGGTATTCAAAAGCTTATACACACATACTATTTTACACACTTATTTATGTATTTTTTCCTGACATTTCAGTTCCTACATTTTTTTTGTGGCCAGAACTAACAGTGTTCGCGGCAGGGTCTGCGGAGTGCCGCCAAAAAGACAATGGCTCGGAGATAACACGGCTGAGGAAAAGCCCGCATTGAAACTAGAGTCAACAATAGCAACTCGACTTACATCAAGACAAAACTTTTTCCAAGGCATGGCAACAAAATAAAAACCTTAAGGGGAGGGTAAGGTCAAATCATGCGAAAAAAGCCATGTTTTTGTGATTTTTTTCCTGACGACACAGTTAAAATTTATTTATTCAACCAACGGTATATTAATGTATAACATTAGAAGAATGTTTAATAAAATTTTTACAAAAACATATTTAAAAATATGGCAATGGTAGCAATTGTCCGGACGTGTCGCCAAAAAAAGTTGAATTGCGGTGCCCCTCATAACTCGGTGCTGGATCATTTGCAATCAAAAAATGAAAATTCATTCGTTAGATAATAGTTCGCCCCAGGTAACGCTGTAAAGGTTTTTTGAAAATTGCAATTTTTTAATTTTTTCGAAGACTTTGAAGTGAAAAACTCAATTTTTTGGGAAAAAATCGGTTAATTTGTCATTGCAAAATCAAAATTATGAACAAAAAAAAAAAAAACTCGACAGCGTTACCTCGTAAAATATGTACAGAAATAGTGTTTTAAATTTCAAAAGGATCGGTGCAGTAGTTTTGAAGTTATGAGGGGCACCGACTTTGAAAACGTGAGTTGTGGGAAAAACGCTTTAAAGTTTTAAACACAAAAAAATCCAATGTAAAACGTTTGCAAGCAACTTCGTCAATAACTAATAACTTCGTCAATTTTGCTTTAATTGACTTGAAATTTTGACACAATATTCTTCAAATATTATGCATTCAATTTAAAAAATAAAAAAAAAATGACAAAAAAAAAATTTAATACCTTACCCTCCCCTTAAGTATTTCCCACAGCGAAAAGAAATGATGATATGTAAACTGGTAAACTTTTTTGTTCGTGACCGTTGCGTTGAGTCAACAATGCCAGCAATCTCTATTTGAAGGTCCTGCTGATGTGTCTATTAATTTAAAATTTCCGTCCAAGAAAAAACAAACATACATAGAACTTGATACTTACATTACGCATACGCCATGTGAAAAATTCCGTGGCCGAATGCCACCTTGAGTGCAATTTAAATGCCACCCGGATGCAATTATGGAGTCCCGGATCCTGTCCAAACACAACAGCCACTGTCAGAATCCAAAACTTTATGTTTACTTTGCCGCAGCTGATGTTTTTCCAGCCGCCGGTTTGTGTTAACGGCTTTTCTCTCGTCAACTATTTTTTATTTATTTTTTTATTAACTTTTTACGAACACCATCATGTGTATTATTCGAGCGACCCGAACGTAATTAATTTAATTACATTTATTGTGTTTATTTAACATTTCTGGGCGCTTGAATGGCTTAAATGCTCATTAATTGTCTGCTAATCAGCTGCCACATAAATACTGTCACAAACTGCCCTCCGAATGATTCATTTTCAACTGAACGAAATTAAATGAAGACTCCAATAAATTGATATCGTAAATAAGTAGAACATATAATACATCTGTTGTCATAATTCAGATAGAAATATACTTTGCCATGGTTACAATTCCCAAATGAAGTAAAACTGATTCGCATTCAGTTGGGAAATTGAATTTTCGTTTGATTTAGTTTGTATGGAACTGCTGCAAGTATATCGTATTCAATTGAGTGCAATCAAAATCCAGGACTCTAAGTAAGGACATTTGATAAGCAATTGAGCTTGTCAGCAAGCTGGCGTATCGGGATAATGGAATCATGTGGAGAAAATTTATGATTTACTTGCAGTTTTGCAAAATATGTTATCAAATAAGTGAATGGAAAATTTGTATAATAAAATTTAAACCATTTTATTCAATTTTACATAAATTGTCGAAATACAACATAAATCTATTCATTTTAATTTATCCGACAATAAAATTAACTTTTACTAAACAGCAAAAACTGTAACAAAGTTAACGAAAATCCGTGAAAAAAAAAACTTTTCAGCATCGACCCCAGTGGAATTGCAATATAAACTAACGAATTGTAAAATGTTTTTTGGAAAAACTGTCTGAAAAATGCGCGCACATATATTTTCAATGGTAAACCGATGTATTGCTGCGTCTGACAGCCCCAGCAATAAAAAAGCACGGGCACGTTCACAAACAGCGGCATAAAAAGCGGCAAAGCCGTAGGGTCCTGGGATATAGTATTTGGTATCTGGGCCCTCCTCCGCCTGAAGGTGGAGGAAACAGGAGGTGGAGGATGAGGCGGAGAAGCGCGAAAGCCTGGCAAACCGCTGATGTACAAACAATAAAGTTCAAGGGTATTACAAACAGGCGTTCTTTGCCACACACTCGCATGTGCTCAAATATGAGTAATAGGGTTTGTTGCATGCCCCGCTGTGGTGCGAGCTCAAGGCCCGCGGTGGGTCAACGAGGATGGGTCGGTCCTGTTGACTTTTGGGGTGGCCTCCCAGTTAATGGAGCAACGCGGCTCAGTTAGGCCTAGTGTTTGGCGAATTTTAATTATGCTAATGCAAAGGGTAAGTAACACTCGCTTATGCCCACAAACACTCAGGTGTATTCATCTGAAAGGCCAACTACACATCCTTTGACTTCCTCTTGCCAAGTAGTAGTTTGTCTATACTTTCACCTTTCACCTTATCCTTCAGATGATATTCTATTACTTTCCTGTGTTCGGCAGAAGGAAAAGTGGTGATTATCTTTTAACTTTTTTTTTTGTTCGTTAATTGAAAGAAACGCAACTCTAATTAGAAGCGGATTAGAGGGTCCACTAGGGACCTGAACCTAACAAGGCTCTAGGGATAATGAATTCTGGCTTTAAATCTATTTCTTTGTAAGAGTTTTATTTTTATTTCATCGAACTTTTGACCATAAACTAATTTTCTAGCTGATTGATCATTTTTGCGTCAGTTAGCTTCACTAATCAAAGGATAGTAATTAAACTAACGAACCAGCAACCGAAATAAAAACACTTTATTGTAAAAACAACTAAAAAAAATAAATAGAATTGCTGGACGCGGCTTTTGGGTTAGGTCAGAACCGGAAATTTGTTGATTTTGATGGGAGGAGGTGGGTCGGCATTACATCCATATCCGCCACTAGACTCACAGTTTGTTCAATTACAGGCCACTCCAACGGATATTTGCATATTTAATTTCTGGCCGTACAACAAATATCACACTCCCGAAACTATTCAGTTGATAATTGAAATGCTCGCTGAAAAACACGTGTTGGCGAAAGGACACCGACGATTCGAACAAGCGACGGCGAACGACGATTGACGAACCGCAGGATGAACCGCACGGATACCCGGACACGAAATAACTGAACACAGCATCCGGAAGGACAAGAATCCTTGTGGCAGGCGAAAGCGCAACAGCATCTGGCGTTCGTCAGGCAGGCTGTTACTGCCAGCCGAACAGAAACGACAGGATCCGATGTGGCACGATGCCACCTCGTTATGATGCTGAATGAGAATATATCAGTATGGTTTCTCTAGGAGTCCTGCAGATTCAGCGCGAATTGTTGCTTACTCGTTCAGTAGGTCAGGAACTGTTCCCTATATCATTTACAGCCGGGTTCAAGAAATTAGATTTATTTTGGAAATCGGTTTTATGAGGAGATTGAGTAGATAATTTGAATTAAGGATGTGGCATGGAAACCGCCATAATCCGCCATTTTGAAAGGAAATACAATAGAAACTAAAGGTGTTGAAGGTTTATTGAAAGTATCGTAACTTAAAAACCACTACTTTCTGTAGTACCCACTTACTTTTATGTTTTAAACCTTTTCTGGTAAGAGTCCTTTGCTCCAACGACAAAAATATGAGTTCTGCAGAGCCCCCTGCCGACATATAGAAATCCTTCAAAATGCATTCAATTGTAAAATCAAAATGGATAAATATATTAAATACAATACGATTAGCCGACATGGCTTCATGTAGCAGGAGTATGAGGACGTTTTTATTTTATGTGGATGGCGGAATAGAAAGTACAAAAAAAAGCAATAAGTGACGGGGTAAACAGTTACAAAACATCAGGGCCAAGATGCCTGGCCGGCTGGCTGGAATGCTGGATGGCTTGGCTTGGCTGGGATGGTTGGTTGGTTGGCTGGCTCTGCGTAAGACATTTACGAGCGTTTGAATTTGACAGATTTCTTTTGTTATAGCGACAGACAGCGTCAAAGGAACTGGCTAAGCGCTCATGCGTGCCAAATCCAAGTGCGGCTAAAACCATGAGGTCCTACTCCAAGTAGAATTTAATAAAAATAAAAAAAACAAGCCACAACATTGGCCAAGGCAAGCCGAAGGCGATCGAAAATTCGTATGGAGACGTCATAAAATGTTGCAGTTCAGTTCAGCGCATTTATGCCACAAGAATGAAAGGACCTACAATGAACATCCTTACTCGAAAGCTGAACTACTTATCAGACTACAAAGACTTTGATTTTGATTTGCCAAGAAGATAAATCACTTTTCGTTGTTAGTAGATACATATTATACAAACATTTCCAGGCACGCACAAATTAATTAGACAGACGAAAAGCATTAACCTTGGAGGCATGGAGCTGCATACATAAAATAGTCTAATTTCTCCACATAAAATAGAATCTTGAATAACCCTTAAAGCGAACAGAAACTGAAAACTTCTTGGTACATATTTTGCATATCATTTAGAAAGGGTGCCAATTAGCTATCGATCTGCATTGGAAATCCCTTGAAATCAAAGCCGCTTACTGGGCAAAAAATATAAAAACGTTCTCCCCCACCAAAAAACCTACTTAACAATGCAAGCTCCTCATCGTCAATTGAGTTTAATTGCCCCAGCGAACGAACTACTTGAAATATACATACAAAGTGAGCCTGCCTGCCTGCCTGCCTGCTTTCCACTTTCCACTTTCTACCCCAAACATTACCAATGCCGATGGCTAGAACCATTTAACAATCAATTTATTTCGCAATATTTTTGTGCTCCATCTATCCTTAGCAGGACGGAGAGTCCTAGTTCCCAGCTGGACTATATTCCCTGAATATTCATTCAAATTTCGAGTGCAGAAGTAGCCACTGTGCCTGTCTGAATCCTAATTGGCTGTTACTTTTGTTACTTGAATAAAATTAAACTCGATTGTAACCAGTTATTCTGATTTATTTCAAACTAAAATACAATATATGGAAAGTCGTTTTAGAAAATAAATACATGCATATTTTGGACTAGTACAAAATGCTGTTCAGATCACATACATTAAACAAATAATAAAAAATATATTCCATTTAAGACTAGTACAAAATAGTATAAGGGAATAAATACTTTACAAAAATATATACTTTACAATAAATTCAGCTGAATCGTTAATTCTACAAAATATTTTAAACATTTCTTTCAATAAATAAGTATAAGGCACAAAAAAAATTCTACCACTTATCCGAGCCCTTCTGCAGTAAATTATTGAAAACAGATCCCGGCAACTGTTGCAGCTCCCTAGGATTTCCATCCTCGATTATCCGTCCCTGATCCAGGACAATCAATCTGTCATAGTCCAGAATGGTGGACAGGCGGTGCTGGGGAGCGAAGGATAATAGCCAAAATATAGCCGTACTAGAGAGGATTAAAAGTAAACTCACGGCGATTGTTATGATGGTGCGCCCTTGGAAGGCCTGGTCGGCTGCCTTCAGGAGTGCATTTTCCGTGGAGCTGTCCAGGGTACTTGTTGCTTCGTCGAGAACCAGACAGGCGGATCCGCGCAAAATGGCACGTGCCAGGCAGAGCAGTTGTCTGTGTCCTGCGCTCAGGTTAATGCCCCCATCACAAAGCACGGTATCTGGAAAAAAATGTAAGTTATTTGGGGTTTTGTTTCTATTTACTGTTCTTGCAATTTTTCACTTCAATAGAAGGGAATTGGAAAACAATACCATTTTAAAAATTACCTTCCCACTCACTTTAAAACCTTCAAAAGTTAGCAATGTTCAACATCTTCTTGTCAGCTTGAACTGAATATTTAACATATTATTCAATCGAACGCGGAAAAGCACCCAATATGCATCGCCTCCCCAGAAAAAAGCAAAAGTCTTACCCCCCTCTGACAAGTCGGATAAAATGGAATAAGATATCAAGCTGACTTCCATTATTTTTTCATAGGGCAAATGCTGATCCCAAGGACAGCAAAAAGCCACTTCAAGTGGTTGTTTATTCCAAACGACAGCAGAAACCCAAACGAAAACCAAAAAACCGAACCAAACTCACCCAGGCCGAGAGGTAGGTGGCCGTTGACGAACTCCTTCAGCTGCGCCAGCTCCAGGCAATTCCACAACTGCAGGTCCTGGAAGTAACCATGTGGATCTAGATTTTCACGTATGGTTGCATTGAACAAATGCACATCCTGCGGTATAATCGACAATCTGGTTCGCAGCTCGTCCGGTCGGATTCGTTTGATATCCACATCATCAATGTAGATGTGGCCTCTGGTCGTTTGCAGGACTCCGAATAAGGACAGGCCCAAGGATGATTTGCCGCTACCCGTTCGACCACAAATCCCAATCTATTGAATATTTCATAAAAATTGCACAGAAAATTATTAAAGAATTTTTTTGTGTAAAATCTGAATGGGAAATTAACATTATAATAAAAATGGTCATTTTATTTGGCCATTAAATTAAATGGCCAGGTGCCGGCAATTTCTATAAACAATCATCAATCAAAATATATATATATATATGTAGGGCATATAATCACCAGCTCAGGACAATTAAAACCTATTAAACGCCATGGCAGTTTTAACAGCTACAGTTAGTATATCAGACTTTTCGAATTTTATGATTTATTATCGCATCATATTTTAACACTCTAATTTAGAAAAGTTTTTTTTGCAAATCAAGGAATTGATGACTCAAAAAAAATGGTATAACAAAATTACATTTTTATTGAAAACTTTTTATAAAAATATGTTTTAATTTCTTCTTTTTCTATAAAGTTTTTGGCAAGAGTACAAGGTTTGTGATTTTATTTTTTCATGCTTTTATTTATTGTTAAATATAAATTGACTATAAAACTGGGTTGACCCCAAACGATTATATTTTTAGTGTGTTGACTATTTAATTTCAACCCCAATCAATATTTGCCAACATATGCCATATAATATTTGAGTTTCTAGTATTTTAGGCAAATACTCTGCGGCTATGGCTAGTTTGTGGATGAAATACACTCTCTATTTGGCGAGAGAATCAATTGTTGTGTTATTTTGCTTACTGCTTAGATTTCGGTGCATTTCAATCGAAATTGAAAACTGAAATTCGAGTATGTTTTGTACTCACCCGCTGGCCTGCAGGAATTTTCAATGTTAGGTTGCTGATGACATTTTCCTCCTGTCCTTCGTACCGCAGACTGACATTATCAAAATTGATGTCGCCCCTCTGGGGCCAAGAAATTGGTACACTTTGGTCTAAAAAAAAGAAAATATTTATCTCTTATTTGGGCCTGACAGTTTAAAGGGTAAAGGTGAAAGAAATGGTAAGGTATGCTTCTTGGTGTTGAACAAAAGTTAGATTATGCGATAAGGAATGTATATTTGGCATTTTTAAGGAATGTATAGACCTTAAATTTAATTTATACATTTTAACTTAAATTTGAAAAGATAGTTTTATATTTTTGGGGATTTTTCACCTGCACCACTAGTCTTATAAGTAACATTTTCATATAAATTACTCATACGACTCGTGGTACAACTTGAATACGAAATGATTTTTTTAATTGTTACTAGGATTATAGTTTCTGAATAGTTTATAATTACACAACCAAAACCCTCAAAAAGGACAAGTTTAAAAGATAATTTCCATTGATCTATAAGTTCACACCCTGATAATCCTTTGGTAATTACATCCTTGAAAAATGGAAATTCAATGATGCATGCTAAACGCCCCGAGCCAGTGGCCAAAAAAGGTGAATACGTACAGCGTTCAAGCTTCCTGGCCGGCTCATTTGGCAGGACGACCTTCTCGTCCTTGTCCTGCGGCGGCAGTTGCTTATCTTTAATCACCGACGTCTTTGTCGTCGCCTGTTCCACCTTGTCGGCGTCGCCAGCTGTCGCCGTGGGGAAGTTTAAGGGGAAGTTTAAGTGATTGCCGTCGCTGTCGCCAGTTGCATTGCCTGCATTTAATTTATCAGCATTTGCTTCAGCCCCTCCTGTCCCGTTATTTCCTCCTGCCACTGGTCCAGCTCCTGCTCCTGCTCCTGCTCTGGCTCCTGCCGCAGTTCCAGTTCCATCTTCATCAACATCACCGGCAGCTGTCGTTGCGCCTGGGTAAACTTTGTCACCGGCAGTCGACATCGACGTGGACAAGGACGACCTATCGACTTCAGCTCTCACATCTTCTTCGCCTTCGAGCGTCCCCAGATCCTTATCCTCGTCCGCATCCAGGGCATAGTGGGCGATGCGTTCTACGGAGCCCGCATACATCTCCATATCAGCCAAAAGTTTTACAACCCAATTAAGGTAAATCGGCACCAACAACGTGTAGTTTATGGCCAGTCCCACCAGCGACGGTGTGGGATTCAGTTCCGTGGAGGAGACAGGCGCAGAGCCGGTGGCGGCGGAGTCTGGCGGGCTTTTATTGACAGCATAAGTTTCGGTTGCCTCGCTGTCATGCCGCATTCTGTAGTTGCTGCAACTGAGACTCGCCGTTGCCAGGGCCGTCACAGTGGCCACAAAAACAATGCAGCCACCCAAATAGTCCTGCCGGATGGAATACATTAAAACGAAAGAAAAAGACTGATTAACTAAAAGGAGAGAGAGCGAGTGTCTTGTGTTTTATGGAAAAACTAAATATTAGTCACTCAGATTTAGTATCTAATTCACTTAATTTTAAGCTCAAGAATATAGGATAAGAAAGGATACTTTACCAGGGATATGCCCAACCATCGATGGCTGGTATTTAATAAAGCAAATGCAATTGTGTTTGCCTCCAGACGTTTGAATAGAATTTCCGTGAAACGAGTCTGTTGATTATATGCTCGAATAGTAGTTACCCCTTGGATGGTCTCGGCCAAATGAGATATGACTGGGGAATTGGTGGCATTTTCAATGCGCTGGAGCTCTCTGAAAAAAAAAAATTGAGATTAAATAGTAAGTGGCAATAGTACGCTGCCAATAATCAGATGATAAATAAAAGCCACTATCTCTTCTGGGCCTCGCAGATTAAACAATACTTTTGAAAGCGATAAGACAAGTGTTATCATTACGTGAGTCTACAAAGGTTTTTCCAATTGTTTGGGGGTTACCACAATTATAAGGTTCTGAGGGAAAGAAATGTTTATTCAGTTTAGTTTCAACTGCCGGCTCGTCACCATGGCTGCCAATCCGTGTCGGCTCTTAATTTTGGTTTTGGCCTTCACAGGGCCGATGAATAGAATTCAAAGTGCCAATATACTGGGCCTCTTTACGAGCCTAAGTCCCTCGCATTTGATTATACAAATGTCCACGGCCAAGATCCTGGCCGAAAGGGGACACAATGTGACTGTGGTTACGGTCCTTAAGCCGTTGGTCACCCACAAGGACATTAATCTAATCCAGGTGCCACTTAGTTCGGAGGATGCCCAGCGGCACAGTGAAATAATTGGATCAATGTCCAAGAACGACAACAGCAATATTATAATATCCTTGTTTGGGATGTTGAAACGCACGGGCTTCATGTTCAGGAAAATGGTGAACGCTCTAAAGGATCCACGTGTCCGCGATTTGTACCTCAACAATGGCAATAAGTTCGACCTTGTCATAGCCGGCTATTTCATGAATGAATACCAACTGGGATTCGCCAGAAAAGTGAAAGCTCCCATTGTGCTTGTGGCTCTGATGCCCCCAAATCAGATGATAGGTCCGCTGATTGGCAATCCCCTGGAAGGATCGTTTTTATCTGCCGACAAGGACGCAGGAGAAAAGGGTCAAGCCTCATCCTTCCGCCAACGACTGACAAACTTCTTCTACGGCCAATTTTTCAAGCTTTTTAATTACCTTTCTGAAAGGCGGAATATAGACTTTTACAAGTGAGTAGATCCCTAGATAAGTCAAAGATTTTTTAAAATTTATTTAAAATTTTGATTTTTAGCGAACTTTTTGCCGATGATCCTTTGATTCCTCCGTTCCAGGACATGGTCAAGAATGTTTCACTGATTTTCTTTGCTTCCCATGGACCGAGTGAAGGACCTATCAAGCCTCTCGTCCCGGCGGCCATTGAAATTGGTGGCATACACATCAAGGATAAGCCAGATCCGCTTCCAAAGGACTTGGCCAGTTTTCTGGGCAACGCCACAGATGGAGCCATTCTCTTGAGTCTCGGTTCTAATGTTAAGAGCAGCCATGTCAAGCCGGAGACGGTCAAGAAAATGTTCAATGTCCTGTCCAAGCTGAAGCAGCGGGTCATCTGGAAGTGGGAGGACCTGGACAAGACCCCTGGCAAGTCGGAAAACATTCTTTACTCCAAGTGGCTGCCACAGGACGATGTCCTGGCTCATCCAAACACCAAACTGTTTATAAATCACGCCGGCAAGGGTGGCATTACCGAGGCGGCTTATCACGGGAAACCAATGCTGGCACTTCCGATTTTTGGAGACCAGCCGGGTAATGCGATCGCCATGGTCCAAAAGGGTTTCGGTCTAACCCAGAGTCTCCTCACCCTGGAAGAGCAACCCTTCCTCGAGGCTATCCAGGATATATTGACAAATCCCCAGTACACTGAAAAAGTGTCCTCTTACTCCTCCCTCTATCGTGATCGGCCAATAACTGCTCGGGAATCTCTGATTTACTGGACGGAGTATGTCATCCGTCATCATGGAGCTGCCCACCTGCAGAGCCCTTTGGTGCACATGAACTCCATAGCCGCCAATAATTTGGACGTGTATGCCTTGATTTTTGTAATTTTAGGTGCCATTGTACTTTTAATAAGATTAGGTTTCAAATTTGTTATCAAAAGTATAGCCTCGAAACCAAAAACAATTAAAAAGCATAAGAAGCAGTAGGACTTTACGAATTTTTAGAAATAAGTAGAGAATTTTGTAGTAATCTTTAATATAAACATATTTTATAAAAAATCACAGGCAATTAACAATATTAATAGCAAATTTGTTCAATAAATTAAAAACAAACTGTCTGATTTTATTTCAAGAAAAACCTTATCAACGCAGGTCGCACCATTATTAAACCAACTTATCAGTTCATTTGTACGTTTTAAAAATAAAAACATTTAAAATCAACTCTCTGTGCTGTGAACAAGTCATTTTCGGAAAGATTTTAAAAATGTACAAGCTAGCTCTCACTTTCCTGTTCACCATACAATTAATTATAGTTTCTGCGGAGGATTGTGCAGTTGAAAGTGACGATAGTCTATGGGAGGATCCGAATGTTCAGTGCAGCTCCTTTTGCTTCAAGGCCCTACATCCAATGCTTCGATATGTGGAAGCCAATCATAGGAAGTGGAACCACAACGAGGGGGACCTTCAAAGCCAAATAGAGGCCATTGATAGCAAACTATCATCCTTTCTGAGTTCTCAAAAAAAACTTGAAGAGAAAATTGATAATTTGGAAAACCTTATCAAAAGCTGCTTATCAAAAATAAAGTTTGAGAAAAACATCGAAAATGAACGTGTAACAGAAACAACTTACCAGAAGCTCGGATCAAAAACTATATATTTTGAGGATAAAATAGAAGTAACATGGCAGGAAGCCTTTAAATCTTGTCAGTTGAAGAATCGTACTCTGTTAACTTTCGAAACCAAGGAGGAAATCAAGCCTATATTTCCGAATTTAAGGTCAATGGAATACTGGATCGGAATTAATAAAAATGAACAAAATATTCCCTGCGCTAGCCTTACAAAGTATGGACATCTTAGCATTACATCGAGTCCAATCTGTTCCGAGAAACATTTTTTTATTTGTCAGGACAATAATACATAAAAAATCAAATTATTCACATTTTGTAAAAGACTTTCTTTAAAAATAAATTAAATTGTACACCAGTTTTTTGACTTTTAACCTTTAACTTTCTACAATAGGCAACTTGATTAGATCTATGAGTGAAAAGCTCCCCGTAATACTTACTTTTCTTTTTCAACAGTTTTGTAATCAGTTAGCCCTAAGCCTGATAATAAACATAACCTGATAAGAATTCTCTTATAAAGAATGGTTCGTGGCGATTGGATTAGTCGTCTTCGGAAAGTTGAATCGGAAAGTTGCCAATATGATTCGATTTTCGGGAAATTGGGTGCTCGTGTTGGGCCTCTTAGTATTCCTAGGATCTGCGGAAAGTGCAAATATCCTGGGAATCTTTACCGTGCCCCAGCCATCACATGTCATTGTGCACATGTCCCTGGCAAAGGTCCTGGCGGAAAGGGGACATAACTTGACGATCATAACCTCAATTGAACCTCCGATCAAGCACAAGAACTTTAACATTATCCGAGTGCCACACTCCAAGGACGAAGAACGAGACCTCAACGAGGCACTCGTCAACATGGCCAAGATAGACGGCGGAGTGCTCTCTCAACTTCTTAACATGCCAAAGTTTTTTGATGTTAACTCCCGGATAATGACCAGCGCCTTGCGGGATCCGCGTGTGGTGGATCTTTATGAGAACAAGGACAACCATTTCGACCTGGTCATTGCAGGATACTTCATGAACAACTTCCAGCTGGGCCTGGCCCAGAAACTTAAAGTTCCCGTAATTATCTCCTTCTCCCAGCAACCTGTGGAGTTCATGGCCAACATGGTGGGTAATCCCAGGTCGCTGTCCCATGTTCCAGGCATATTGACCGCCGTGGAAAAGGGCCAAGTTATGTCCTTTTCCCAAAGATTCCACACGCAAACTATCAGCTGGCTGCAAAGGATTTGGCTGGCGCAGTACGACTGGAATAATAGCAAAATCTACAGGTGAGAAGTTAATAATTTTATATTTAGACATCCAATTCTGAGAATTAAGTCCTTTAGATCTCTGTATGGGGATGATCCTTCAATGACTGCCTACGAGGATCTCTCAAAGAACATATCACTGATGTTCTTCAACTCGCATGCATTGAGTGAGGGACCCATTCGACCCAATGTTCCAGCTGTCGTTGAGATTGGTGGGATTCAAATAAAAAACAAACCCGATCTTCTGCCTCTGAATATGGCAGAGTTTCTAGGGAATGCGACCAAAGGAGCTATCCTGTTAAGCCTCGGGTCTAATTTAAAAGGATCTCATCTCACTCCAGAAATGGTTCAGAGCATGTTTAAAGTTCTCTCTAATCTTCCCCAGCGAGTGATTTGGAAGTGGGATGATCTAAAGAATACCCCAGGAACATCAGACAACATTCTCTATTCCAAGTGGCTGCCACAAGACGATATCCTAGCTCACCCGAATATCAAACTATTTATAACCCACGCTGGAAAAGGAGGCACTTCCGAATCCCAATATCATGGTAAGCCCATGTTGGCTATTCCCTTTTTTGGCGACCAGCCAGGAAATGCAGGCGTTTTGGTGAAATCCGGTTACGGACTAAGTTTATCTTCTTTGGACTTGAATGAGGAGAATTTCCGAAGCAGCATCGTCAGGATTCTAGAGGATCCCTCTTTCACCAACAACGTTAAGGCTTTTTCGGACCTCTACCGAGACAGACCTCTGACGGCTCAAGAAACTGTGATTTACTGGACTGAGTACGTTTTGCGACATCGAGGAGCTCCTCATCTACAGAGTCCTGTGGTCCACATGAGCTTTATAGCTTACCACAATATAGATATCTACATTATTTTAATACTTATACTCTCTATTGTCGTCGTATTAACTAAATTTGTATTCAAGCTTTGCATAAGAAAAATCAGTAACGCTAAGAAACCAAAAATCAAGAGGAAATAGGCTAGTTTTGTAACACATTTTCTTAAATAATATAATTTAAAAATCACAATGACTTGCTGTTCTACTGATAAGCGTGGGAATCTCGTAACAAATTTCTATTCAACTGATAAGAACATAAGTGATAGACTGATATCACTAATCAGAAAAAATCGCCAGACAGCTTGTGACGGAGCCTGGTCACCAGCAGCGGTCTTGATAAGATTATTTTGAAGCAAAAATAAAAAATATAGAACCATAAAAATATAATAAAATGGTCAAATAAAAATTATAGTTGGTTTTATTTAAATGGTATACTTTTTGAGGAAGGTTAGGGTTAGTTGTTAAGAACCCTTTGTATTTAAGTGATTATTTATCATTCAAAAGTTTGCTTATCAAGCTGATAACACTTATCAGCTTCGTTCCGCATATACGTTTTTTGATAAGAAACAAAATTTATAGAGTTTAGTACATATATTAAATGGGTTTTGTATTAACCATTTAGTAGAAGACAGAACCTCCCTTAGCCAACATGCGATTATTTTCGGGAGTGCTCTCTATTATAATTGCTCTACTGAGTATATTATCTTCCGGACAATGTGCCAATATCCTGGGAATCTTTACGGTACCCATGGCCTCTCACACCATTGTACATCTGTCGGTGGCCAAGGTCCTGGCCGAAAGAGGCCATAACTTGACGGTCGTAACGCTTTACGATCCGCCAGTTAAGCACAAGGACTTCACGGTTATTCAAGTGCCTCCTTCCCAAGAGGACGAACAGCAGCTGAACGAAGTAGTCGGGGGAAGTAGCCGCCTCGGCTAGCAAGGGCTTGCTGGCCTCTTTTCTTAATACTCCAAAGTTCTTCAGTTCACTTTTACGGATAATGGAAAACGCCCTAAGAGATCCGCAGGTCAAGGCACTTTATGAAAACAAGGACAACAAGTTTGATTTGGTAATCACTGGATATCTACAGAACGATTTCCAGTTAGGAATCGCCCATAAGTTGAAGGTGCCCGTCATCGCCGCCTTTCCCCAACAGCCTCTGGAGTTCATTGCCTCTATTGTCGGCAACCCCAGTTCCTTGTCCTCAGCGCCGGGCATGTTGAACTCTGTGGAGAAGGGCAAGGTCATGTCCTTTGGCCAGAGACTGAAGGAAGTGCTCTTAAGTTGGGGTCATAGTGCAGTTATAAAATTAGTAGAACATCGCAACAGACAGCGCTACAGGTATCTATTAATAATAAACTCGTTTTTCCAAAGATTATTAAAAAGTATTCCCTTTCAGATCGCTGTTTGGAGATGATCCTTCAATGCCTGAGTATGATGATCTCTCCAAAAATATAACGCTAATGTTCTTTAACTCTTATGCTCTCAGCGATGGACCCATCCGACCCAATGTCCCAGCTGTCGTTGAGATTGGTGGGATTCAAATTAAAGACCAGCCAGATCCCCTCCCTTCGAATATGGCAGAGTTTCTGCAAAATGCCACCGAAGGTGCTATTCTTTTAAGTCTCGGTTCCAACATAAAAGGAACCCATCTCACTCCTAATATGGTTCAGAGTATGTTCAGAGTTCTTTCTAACCTTCCCCAGCGAGTGATTTGGAAGTGGGATGATCTGAAGAATACCCCAGGAACATCAAAGAATATTCTCTACTCCAAGTGGCTGCCACAAGACGATATCCTAGCACATCCGAGTATTAAACTTTTTATAACCCATGCCGGAAAGGGGGGCACTGCCGAGTCGCAATATCATGGGAAACCAATGCTGGCTATTCCATTTTTTGGCGATCAGCCTGGAAATGCAGAATCTTTAGAGAAATCCGGATACGGGCTTACTTTAGTTTCTTCAGAATTGAATGAGGAGAATTTCAGAAGCAGCATCGTTAGGATTCTAGAGGATCCATCTTTCACCAACAATGTCAAGGCCTTTTCTGAGCTTTACCGTGACAGACCTCTGTCGGCAAAGGAAACCGTGATTTATTGGACTGAGTATGTCCTGCGACATCGGGGAGCTCCTCACATGCAAAGTCCTCTCGTCCACATGAGCTTTATAGCTGCCCACAATATCGACATATATTTCTTGATAGTGTTATTTATTTACTTGCTTGCAGTCCTTTTTAAATTCATAATAAGACTTTGTAACCAAAAGCTTTTTAAAGTCAAAAAACAAAAAATTAAGAAAAAGTAAAAGTAATCTGAAAAGTTAAGAGTCTGAAGTTAATGACTGATAACATCTTATCTTATCCTAAGAATAAATGTGAAATTCTTGAATACAAAAGATTATTATTAAGTCTTAATCAAAGATTCCAGTTACTTACCTTGCGGAGCACCTGTAGAACTTCTGCACCACATAGTAGGCCCCACAGATGGGAAGTGTAAGGACCAGAAACCACGGAGTAATCGTGACATTTATCAGAATGGCAGATAGACAAAGCAAAGTCAATTGCAACAATCGCTGGCCGGTGGCGGCGATTTTCTGTTGACAAAAAAGCAGGAGAATTATGGACAATGAAGAGTATTTTTTTTTTTTTTTTTATGAACATAGGTCAAGGACTGTAGGGATGAAATAGCGTTGGCAACGCGTGCCTATCACCATACAATCTTAATCAAAGATTCCTACAGGAATCCGTATTTCATTGCGCAACAAAAAGTTTTGTTAAGGGGAGCAAGTAGGGGCGTGGGGGCCAACTGATGGCTAAAACCGACAAACGGATAACAGAAATAACAAATCTCACCTTATCAATGACGGCCATATCGTTGCTGAAACGATTCACGATGCGTCCGAGCGGTGTCACTTGGAAAAAATGCAACGTTTTATGCAAAATCGTTTGCAGCAGCTTATCGTGCAAATTACGACGGGCATTACAGCCGGCCCATTGTCCTGCCGGTGTTGATACCATGGCCATTATAATGCAAACACACGAAATTGCAGCATACATGCGAAAATAGTACGTGACTTCGTGCACCTCCCGTCACCGTCTCTACAGCCACAATGGGGCCAACCATCGTCCTGCCATCCGGCGATCCATCTGGTGGAGTTTTGCCACCGACATGGACATCGCTCCAGTGCCGTAGCCAAACGTCCGTGTAGACACGCAAACACTGCCAAATTAGTGCCGTGATAAAAAAGACGGTGATTATGGGTAGACCGGCGGCTCGTATATACATTAGATATATGTCGTCCGATATTTTTCCATATTTGCGTTCGGTATCAATTGCAGGTCGTCCTGGCTCATGGCTGCCACCTGCCGGCGTCACGTGTCCTTCAGCATTTTCCGGTAAAGGCAACGATGTCACGTTTGCCTCCGATTCTTTGTTCGAGCCTGATTCACAATTGTCAGCGCAATTTATTGTGGTTTCCTTTGAGTCAATATTTACACCTTTATTTGGGTAGAGAAAGGAATATAAAAAAGGATGTTTTAAGAGGATATATTTAGGTGGATTGAATGCTAAAAAGATTTAATTATCTTGCCTTAATCTCTTCTAGCTTGAAAACCTTTTACAAACTAGTTAGTTGAACTTCTTTAACTCCTTTTATCCTTTGAAGGCCCTAAACTCTCTCACAAATCCCTTAAGAACGCATTAATAATTTCTAGGTAGCGGTTAACTAGTTGCACCGTCAAACTAATTGAAAGAAAAGTTCTCTTTCAACCTTATTCCATGGCCCGGGGAAAGGAGTCTTTGCCATCATCGGATGGAGTGACACTTGCAGCACTGATTAAATCGAAAGTTTAGCGCTGGAAACTCGCTGACTTATCAGCCAAATATTGATAGATCAATGCATCAAGTTAAGCCAAAAGTTTTCTGCCTTGCCAACTTTGGGCGCGCCCTTCGAATAAACTGTCTCTTTGAGTTACCGCTCGGGAGCTCCAAACTTTTGAAATCAAAGTTGATTTAAGTTTTAAGCTACATACGCGTGCATCCAGGATGCAGTCGAACTATAAGGAGCAGCAGGAGCCCCAAAGGATATAGACAGGAGGAGGAGAGTCTGCAGAAATATGCCAATATATTGCATGCATCCTGTTTGCAGCTTTTGGCTAATCAATATTCATTATAATTGATTGCAGGGCATAACCAGCATTTCCGTGTCGTTAGGAAAAGTCAATTTTCATTAAAATCGTTAAATTACAAAATCATAATTCTCTTACCAACAAAATCTGAAAGGACACAACTTACTTTTCTTGGGCTTTTCGTCGGAAGACGTTTCGGCCAAGTCGCATTTGGATTTCTGGCCATCTTGTTGGGAAATTCCACGCGGAGAGCTCAGATCAATGGCGGCGAAATGGACAATGGGAGGAGACTCTTCAGAAATGCTCCTTAAAGTGTAATAAATAATATAAAGATCTTTAATCCTTCAACTAGGCCTACTCACAATATAGAATTGGTGGCGCTCAGAGGATGATGATGGTTCTTTGGTTTGTTGGAACGTCGCATGGACATTCTTCGCAGGAACTGCTGAAAGCCTCCTCGCTCTTGATCATCCAAGGGATCTTCCGCGTTCTCCGAGCCTCGTCCATCATGGGGCTCTATGACTTTAACAGGTGCCTCAATGGCGGGCGGGGATGAGGCGTTTCGGGCCAGGGGCTGATGATGAACGCTCTGTGGGGGCTGCCAGGACTGGACGCGGGGCTCTGAAGGTACTATGGGGGCCAGGTCACTGCCATCGGCACTGCTTTCCGCGTAGCTACTACAACTAGTTGCCAGGGCGTTGCGATTGAGGACATCTCCGCTATTGGAACTGGAGGCGGAAGTGGCGGTAAGGGTACTCAGTCCGCTCAGGCGATGCCACGAATTGGTGGTACGGCTGCCCCTCCTGGTAAGAGTGTGCTTCCGACGAGGTCGCAAGATAACATCATCGTTCTGGCACTCATCGATGGGCAGAGGAACATCATACATCAAGTGCCGAGATCCGTAAATACTGGATCTTTTTCTTTGAAGACTAAAACTGCCACAGGGTCCAATGGAATAGGACTAAGAAATGGTCTTTAAAAAGAACTATTTATATTATTTTGGTACAGCTTACTTACAGCAGATATATGATCATCCTCCTCCTCCTCTTGGACAATATTTGGGGGCATATTGGCCACAGAAATACATCCACTGCCGTCAATGGTATCTGCATTACATCCTCCACCCGGATCCATGGTCACCGATATAGAGCGTTGCAAGCCCAGTTTGCTGACATTCTTCAGCAACTTCCAGCGCTCACAAGCCGTTCGTTCAACAGAACTAGATATAAGTTATATTTTATAAATTTTATTTAAATTTTAGCTTTAAGTTCTAATAAAATATCTACCTTTGTGTAACATATTCCCTCTTGGCCTTGCCTATTGCCAGGATTGAAGTCCATTTGGCGGTTATCTTTGGATGCATCAGTTCGATATCCGAATAGCTACCACAGGCTTCCACTTTTCCATTTTTCATAACAATTAACTATTAAATAAATTAAAATATGTACATATATATACTAAAAACTCCTTTTTTAAAAACCTTTCTAAAAACCTTAAAACTTACATATTCTGCCTCCTTAATGCGATGCAATTGCTGAGTCACTAGGATAAAGGTCCTGTTGGACTTTTGTAACATCTGGCGTATACAGTGCTCGAAAATGTGATCACCCACCTCATTGTCCAGAGAAGCTAAAGGGTCATCCTGGAAAGAGTTATCATAATAATCACTTTCTTAGTAAAATAAGATACTAAATAGAATAACTTTATTGATAATTTCCCTTCTAACACAAATTTAATAAGAAGATTCCACCTATTCGGGAGCCAACATTTTCTCTGGATTGATCCAACTCTCATAGTCCTGTTTCTCGATTCCAGCGTTTTGACACTCCTTCAGCAAAGTGGTGCCGTTCTGGTGGGCTGCCATCGCAATAGCGGCGGCCCTGTCATATCCAATGTGTGGACTCAGGGCAGTGACCAGCATCAGGGAGCCCTTCATGGTGGAGGTAATCTTTGGTTTGTTCGGCTCGGCACCCTTCAGGCAGTTCTCACAGAAGGAAGTGATGCCATCGCCCAGGAGTGTGATAGAACGCAGGACATTCGAGACGATCATGGGTAAAAAGGTATTCAGTTGAAAGTGTCCAGATAAGCCGCCAATGTTAATAGCTGCTTGGTTTCCCATGATCTGGGCACAGATCATGGTCATGGCCTCGCACTGGGTGGGATTCACCTTGCCGGGCATGATCGAGCTGCCCGGCTCGTTCTCCGGCAGCATCAGCTCGCCCAGACCACATCGCGGCCCAGATCCCAGGAATCGAATGTCATTCGCTATTTTCATCGTACTGACAGCAATGGTGTTGAGTTCCCCGTGAAGCTCCACCAGGGCATCGCAGGTGGACATCGACTCGAAGCAGTTGGGGGATGACTCAAACGGCAGGAAGCTTAGCTCGGCAATCCGCTTGGCGCACATGTTGTTGAATCCCTTCACGGTACTGTAACCCGTGCCCACAAAGGTGCCTCCAATGGGGAGCTTATACAATCTAGAAAGAGAGTCGTCCAGGCGGGATTTTCCATTAAATATCTGCTGATGGTATCCACTGAACTCCTGGCCCAGGGTCAGAGGCACCGCGTCCATCAGATGGGTGCGTCCGATCTTGATGATGTCCTTCCAATCCTCTGATTTTTTCCGCAACATCTCGCCGAACAGCCTCAAGGACGGATAGAGCTTCTCCTGCAAGTCCATGGCCACGGCCACACGAACTGCCGTGCTGAAGGTGTCGTGGTCGCTCTGCCCCATATTCACGTGCTCAATGGGATCCACTGGATCCTTCGTTCCCATCAGGCCGCCCAGGATCTTGATGGCTCCGTTAGCGATCACCTCGTTCACATTGCCATTGGTGTGATCTCCCGAGCCAGACTGCCAAATCACCAGCGGAAAGTGCTCCTCGTCGTACAGTTTTCCGGAGATGACTTCATCACAGGCCTGGGATATGGCATCGCACAGACGCTCCTCCATGCCATTGGCCTTGTTCGACTCGGCGGCGGCTTTCTTCACCATTCCCATGGCTCTAATAACCGAACGCTGTGGGTTTGTTTCAGATTTTTTAATAAATATCTATCTATATATTTTTAAAAAGGTCTTCTCGTACAGGCATACGTTCTTCGGTTCCGCCAATCGGAAATTTCATCAAGGATCTCATGGTGAGTGGTCCGTACATGCGGTCCAGGGGGATATGGATCGCTCCCTGGGCATCATATTCGACTCGGGTATCCGGGACGATGAGCCGGGCCAGCTTGTACATTAAACTGAAAATCTCCTTTTGATCGAACGACATTTTGGGGAAAATATAAATACATATACGGAGTAAACTAGCGAAGGGTCGAGAGAATAATCAAATTTGACTTGATCTTTAAAGAATAGTTATGTGATGTAGAAATTTTGTCTGATTTGAAGCCAGACCTTGACTCATAACTAAACTCTTAACTATCCAACTACCGTAATCAAAATTTTTGCTATTTTTGGCCAACCATGCCACAATGTAACAAAATTTTTACAACCGGCAGGGAACTTTACTATCAGCTCATATGGCTTATCGATTTCTTGAGTCATTGCTGACAGTTTTGATGACATCCTTACCATTATGACGACATTAGCCGAGGAGTATAAAGCCCGGGCAATGGCGATTCGTTGCCTTTGTCCCCCCGACATGTTGATTCCCCGTTCTCCGATTATTGTAAAGTCGCCACGCGGCATAAGTTCGATGTCCAGCTTGAGGGCACAGGCTTCTATCACAAAATTATACCTGTTTGGCCGAAAGGACTCGCCGAAAAGTATATTCTCCCGTATGGTGTCATTCAAAAGCCAAGGATGTTGCGAGACATACGATATGGTACAGGTTCTGGAAGTAAACATTCAAAAATTTAATTTTTTTTTAACCTTGCAATGTAAATATCTTGCAATCCTTTCAAGGATTCCTATTTAATGCTTGCTAGACTGTACGTACATAAATTTGCAAGCCTTGAAGATACCACAGCAGGAAGGAAAAAAAAAAGAAACCCGTACTCGAACTAACATAGACATTTATTACAGTAATTGAAATTATTGCACATTTGCCGTTTGCCAAGCCATGGAAATGGAAATGGAGCAGGCAGTCCTGCCTGGCAGTCCCGCAGGAGGAAAGCAATAGAAGCAAAGGGCATAGGATCGGATTGGTTTGGTAGGGTTTCGCCATGGGGCTTGCGGGTTTGGGGCACTGCAGTGGCACAGACTTGGTTTCTGCTCCGCGATTTCCACTTGTTAAATGCATTTGTAGTATGTATATGCCCATGCCCGCGCCCATCACGCCCCCTTCTTACTTGTGGAGTCTGCTCCACAGACTTCGCAGTCATTTTTATTTTATGTGCAATAAAATTAACAACGTACACACAGGCATTTTGTGATAAATTACCGAATCACGTGGCGTGCATTGAAACGACTGTTAAAATATGTTGAATGACTGCGGCGAATTCCTCCTCCATTCCGCTGCAACAATGCAAGTTCAGAACTATTCCACCTGCCAGCCGGTGGCTATATCAGGGATAGGATAGGAAACTGGGTTAGCTGGTCAATCGTAAAAAATAAATCTGGTTTTAAGAACCAAAAAAAACTCCAAGATACTTGTGGTTTTAGTAGTTCCTCCCCACAATAAAATCAATACAAACAGAAGTCAGAGACTAGGATTTAGAAGCCAGAAGCTAGTTCTAAAATAAGCTGTATATACTTCAAATGGCCCGGAGGTAATCTGCATACCAAAAAATAGGTGAAAATTATGCAATTAAATGTGATAAATGGGCAAACAAAGTTATCCTACTTGGGGCCATGGGCGAGGCAACTACTTCTGTTCGCAGAACTGAAAATGAGCACATAAATAGCTAAACAAATTTACATCAGGAGTGGGCTGGGGATGTCCTGGATGTGCTGGATGGGCTCCACCCATGTTGACACACGAGAAAACGTGCTTAATCTTGGCCAGAGGCATGTGCCTCCAAGGTACTCCTAAGAACAAAAACCAGCTTTTGATATGAAAATGTTTTTAAACTAAAATAGGAAAATCAACATAAAAAGGGAGTTGTTGCTTCGGGCCAGGATTAAAGCTCCATGGTACTCTGCTCTAAAAATTAATCCCTAAAATGTTACTCACTTGTGCCAAAACATATTCCCTGCCAATAGAGGCATCTCCATGAGAAGAGCAGACAATAGCGAGGTCTTGCCACTCCCGTTCTTGCCCACAACGATGGTGAGCTTCCCCTTTGGCACCACAATCCCTGCCACATGCAACTGCACCACCGGCATCTGGCTCTGGGGCTGCCATGTGAAGAGTCCATCGTTGATGGAGACCGCGATGTCATCGGGCATTTTCAGCAGAAGAGAGTCCCGTCGCCAGCTGTCCGTGTTTCTGGCCCGGATCACCGAGAATTCCACGGGCTTCTCCACCACACTGCCCCCGCCAGCGCGCATCTTTGGTCGGATTGCCACGTACGGGGTATTTCGGAGAAGCTCCCGTCGCTGCTGGACCAGTTTGTTGTGCCGCAACTCTTGAGAGGAGGATGAAGAAAGGTCGGCACCGGCCTGCTCCTCGTTTTGCTGCAACAATGGGGTGGTGGATGTGGCTGGCACGGATTTCTCCTCCGTTGGGGGCTCAGGATTCCGCCATTGTTGGGCCAGTCGCTTCTCATTTAGTCGGTTCTCCGCCTGGGCCGTACGCATTGTCAGGTTGGACTTCTCCTGGGTCTCATACATGTCCAGGGAGGCGTCGCTCTTGCTCAATATCCTGGCCATATTCCGGATCCCCTCGAACTGCTTCTGGATCTCGCTGGATCGAAGGAAACGCTCCAGTCGTCGTGTGGACACTCTGGCTGCTATAATGATGGGCACTGTAATGGGAAATATCAGCAGGGGAACCGTCATCTGCTGGAACAGTGCCAGGGACGAAAAGAGCCTGCTGGGGTTTAAATCGAAGGACTCTCCTCGGGATAACCACACGTAGACGCCCAGGGTTACGAAAGTAATCAAAACGGTTGCAATGTGGGTAAGAACAGCTGTTAGGATATGATAATATTAATCATGGATTAAATAATCATTTTTGAAAAACATACCCATCAAGGTCCAGAATGTAGCATCTTTGTTGAGATACTTGAGCTCTTTCGAGCGGGCCACTTGAATCTTTTTTAGGAAGACCTCGTCCCAGGCATTCAGTTTTATGACTTTGATGCCAACCAGGGTGTCGTGTATTTTCTTTAAACGCTCATCTGTATATTTCTAGAAGAATACATATCATTCTATAATATATTCCATATAAAAATATACATTTTTGATTCAATTACTTACTGCAATAACCTCGGCATTTTTAGACATTGCATTTCCAATTATAAATTGCAGAGGTGTAATGATCAGAATACAAACAATAGAGCCAATAACGGCACTGATTCCCAAATTCAAATATAACAAGTAGATAACTACAATTATCTAGAAATAAAGATGTATAAATTATAGATTATTTATTTTCACTTCTAAAGCTAAAGTTTCTAGGCCAATAAAAACTACATAAATTCTGAATAAAATCAAAAAAAGGTTCGAAAAACCATTCACATTTATATGAAATCAAATTTATTGCCTGGTGATTATAAAACATATTAAAAACACTTGTAGTATCCAAGTCAAGGCTATCTCAGTCAGTAAACGCCATAAATTAGCTTCTTGTTGGCTTCGAACATCAAACGACACTCAAGTGGCACACAAGTTGCTCATAAATTTTAGAAAAACGATTAGACTATTAAATAGCTGGCCCATCCTGGATACGAACCTTGAAGGGAATGGCCCAGGCATAATGGATGATCAAGAAAAATTCCATGATGTTTTGTGCATCCTCCGTCATATGGTTGGTGATGCTTCCAATGTCATTAAGGTTATTTGAATCTGGAAATTATAAAGTTATTAACGAATCCTTTTTAGATAGACATATAACTCACCCTCTATACTATCCTTGGCTTCGGCATTTTTTGGTTTCTCAGCCGCAGAACCAGAAGGACACTCAGTGTTGGATTCGCTGGCACCGCAGCCTCCACCGCCCGCATTTAAAAGCAAACTTTTTCTATAAATTAGACCCCTTAGGGATGTTTTTATCCTGATGCCGGTCATATTGAGGATGTGCGTCGAAGCCTGCGACAAGGCGCCCTGTGTGAATGCGGTCAGCAGAACCAGCCAAGCGATGCACCAGCCATTCGCCAACAGATCCGACCAAGTTCTACAGTAAATTCTCACTTGTCCAATATTGGTGCCGAAAACCTCATCAAAATCTGTGCTTACACCGGAGGTAGTGGTAAGTTGGGCGGGCTCATTATTGACCGAATCGGGCATCGTAGTCCTGGCATAAAGCTCTTCGATATATTGAACGATTTTCTGTATGGCAATTGGACCAATCAGGGAGAATAAATCCCCAGCCAGTTTTAAAATGCCCCCCAAGGCAAACATTTGCCAACTGTTTTTTAAATAGCAGTACCATAAGGACGGCGAGGTGTTTGACTTTTTCTGTAATGAAAATGTTTTAATTAACATTTTTTTATCATTATACCATTTCTCATATAAAACACCCACTGCCTTCTCCGTGTAGATATACAAAAAGTGGTCGTAATGCGACCTAGCACTATCCTCCAATTTCATTTGCCCCAAATCCTCCAGTTCCAGTGGCTCTTTGTAGCCCAACCACAGTAGGGGGGTTAGCCACCAAAAGCAGGATTTTGAATAAAATGTGGCCAGAGAATGCTTATAGCCGATTCTCTCATAATCGTCCATATAGTCGTCATGGTATTGCTGTAAAGTCAACACAGAAGAAATGATTTTTTAATCTTTATTTTCTTGTTGGTTTATTTTTATTGCAACTGTCCTGCGGCCAAAAAGCCAACGAAAGAAATAAATAAAACACACGTCAAATAAACAGGCATTAAGCCTAAAATCTCAGCTTAGCCTCAATTAAAGTTTAAACATGCAAATCACATTAGGATGTTGACCAACGATTATGTCCACTGGGTTGGATTTTGTTTTGGTATTAAAAAAGGTGAACTTTAAAGATTAAGCCTTAAGAAGAAAATGTCTTTTAAAGTAAATAAAAAATAGGAGAAAAATACTACATTAGATTATTTCTAGAGAATAGATTTTCACTTACCTCTTTGTAGATGGTATAACCGTCTAAGGAGGCCAAGACGAGCATACACGTGGCTGAAATGGCCACAAGGCACGTCTGGAGCTCCCACAAATCCTCGTAGTACACCAACTCAGACAGCTCATTGGTTCGCAGAACAAATGTCAATATCTCGACGGCAGTACTTGCATATAAAAACACTGGAAAATATGAAAATTTGAGGGAGAAAAATACACAATAAACACCTGACCCACCTGTCGCCTTTTTGCGCTCCACAACACGATGATACAGCATTAGCATTAGAGTCAAGAGCGTTGATAGAATTGCATTCCATATTTCTCCAGACCCTATTACAATCAAAAAGTTCTGCTCACGGGGATTGGAATCAAAAAGTAGGTTAAGCTGGGGGACACTATGATAGGGCAGCAGGGTCCGGGCGAATTCTAAACTATTTGCTGCCAAAAGGATCAACGAAACAGCAGCTCGTCCATTGTGGAATAATAGTAATGTTTTGTGGCACCTGTGATGAGGAGACAGGAATATGAATAAAGCATTTATTTCTGGAATATCTAAATATTAATATGATAAAAGATTATATCTAAAAATCCTCCCCAATTCAAATCCAACAGCTACGGTAAAATCCACTTCATAAAATATGCATGTATAATAAAAATTTAAGAGCCATCAGGCATACGTTCACGTTTCTATAATTAAGAGTTCTTCCTAATGATATTGATTTCGTGTATCGGGCCTTGAATATTTATTTATATTTGAATGCACCCTTGGCACAAAGTCACGTGTAGATGCAATTGAGATTCCATTCATTCAGAGACTACTTTGGCACGCGACGCGGTATTTTTCGAATCCAGAATGGTTTGTGTTTTTGTTTCTATTTCGCTGCGGGATACCGAAGACTCTCAATGGCCTATGCACTTCAATTCCGGATATCAATTATTGGCTTTTAAGTGGTTTTTCGATATGTAAAGTGAAAGGTCAGATTTGTTAATGTAATTATAAAGTTTTATTAGTGTTGCACGCTGAAGAAGTGAAAATATTGGGTTTTATTTTTTTCGATAACCAAAACATTGCTTATTTGGATCCGATTCTAGAAAGGAATACCCCAAATGATTTGTAGAACGATTCTCTTTAAATCTGCATCAAAACCTGAAATGCAAATTTTTGATCCACATTTTTCATATTTTCCTGATGGACCCCCTTCCGAAATCCAGGATATCCATATGGGACCCTCTGCGATGGCCATATCTTCCGCAATTTTCATCCGATTCCAAAAAGGAATACCCCAAATGATTTGTAGATCGATTCTCTTTAAATCTGCATCAAAACCTGAGATCCAAATTTTTGATCCACATTTTTCATATTTTCCTGATGGACCCCCTTCCGAAATCCAGGATTTTCATATGGGACCCGCTGCGATGGCCATATCTTCCGCAATTTTCATCCGATTCCAAAAAGGAATACCCCAAATGATTTGTAGATCGATTCTCTTTAAATCTGCATCAAAACCTGAGATCCAAATTTTTGATCCATTTTTCATATTTTCATATTTTCCTGATGGACCCTTATTCCCCTTCCGAAATCCAGGATTTTCATATGGGACCCGCTGCGATGGCCATATCTTCCGCAGTTTTCATCCGATTCCAAAAAGGAATACCCCAAATGATTTGTAGATCGATTCTCTATAAATCTGCATCAAAACCTGAGATCCAAATTTTTGATCCACATTTTTCATATTTTCCTGATGGACCCCCTTCCGAAATCCAGGATTTTCATATGGGACCCTCTGCGATGGCCATATCTTCCGCAATTTTCATCCGATTCCAAAAAGGAATACCCCAAATGATTTGTAGATCGATTCTCTATAAATCTGCATCAAAACCTGAGATCCAAATTTTTGATCCACATTTTTCATATTTTCCTGATGGACCCCCTTCCGAAATCCAGGATTTTCATATGGGACTCTCTGCGATGGCCATATCTTCCGCAATTTTCATCCGATTCCAAAAAGGAATACCCCAAATGATTTGTAGAACGATTCTCTTTAAATCTGCATCAAAACCTGAGATCAAAATTTTTGATCCACATTTTTCATATTTTCCTGATGGACCCCCTTCCGAAATCCAGGATTTTCATATGGGACCCGCTGCGATGGCCATATCTTCCGCAATTTTCATCCGATTCCAAAAAGGAATACCCCAAATGATTTGTAGATCGATTCTCTATAAATCTGCATCAAACCCTGAGATCCAAATTTTTGATCCACATTTTTCATATTTTCCTGATGGACCCCCTTCCGAAATCCAGGATTTTCATATGGGACCCGCTGCGATGGCCATATCTTCCGCAATTTTCATCCGATTCCAAAAAGGAATACCCCAAATGATTTGTAGAACGATTCTCTTTAAATCTGCATCAAAACCTGAGATCCAAATTTTTGATCCACATTTTTCATATTTTCCTGATGGACCCCCTTCCGAAATCCAGCATATCCATATGGGACCCTCTGCGATGGCCATATCTTCCGCAATTTTCATCCGATTCCAAAAAGGAATACCCCAAATGATTTGTAGATCGATTCTCTATAAATCTGCATCAAAACCTGAGATTAAAATTTTTTATCCATATTTTTCATATTTTCCTGATGGACCCCCTTGTGAAATCCAGGATATCCATATGGGACTCTCTGCGATGGCCATATCTTCCGCAATTTTCATCCGATTCCAAAAAGGAATACCCCAAATGATTTGTAGAACGATTCTCTTTAAATCTGCATCAAAACCTGAGATCAAAATTGTTGATCCACATTTTTCATATTTTCCTGATGGACCCCCTTCCGAAATCCAGGATTTTCATATGGGACCCGCTGCGATGGCCATATCTTCCGCAATTTTCATCCGATTCCAAAAAGGAATACCCCAAATGATTTGTAAATCGATTCTCTTTAAATCTGCATCAAAACCTGAGATTAAAATTTTTTATCCATATTTTTCATATTTTCCTGATGGACCCCCTTGTGAAATCCAGGATTTCCGTATGCGACCCCCTGCGATGGCCATATCTTCCGCAATTTTCATCCGATTCTAGAAAGGAAAGCACCAAATGATTTGTAGATCGATTCTCCATAAATCTGCATCAAACCCTGAGATTAAACTTTTTGATCCATATTTTTCATATTTTTCTGATGGACCCCCTTGCGAAATCCAGTATTTCCGTATGCGATCCCCTGCGATGGCCATATCTTCCGCAATTTTCATCCGATTCCAAAAAGGAATACCCCAAATGATTTGTAGATCGATTCTCTTTAAATCTGCATCAAAACCTGAGATCCAAATTTCTGATCCATATTTTTCATACTTTCCTGATGGCCCCTTCCGAAATCCAGGATTTCCATATGGGACCCCCTGCGATGGCCATATCTTCCGCAATTTTCATCCGATTCTCTCGATCGATTCTCTTTAAATCTGCATAAATTAAATATTTCATCTTCACGAAAAACTTTAATAAATAAATCACCTACACATATGTTTAAAAATATTTTCAGGCAAAATAATATATCCAAAATATAGCATCGTATAAGTAAAATACTCCAGCTCCCCGTCATCACTCCAATATTCGTATTTTCTACAAACGCAATGCGCTAAATTTAAACAAATGTGCCCATTTGCTTATACACGGATGTGGCTGGGGCATAAGTAATTTCTCGTTTTTGTAGAAGGAGTGAACTGGATGTGTAATATCTAACGATGATCCCATTAAGCCACAACCAACAGAGCTAATCCGAAGCGAATTACATCTGACCCTATTTTAGCACATGCTTTACGCGATTTAAGAAGAAAAATCGTTCTGCCAAGAGAGCAAACTGATTGTAAACAATACAGACACATGTTTGTACTTGTAGTATATACTTGTATATGCAACACGAACAAAATAAACTTAAATTCGCTTTAATTTTAGTTTAAAAATGTGTCAATTCAGCTTTTTCTGAACTACCTGTTTTGTGACTAAGTGTGTGATTCTTTCTCACTTTTCTAAGCAAAAAAATAAACTTAATTAAATGGAAACTTACTTTTTGTACTTGATAGAAACAAATATACAGCAACAAAGTAGATGAATGATTTTTAAACACGCCAAGACGAGTCTCACATGGTCAATGCCACAAACATCTGTATTTAAATTATCATAAATAGAGCGTACATGCCCATTTAAATGATCACAGTGTATTATATTGAACAACTGCTTCATAATGGCCAATAAAAGCGAAGCATATAGCCAGAATTTAATGATGTTTGCTAACGTTCACGATGGCGCCGGCTTCTCGTTTTAACTCTCCAACGATTTCACTTTTCTGATTTCATTTTTCAAAATATTTTCCTCCCGTTGCGTATGTATTCTTTCACATTTTTCTTTAATATTATATAGGTTGGTTATGATTCTCGTCGAGGCATTCACTTTCAAACTTTCGCGTACAACAGGTTGAAAATCAAATACAGAAATTCCCAATATAAACAAACGATTTCGCAATTGGGGGAATATGCACTGGGATTACTTCTAGCGCAATACAATGTGCTAAGCGAGTTGTATCCAAAATTAATTTTCTTCCCAACAGAGCACCCGACGCATTCACCACAGTTGCCATTCAATTATTATTCTTTTAAGTAATTTTTTTTCCCCCCCCTTTTTGTTTTTGGATAAACAAAATATCAGCGAGAAATTTACATATACGGCGCACGTTTCCCGAGATAAAGAATCTTTTCAAGAGAGAGAAGAAAAGCCCGACCGATTGCTTCCGAGCATGGCAGCACACTAAACGAGCTCTCCGAAAAAACGCCGGAAAAATCACAAAGACGCCGCAGCCACCGATCTGGTGGATCCCGCACGTGCGCGGTGGAGAAATGCTTTAGCTTTTTGTGCAACTTGCAGATTGTTTATTTGGTAACCAGTTATGCCAGCGAAAAACAAGACGAATCGACCTGGAAAACCGGGAAAGAGAGCAGATGCAAAATAAATAAAAAAACCCATACCGGATATTATTTAAAGTAAATCCTGTTTCTTAATTGATTTCTTTCTGCAATAATTGGTTTTTTGGTTTCTTCAATAATCAATCTGTATCTACACAATATATATGCGCTTATCCATAGATAGATTTCCCGAAAAAAGGAATTGATTTTTAAATAATAAATAGTTTATATTCCATAATTTCCATTCAAGACTCAATCAATGTTTGATGAATTCACAAAGTTCCGAATTATATCTTTTCTTAAACTTAGGTATCAATACGATTTCTATAAACTTAGACTAGTTCAATAAAAATTCACAGTTTAACTCATGTTGGTCGCTGGGGGCAGGGAGTTTTCATTAAACGGATGAGAAGTAATCACAAGATCCGCACATGTTATACAATTGGCCAGAGGATGGTTCAATAAAGAAGCGCAATGCCTGAGTGCAATGGAGCTCGTGGGCGGATATCTGTTTGTGCAGCAATCCTTCTAGCTCCTCCATAGTAGCAGAGTGTTCAAATTGTACGCCACACTCGCAATTGTAGTTAGCTTTGCCACGCTGCAAAGGTTTGACGAGGCAAACTGGACACAGGACATCCTTTGGCTGTCCATCTTCAGACTCTTCGTACAAGGTCTCCACATTCTGTTCGCCCAGAGCATACCATTCGTTCACATCCGAGAGTAGTTCATCCAGGACAAGCTGCTCCAGTTCCAAATCGTGCTCGAACTCACTTAGTTCTAAGCGCAATATTTCCTTCAGCTCTGACTGCAAGAATATACATTTTTTAATGAACAATCTAATAGTCAGATCTTATTCATAGATAAAGCTGGGAAATCCTCTGACTCACCAATTGTATGTCGCGGTTTGCATCCGTACACTTGTTGCGCGTTTCTATGATGCGCTTCCGGTACTTCTGTGATGTAAAATGATTATTCTAATTGTCACATTTACACAGTAAAATATTGCATACCTCCCGCAGCATCTCGCGCAGTTTTGGCATTTGGGCACCCATCCTCTTTCTTTTGGCCACATCCTGAGCATGTCGCTTTTGCTCGACAGAGGTTTGATAGACAGGGCTCTGTGCAGTATTCATTTTACCCAAAATAAGTGGAAATGGACTATGGCATGCCAAGCTTTTTGGAAGAAATGCGCTTTTGAAATAATTCCGAACTGCTCTATCTATTCCAAGCGAAATATGAATCTAGATTACGGTATCTACTTTTAAGTTATGTAAAGCAAAGTACCACTTTAAAGTAATGTTTTTACTTAACTTTTATTGCAAATCCACAAAAATAGCGCACAATGTCCAATAGAGATGGACAGGCCCCGATAGAATTAAAAGGCCCGATAAATATTCTTGCGTCTATCGATAGTTTAGCATTGTACAACACTAAAGCGCATGGTTGCATTGGGGAATTTTGACAGCTCTAACACTGCCTACTACATGTTTCCGGTCTCTCTTTCCCTTTCTTTTACCAGCGTGTATAGTGAACAGTAAGAGGTTAGTGCGATATTTTCATTAAAATAAAAACAAACTTGAAACGAGAACCTTCAAATGACACTGCTTTCTGCCGCCCACAGATGCCTGCTACGGCCGTTAAGAAACCAGCAGCGAAAAAGCTGCCCGCTGTGCCGGAATCCAAGCTGAAGTTCAGCAAGAAACAAATCAGCAAGCGGGTCGCTGACTCGAAACGTCGTCTGAAGCGTGCCGCCGTCATTGCCCTGCGCAAGAAGGAGAATCTGGTGCGTGCTGAGAAGTACCAGAATGAGTACATCAAGGCTGATCAGCGCGAGATCAAACTGCGCCGTCTGGCCAAGAAGCGCAACCAGTTCTACGTGCCCGCTGAGGCCAAGCTGGCCTTCGTTGTCCGTATCCGCGGGTGAGTAGATTCGAGTTTCCCTGCCTGCGGATCTATTAAAATCGCTTCTTCCTGCTTCCTGCTAACAGTATCAACAAGGTGGCTCCCAAGGTCCGCAAGGTGCTCCAGCTGTTCCGTCTCCGCCAGATCAACAACGGTGTGTTCATCAAGCTGAACAAGGCCACCATCAACATGCTGCGCATCGCCGAGCCCTACATCACTTGGGGCTACCCCAACCTGAAGTCAGTGCGCGAGCTGATCTACAAGCGCGGCTATGTTAAGCACAACCGCCAGCGTGTGCCAATCACCGACAACTTTGTCATCGAGCGCAAGCTCCGCAAGGCGCACAACATTCAGTGCGTTGAGGATCTCGTCCACGAGATCTTCACTGTCGGTCCCAACTTCAAGTATGCCTCCAACTTCCTGTGGCCCTTCAAGCTCAACACTCCCACCGGCGGCTGGCGCAAGAAGGCTAACCACTACGTCAACGGTGGTGACTTCGGTAACCGCGAGGACCAGATTAACCGTCTGCTGCGCAAGATGGTCTAAGCAACAGTTTAAGCATTGTGTTGGACAGCAAATACAACAAAACGGTATGATGTAAACAGTGGAAGAAAATAAAAGTTACTTTTACAAACTACGACGAATGCCGTTCAATGCAAAACAAAAAAAAAAGCAGTGTTTTCGCTTTGAGGAGTATTGCGTATATTGGCAATAAACGTGAAAATAAGTCGATTTTGTGAATAGTTTTGTGGCAGATTGAATTTTGATCATGTAGGAATCTTATTCAAGTATTTTCCGTAAATTTAATGACTTGAAATTATTTTTAGAGTAAAGTCTGTTTAGTTTATTAGCGAATTTATTAATTTCCATTAATAACCATGGCCCACAGGCTTCATATTTTCCAATTTTGGATTTAATTTTGGCAACTTCATTGCTTCACTGCTTCTTCCAAGCCACAAATATTTGGAAAACCCCCACTACTCCCCATAAAAATAGTCAACTGTTTTAATTTTTCTACGCTCTATATCGTTTATTTTTGTTGTTCTGGTCAAAATGTAAGCGGGCATAATGCACAACACTTAAATGCAGATAGCATGCTAGATTCTGGGTGCCATGGGAATAATCGTTAGCCAATTATCGCTATATTGAATACAATCAGTTGCCTTTCAGCTGGCAGTGGATTTCTTTTTTTAATAAAATGTTACACACGGTAATGGTCCAAAGCATGGCGCAATCAAATATATAATTTAAATTCCAATAACATGGATACTAGTCAATAATCGAGGATCTGGCACCTTTTTTTTAAATATATAATTAGTTAATTAATTGTTACCACATGCAGCACATGCCGTTGTCCGCTGTATAAATTCTGTTCTCTACTGATGCCCACCGGCCTGTGTGGTGGACACATGAATGTTCTGGACCAGACGCTGACCCCAGTACTCCTCCAGGTTGAACGGCTTAAAGTTTTTCAGTTGGTTATCTGATTCATTGCAGTAGATCACAGGCGTACCCTGCTCGTAGACCTGCAGAGAGAATGGTCGGCAAAGCATGAAGAGCAACTGAATTGTTTTTTTTTAAACAGGGACCGTAATTATTTAATTACTAAAAATTAGTTAATAATTTATAAAATACAAAATGGGGCTATCGGAATTGCGGTCCCTGATATCTGCGGCGGGCAGAAGCAAAATAGAATGAACAAGTGTGTGGACTGGCTCCAACTGACTGATTCCCGCACCAACTTACCTTGTTCCATGCCTCCCGGATATACCGGATGAGCTCGTCGTGCTGCGAGAGGGGCACATTCTGCTGCGGGGGGGCTGCGTAGAGGGTATTTGCGTTGCTGTTGTTGCCGGCACTGTGATTGTTGTAGCTCCCGGGTGCATTTGACGCCCCCGTTCCGGATGATGAGGAGCCGCTCGCATTATTGTTGTGATGGTGGTGGTAGCTGTGCATCGTATTGTGGCCACCGCTGCTGCCCTGGCGGCGAATGTAGGGGTAGCGTCTGCAGGGAAAATAAAAGAAAACAGACAAACATATGTACATACGTGCATGTGCATATATATGTGCACGCATATGTGCGTATGTATGTAAACACAGGCTATTGTTCGGAATGGCCCCGTTGTCTAAAAACGGGCAGGTAAAGCCCCAGCCACAATCTCCGTTAGTTTACCCGTTATTGCGTTCCATGTTGTAGTGAGTGTCTGTAAGATAATGGTCTGAAATTGTCTTGTTTATCGCTGAAAAGTTATTTATTCCGACAAAATCTTTTCTCCGCAATGTGGCCAGGTGTTGTGATGGCAGTCATCCCAAGCTTTCGGTATAACGGAAAATTATCGACACCCTCGCAGGCCATTTTGGGTCTAATTTTTAGCACATTGGCGGGATTGCAGAAAGATTTTAAAATAATTGCTAATTTGCTAATTGCTAAATTAATTTTTCAATCACAATCACCTTAAGTTCATTTCCCATATCAGTACATTTATTCTTTTAAAATGCATAACATATTTCGTCTATTTCTAAAATAAGGTAAATTTACGTACATACATACATATATTACAATACATGAAATAATAAAAGAGATAAAAGATGTCATCAAATTTCCATTTACAGAGCATGTACAATAATTCAACACGTAGACATAAATAATGCTGGGTAAAGGAGCTTTTCCAGTTGAGCATTCATAACGTTACGGCTCTCACTTGTACTTTCATTGAGTGGGTAGATGCACCTCGTCATCTAGATTTCGTATGCAAGTAGCAGCGAGAATAGTCTTTTTTTTTTACACACATATAAAATCTATAACCATAGTCGAGTTAAATGAATTAATATGGTTTCTGCACCTACACCTTGCGCTTAAATTTAATCTAGTTTGGCGATTTTGTTTCGCGGAAAAAGCGTTTCCATATTGGCAACTTGTTTAGCACGTTCACAGATCATCATCCCCGATGCCTTCGAACGCTTCGTTGGGTACTTGGGCTCCATCGTTTGCGCCATCATTGCGGAAGAACACAGCTCCAAAAGTGCGGGAAGTGGTCATCTTGTGTTGCTGCCGTGACCTAGGAGCCGCATCTTCGGGCAGAAATCGAACCGGCGGTGTTGTGGGTTCCGAACAGGGTGTGGTGACCCACGTTGACATCGAGCAGGTTGAGCTGGGTGTAGTTGAACACGAGGGGCCCGCTACAGGCTCCTGCTCGTCATCACTGCCGGGATCCCGTTGAAGCAGCTCGTCGACCATGGCCTGTAGACACACAGACATCAACATGGCTTGATCGCTGGTGATGGTAATCCAACGCAGGGTCTGTTTGGCAATAAGATACTCAAATGCCAGCTGCAGGTTAGTCGGTTCAAGGCGTGACTCTAGCGCGTTATGAGTAACACTGACGCGCCATGATCTCATTCGGGTAACCCGGAACTTTGTCTCGTATATCTTGGAGCCGCGTGCAGTGCGAAGACCCAGCTCTTTATTTCCGATGGTGATGAAAGCCGTTGTCTGGGACTCCGGATAGTCAACCTCCGAGGCGTTGAATTGCAGACATCCATATGAGGGTAACGTTCGCACTAGCTCCATATACTCCCGCTGCCTTCCATGAGCCTGCAGGCCGGTAAGCTTATGTCCCACGCTCGATGAGCAGATCACTACCCACTCACGGGTCACATCGCCCACGGCTTGGTTGTAGATAAGGTTCAGGGCCACCTGATTCCCATACAGCTTGGTGTCACACTTGGGGTTCCAGTAGCTTGTGCGCAGTAGCAGATCACACGGCTGAGGCACGTGTAGTCGCGTTATAAAAGGCGCCTCAAAGTCCATGAGGCGTCGCTCCAGGTAGACCTCATCCCCCGTACGCTGGCGACGAGCGAGGAACAGGCAGAAGTAGCGCGTCAAATCCTCAGGCAGTTGGAGCTCCCGGCAAACAAGCTTCAGCAGGGCACTGGAATTCTGTTGTACGTTGCAGCTAATGGGTATCCTATGTCCAGACGGCCTTGTGAGGACTTGCACCTCCAGTTGCTTCTCCTCGCAATCACTGGTCACCATTTTCTCGGCCAGGGCGGTGTCCAGCTGAGCACGCTGCAAGAACTGATGCAAATGGGCGGATCGAGTGAGACGTCCATCCTGGCCCACCGCCTGTAGGTAGTGCTCCAAAGCACAGCGTCGTGTCTCCAGCTGGTTGCTGGTCAACGGAAGCAGACGTTTCGGAGGAAAGGGGGGCAGGCTCACGCCCACGCAGTGCCTGCGCAGCTGCTCGTTCAAGGAGTGTAACTGCTTGTAGCGCAGGCAGCAGTGGTAGGCGCCGTTGATGTGTATGTTGTAACCTGTGTAGGAGGGCGCAGAGCCCAGCTCCTGGGTGTCGGGGATTGAGAAGTGCATCCTGCTGCTGTGCGTTGGCGCCGGGCCAGCGGCTCACACCTGCATTTTTTCCGACTCTCCTGCGGCACTTCTTTCTGCGAAAATTGGTGTCAATTCAATTAAAAGTGGCCAGATTTTTGCCAATAGCTGCCAGGGTTGTAGCCGTGCCAGTTGGCCCACATTTTACAGTTCACCTTTCCGGTGTTTTCCAACACTGCTAAGGGGCTTTACAGAATTTGTAATCCGAGGCGTTAAAAAACTTGAATTTTTAAATTTAAATAAACATTTCATATTTTATATAGTATTGGTATTGTAATACCTCTCCGGGTATAGTTAAAAATTTATTATTAAAATAAGTTCAAGTACTGTTAATAATAAAGTTTGGGCAAGTTCATTTAACAAAGTAAATTACAAGTCAGCGGGGAATTGGACTTCCCCCTTCAGCATAACCACTCCAGAGGGATTTACTTTAACTTTTATTTTAGTGTTGGGATATAAAACGCCATAATCAACGTTCTCGTAAAGGTCCTGAAAAATCAAGAAATCAAATGAAAGTCTCATTACAGAATAACATTCAGAACTCACCTCTACTCGATATCCAGTAAAGTTAATTAGGCCTAGTTCCTTTAAAGTTACTGAAATATCAGATGGAGTTCCGTCCGTTCTTCTGTTTACAAAGGCAATGGCATAGGAATAAAAGTTTTGGTAGAGAGGACTAATAGGCCTGGACCAGATTTCAATGCCCTTGTGCTTGTAAATTCGTCGTCCCTGTATTCCAAGTGGATCTTGGTCCACAGCAATTATTTTCCGATTTTGTAAAATATGTTTAAATTGCGGGCGAATCGTTCTCAAGTCAACAGACATTAAAAGAGGAGCCGCCAATATTGACCAAATTGCGAATTGAGTCTTTGCTTGCTCGTAACTTAATCCAAAGTTACCAATAATTAACTGAAATTTAAAAGAATTAGTTATTAAAATATATAAAAGAATTTAAAGTATTATTTTTACCATGTCAGGATCATTCCAATGTCCAGGTCCTGCATTTGGTGCTATTAGATCTTGGTTATTACCATAATAATCGATAATATTTTCCACAGATGCCCATGAATCCTGAATATCATCGTAATTCCTCCACAAGTTGCAATGGGATTGAATTGCGGAGTAGTTTGGCTGAATTCCGGCATATATTTGATAAACTGGCCAGCTACACGAATAAACCATTGACTTTCCTGTGCTATTCAAAAGTCTTCCGAAATTTGAATAGCCCTGATCCATGTCATAGGGCAGAGCATAGCATCCATCTAGTTTTACGTAATCCACATTCCATTCGGCAAACTGAAGGGCATCCTTCTCCTCATAACCAATAATGCCTGGATAACCCGCGCAAGTATAGTTGCCATAATCTTCATAAATTCCAAATTTCAAGCCTCTCGAATGGACCTTTTAAGGAATTACTTATTTTTCAAAACAATTTAAAGATTATTTTGTTAAACTCACATAATCTGAAAGTGCTTTCATTCCACTTGGAAATCTTTTGCGATCAGCCACTAATTTTCCATCATGGCTTCGATGCTTTTCCAACCAACAGTCATCAATATTGATGTATTCGTATCCAACAGATGCGTAGCCATCAGCAACTACTATATCTGTCATAGTTTGAAAAAGCTGTTCACTATAGTATTTTTTTTTTTTGGAAAAGGTGATTAAATTAAATGTATCTTTGAGTTGTTCATATCTACATATACCTTATACAATTATCAGGATCGTTTACACAATCAGTATTGCAGCGAAATCTCTCCCATGAGAGCCATCCCATCGGTGGAGTCTTGGCCAGACCATTGTCTAGGGCACAACTCAATTCGAAACTCAGTAAAATAATCCAGATAACTGAAAACATCGCTATTTGAAAATATTAAAGCAGGGAAAAAGTTTAAAAATACTATAAAAATCTTCTTATCTATTCTTCTTCTAAACTTCTTATGCCATATTTAAGAGTATAATTTATACTCAAAGATAGTTTTAATAAAACCTCATAAAAATCAATAATTTTTTTATTTAAATTTGAAGAATATTTATTCTGGAACGATGGAATTCCGCAAGGCTCAGCATAAAAAGCGATTAAAATCTGGCAACGCCGTTTAAGCCTGGCTTAAATACAACTGGCTTGAAACAATGGCCAAAAGGGAAGAGAGATAAAAGAGAAAAAAAGGTCTAGGTCAGTAGAAGAGTTGAGCTGAAACTCTAAGTAACTGCCAAAATGGTTCTACCACTTCTTTTTACTTGAAATAAAACAACAAAATGTTTAACAATTACAATGAACTTGATGTCACAATAATCACATGTATATACATATATAAACCAATTTCCGCTCTTTTAAATCCAATCCGAGTGAATTTATTGGCTGAACAATAAAAAGCCTTTTAATAATCAAATTTATATAAATTTTAATGATATTATTTACGCACTTTCCGCAATTAAAAAGGTTTTGTCAATTTAAGCCGTTCATACACTTAAAAGAAAAAAATAAACTAGTTTGTGAACAGAAATGTATAGTACATACCAATGATTTCTATTTGTATATTTGCAGCGCAATTAAGTAATTGAGTTTTCCGCATTTGAGCCGGTTTATCCAGGCCCAAATTGGTTGATGAGCATTAGTTTTTATGTTAGATTTGCTAAAACTTTATTGTTTTTTGTTTTCCTTTCCATAATCATAAAATATTTTATGACTCACTAAAATGACCATTAAGGAATTTCGTTGCAATATAGTTAGCTTAGAAAACTATCTACTGTGATGTGCAACATTAAGAACTAACTCGTCTGTATACATACATAAATACAAAAGGGCAATTAATAAAAAAAAACAGGTTTCTTAACGGTATAAGATATGATTAATATCTGCCACGATGTACCTGCATATGTTTATGATTTATTGTTCATTGGCTTATATCGCAAAATTCGATTGCTGATCTATAAAAATGATTTTATATTTTATTTTTTGTTTAATAGTTTATTATTTCTAAATACTTTTCTCCAGAAAAAGTAAATAATACACATTTTTCCCCAAGTTCAAAAAAGTTTTAAAATATCGTAATGTTACCTAATATATTTTATTTGTATATTTTTTAATCATTAATAAACTTAATAATATTTTGATCTCTAATAAATTGACATTTTTGCTCATAGAGGAATAGAGATTCCTCCATTTTCATAAACTCCGCATTCAGCAATTTATTATTTTTCCTGATTTGGTTGAGAAACTTATCCATGGGAGAGGACTCTTCTTTAGGAGCATCTGAAAATGTTTTAGGTATAAAAATTATAGTACAGGCAAAACACAAATTTTGATTTATCTACCTTCTTGTTTGGAATGGTTTTTTTGTTGTTCTTGTTGCTTTTGGACTGGGGGAAGTGTTCCCGTTGAAATAGTTGACAAATTGGAACGTCCTATTTTTTCGCCGCTTTCTACAAATTGTGCTATAACGTTTCGGAACTTCTCGGGTATTAGAAATAGTCGGTCGAGGTTTCCTTTTTTATAGCAAAGATAGGCGGATTTCATTTGAAACCACTTCCTTCGGATTTGAGTTGGCGATTTGTTTGGGAATCCACGCTTTTTCATTTGGTTTGCTATTTGAATAAATGTATATTGGGTTGTGCTTGTGGACAGAGCGCCTTGTGAGTTATTGACTTCTTTAATCAAGTTCAGCATGCATTCTATTTCCGCGGATATCCAAAAGTTTCTTTTCAGCTTTTCCGACTTCATTTTGACAGATGTGGAAAATTATGAAAATTAATTAGAACTTTGTTTATGTTTTGTACCCTCAGAATAGTGTGACCGAACAAAGAGAATCTGAAAATGATTTATTGAAAGGTTTTCTTAAATCTTTGTTTAAGATTTTTTAAAATATAATTTTATTCTTTAAAAAAAAAACTTTAAAAAAATAATTCAAAAAAAAACTATTTTGAAAAACTATTTTATAAATTTAAAACTGATATAAACCTGTTTGTTAAAAATTGTAATATATCGAATCGTGTTTATATATCGTAATATATCGAAATTTTAATTTATCTGATATCGATAGTTTCCATCTGCTCGCCTGTTGCACAGTTTGCTTATTTTTGTAAATAATTTTCAGAAATTAATTCTTAACCGTTAGCTTAAGGTAAATAAAAGCAATCAATGGAATGAGACCTTTGAAGTTTATCTGCTAAGTAAACAAGACTATAGATGTTAATTTGTATTATAACGTTTACTTTATTTCACGTTTCTCCAATTGCAGAAACGTGCGCACGTTTTTATAATGGACTCGAAATACCTGGCCACCAGTAGAAATGATTCCGGGGGGCCTGGATCTGTCAACTTCTCAATTAAAAGGAAACATGATATGCTGGGAATTAGTCCTGTTTCAGAAAAGAAACTCCATCTTGCGCAGATAAAGCAACCAGTGCCAGCGCCTGTTTTGCTGACAAGCAAACGAACCACCATCGAACAGCACCAAAAATCCTTGCCAGTCTATAATTGCCGACAGCGAATTCTCAGGGAGCTGAAACTGAATGACACAGTGCTTATAATGAGTGAAACGGGGTCTGGAAAGACCACGCAGATCCCGCAGTTCTTATTGCATGCGGGCTATGCAAAGAACGGCATGATTGGAATCACCCAGCCACGGAGGGTGGCTGCCATTACAGTCGCCAAGCGAGTAGCGCAGGAGATGTCCGGAGGTCTAGGAGACACAGTGGGTTATACAGTTCGTTTCGAAGACGTCACCTCCAAACGTACAAAGATACGATTCCTTACCGACGGCGTGCTCCTGCGAGAGTCCATCAAGGATCGACTTTTGCAAAAATATTCTGCAATTATCCTAGACGAAGCCCACGAGCGCACCGTTAATGCTGATTTATTATTCGGCATTGTCAAGGAAGCCCAAAAAGAGCGAAGAAAGCAGAAGTTGGGATGCCTGAAGGTTGTGGTCACCTCGGCTACTATGGATATTGATCATTTTGGCAAATATTTCAAGTGCAAAGGAATGTATTTAGAAGGAAGGACCTATCCCGTACGAGTGATGCATGCCAAGGAAGAACAAGATGATTATGTTCACGCAGTACTGGTTACGTTATTCCATATTCACCGCACCACTCCTCGCAAGTACGTTTGACGTTGCTATGAAAGGGATATGAAAGAATTAACTTTTATTTGTTCCCTTGAATGTTTTGTATTTGTTCACCTCATGAAGGGAGCCCATTAACTGTTAGCATTTCAACTTGCAGCCATGACGTTTTAATATTCCTAACAGGGCAAGAGGAAATCGAATCACTGGCTCATCAAATCCGACAACTAGCAAAGGTAAAAGTGGCCCATTCTACTCACTGAAATAAGATTAAAACCATTATTTTTTTATAGATTGACGTCAATGGGACCGCAGATCTCCGTGTATATTCATTGTATGCGCAATTGGCGCAAAATAAGCAGCTGGAATGCTTTTTGCCAACTCCCCTAAACATCCGGAAAGTCATATTGGCCACAAACATAGCAGAAACCTCAATTACCATTCCCGGCATTAGGTGTGTTATTGATTGTGGATTTGTCAAAGAGAAATCCTTCAATTCCGCAGACGGGCTAGATGTTCTAAAGTCAGTCAGGATATCGAAAGCACAGGCATGGCAAAGAACAGGCCGAGCTGGTCGAGATGCACCTGGCACATGCTATCGAGCATATACGAAAAAACAGATGGAGTCGTTTGCGGATGCTACTCAGCCGGAAGTCCTCAGAACGAATCCCACGGCAATGGTGTTGCAACTTCTCGCTCTGGACATCGATTGCAACAATTTTGACTTCCTGGATGCTCCTCCGGAAGAGGGACTGCGAAGTGCTTATAAAAGCTTGGATGCCCTTGGGGCAATCAAAAGCGGATCAGTGTCACATATTACTCCTTTGGGCAGGCAGATGGTCCAGTTCCCGTTGGATCCGAAATATGCCAAACTTTTACTAACAGCATCGTCTTTTGGATGCATGGAGGAAATTTTAAGCCTGGTATCTGTCCTCACAAGTGATCATGTTTTTGTTTCGAATACCGACAAGAATGAAATGGCTTCCCTGGCCCACGCAAAGTTTCAGTCAAAACACGGGGATCACTTAACGCTTCTTAATGTATTTAATGCATTTGTTAAAACAGAAAAACCAAAGGTTTGTACACCTTGCTTGTATACCTTGAAGAAATTATAATGTTTTCTCCTTTTTGTTTAGGTGTGGTGCCATGATAATTATTTAAATTTACGTAGTCTAACTTATGCCCGAAACGTTCGACGTCAATTGGCGGAAATCGGCGAGCGCATGGATTTGGTCCTGAACAGTTCCGATGATATTGAAATGCTAAAAAAATGTCTTCTGAATGGATTTTTCGAAAATATTGCTGTTCTGCAAAGAGATGGATTTTATGTGACAGTTTCGGGCAATATCAGGGCCAAGATTCATCCGTCTAGTGTCCTGCATGGGAAATACAAGCCGAGTTATATTCTTTTTACTGAAATAGTTCAGACCGAACAAACTTTTCTACGCCAAGTCTCAGAAATATCCATCGAATGGATTAAGGAAGTTGTACCGTTTGTTAAAAATATACCTACAAGATAAAGTCAAGTGCAAATATTTTCTTAAAAATAAAGTTTTATTGAAAAATGTTCATTTTTATACACATTTTCGAATCTTTTATTTCTTGTTTTGGTATTTTAATTTAAATGCGAAAAATAACAATACATTTAACAGAAAAATTTACAAAATCCACAGTTATTTCGATAATTTTTATTATAGGTACCTTAACCAGTTAACATTTAAAATATTTTTTGAGATTATTTTAATACAACTATAGTAGTTTATTTATAGTATTCCTGCTAGTGCCGTTTCGTGATCGGCGGCTGCAGCCTGACTATGGTACCTAAGCCTAGCATTACTTACAGGAGCTCCTAAAAAGATGAAACAAAATATTAATTATGATTATTGATGATTAAATGAATAACTACTTACCTATATAACTTAACAAAACCGGCAGAAAGATTAGGCCATGCGCTGCCCCAATAACTACAATTCCCAAATACATGCGGAAATAAAAAACTTGAAAGATTTGACTCTTAGCAAAAGCTAAAACTAAAATGCCTGCGAATTTGGTCAACGTAATACCGGAAAATATAGAGCTACCCATTTTAGATAAGCTATCTGCAGCTCTATCGATTTGACTAACTGATTTAGATATCGAGAAACTGTGTACTAGATGAGAGCAGAACTCTACAGAGATACCGACAGCCATAACAAGATTAACTAACGAAACAGCATTTAAAGAAATGTTCCAGTAATACATAAGGCCTCCTAAATTAACAACAATCATGGTTATCGTGATTACAACAACTAAAGCGGAATGAACATCGAAACCCATCAAAACAAAGGTAACCACAAATATGGAAAGCACAGAAATGCCCATGCTTTGTAACGTATCCGACCACATGGTTAAATATTGTTCATAAAATACGTAAAATACTGAGTAAGGGAAAACCTCGACTGTTAATGCCGATTCTATAGGAACTCCGTTGGACATTAGTCTGCCCTGTAACATTTGTGTGATATTTGCGGATATCTTCCTAGCCGATTCCAGAGCCAGAAAATAGTCGGCTGATGTTTTCAATATGGTGTGATATCCCATAAAATATGACGCCTCTACGTTCAGTCCTTTTTTGCCGTTGGCGTATCGAACAGCCGAACCATACGCGGCATGCCCCGCCTTGGCGCACGAGTCGTCCGGATTGTCTTTCAGGAAAAAGGGCAGATACTTTTCAAAGCTCTTTTCTTCTGGCCGTTGGAGTGAATTTTTCGAGATATTACAATTCGAGCAGGAAGTATCTGAAATATATCAAAAGTTAAAAGTGTTTCAAATTATAAGATTTTTATAAACTCACCTTGGTGGGGACAGAAGCTACCATTGGAAGGATTATATTTGCAGCAGGATTGTGTCGATGACCAGTCGAAATAGTCATCCAACCAACTGGATGCTGGCCTAGCAATATAGGTTTGATTCGAATGCCGACTGGCCAAGTAGATTTGCGTCAAAACACTGTCATCGTTGCAATATCGACCTGCACAAACCAAATTCTGCACCGAACTATTCGTGTAACTCAGATCCCCCTTGAGAACAAAGTAAACCGGCGGACCAATATTTAGATTTTCGTTCAGGGATTGGAAGTAATGCAAAACGAAACTGTCCTCGGGCATAGCTAGTTCCTGGTCAAGACCAATATCGATTTTGGGTGCAATGGCAATACTGAAACACAGCCAGGCGAAAAAGATTACCATAACGGCGACCCTCACAATTTTCTTCATCAAAAACGGAACGTAAACACTCTTGAAGAACTTGTACAAAAGGCCCTCACTATTATCTATACTATCAGACTTCTTTCCCTTGACAAAACAACAAATGTCCATTCGATTCTCCTCCTTTCGCTTGGTATCTAACGTGAACAAGCTAACGAAACAGGTTATTTGCAACAAAAAGTCAATGATTAGGGCGACGCCCGCGTATAAGGCAAAGGCTCTCACAGCCGGCATATCCGAAAGGCCACCAAGGAAAAAGCAGAAGCTCTCACTAAGGGAAGTGAGCAGCATACTGGGCCCCACACGACCCAGAATTCTGCCGACCTGCTGCTCAAGAGTTTCGTTAGGTTTGCGTTGATCGCGTTGGTGAGTTTGAACCAAAATAAAAATGTTGTCGACACCGACAGCTAATACTAAGAATGGTATCACCTCTACGATAATCAGGGTAGCCGGCACGCCCACGTACCCAAACAGACCAACTGAAGAGACTACTGAAGCTAATACAATTATAACGCCACCGATGCCAAGGGTAATCTTACTATCAATGAATACTCTTTTGAATTCCTTAACATGCCCCAGGGATATCGCAATGTACATAAACATAATCAAGTAGGAAACCAAAATCGTTAGGACATCTGATTGTGATTCCCTATTAAGCTCGTCTTCTATCGACCTCTCTGAGGTGAAGGCTATGTCCATATGTTTCGATTTGTTGTGACTGGTATAGTTTGTCATAAATTCTACAAACATCTTCTCCCACTGTAGGGCTCTGCGGAGATCTGTTTTGTTATGATGATTCTTCACCAAAAACGTGAGGATTAGAGCATTGGCTAATTCGTATTTTGTGTTGCCCGTTAGCTGATCACCAGTCCTCAGAAATCCGCCTAAGGCTATAGCAGGATCTACAGGACCACCATAGGGAGCTAGGCATAGATAGGGATTGCTTGTACACTGATACAATTCATCCAAATAGGTCACCTGAAAATTTTAAAACATAAATATCTGTTAAATAATTAATTTGTAATAAAGTTACTCACATTAAATCCACCATCTTCATCATTATCATCCAAGCGCTCTATGTCATCTTGGAAATAGCCCCAAATCGATTGAACTACGCAATTAGAATCTTCTAAAGCGTTTCCATCCTCTGATAGTGGAGCAAAGCAGATATCCTTCAGTGTGGTTCCGTTGGCATTTAGTTTTTTGATGCTCTCTTGAAGGTGCAGCACATTGGTCAGAAATTCTCTGTCAAAAACGGGTCCAAACGTAATCGGTCCGTTTGAAGTGTTGTGTACAATTTGAGGTAAATCCACGGCTTTGATTATTATCTATAAAACATTATAAATCTTATTTATTTGCCAAAACTTCAATTAAAATGTGAGGACTAACCTGCTCAAGTCTGTAAAATGGTTCAAACTTGGTATCGAAGAACTCTCTTTCAAGTCTTGATTTCGACTTTGGCGATGCCCACAGTTTTACCGGATCAGTGGTTATGTTTATATGAGAGACTCCATAGCCCAACACACAAACGAGGCAAGCACCAGCGACTAAGGTCATCCATGGATTGCTGGCAAAAAAGGTGCCCCATTTTGTGAAAAAGTGTTCCAAAAATGTTTCCGTTCGAGCTCCCAGTTTTTCAAAGTAGGAATCATCCTCTCTATAGGCCATATCATCTGTGACATCATTACCGTCAATTTGAAAGTTTTCATCTTAAAATAAGAATTTTATAAAGTATATTTTATTAAACTATAAAAAATTGCCGTCTATCCTTAGACAAGAAAATAGAATTTCTAAGGGTATATATATTTTTACTTACTTCCTTTTAATAAAAGTGTATTAAGAAAAGGGTAATTGGTTTATCACAACCGTTGTTCTCAGAAAAGTTAAAAAAATTTTAATTTTGATACAGAAAAAAAACTGACTTTGAGGGAATAACTACTAATAATAATTCCCCTCGGACGAATAACATTCTTTATCCTAAAAATAACTTCTTATCATGAGGGAACTAAATCACAAAATTACTGGTCTACACTGCAAAAAAATAGAATGATGCCTAAAACTAAAACTCACCCAGTGACGAACCTTGGGTGAAAAGAAAAGATCCCATCAGGAACACCAATACCCCAACGAAAAATACAGCTGCCATAATAACGAGATAAGCATCAAGTCCGAATATTTTGAATGGCTCAGGTGGTGGAGGTTCTGGAGGTCCTTGGGGACAGGACATGTCGCAGTCCGAGCACGAGCAAGCAGGAAGTTTGCTCTAAAAAAAAAAACATAGAAATGTAAATTAATTATAAGAACATATTTCATGCAGATTACTTACATTGACGGATTGGTTGCAGGGAATGGTTGGTGGGCTCAAGGGTTTGAACTCGTTGCTCTTGGATTTTGGTTCATGCTGAATATATGTTATTTGAAAAGGAACATACGGGCTAGAAGCATCGCCCATAAAATTAAACCATTTGGTTGGATTGCAGCGGGATGCTGGATAAGATCCACACATTAAATCCAATGCTAATTGACCTGTTTGTGGAACAGAAACCTGCAAAAGCCCAAAAAAGTGTTTAATTACCAAATGAATCTTTTCCTCACTTTTAACATACCTGAGAGCATGATTTATAAGTCTTGTTAATATATTCGGTCGATACATGAAGGTCTACGGCACTGATGTAAGGACGACCTAAAATAAAAGACAAAAAGTGCAATTAAATAGAGAAAATATCAAACAAAATAAACTAATTGTCTTATTGATCTCCAAACACACAATTTTAGTAAACAAAAATATATATATTTATAATAATTACCTGTGCTACCATTTTTTTCTGTGGCCGCCACATGTATAAATTCCGATTGCTTTGGAGAACAAGTAAACTCGCAAATATGTCGAACTAAATTCTCCATGCATGACGGACATCGGTCCAAGAAATTGGCCGCTAGCTTCACATTTTTGTTTAATATTTGTACCTAAAAGTGCCCAATATTAATATAAGGAATAAAGTTTGTTGCAGAATATTTCAATTACCTGTTCTGTGTCGCAGCAATATTTATTTTCATTGTTCTGAAGTAAAAATCCACATCGCTCCTTTAGCAAATCCAAACCCGCCTGAGGCATTTCAATCGCCGACCCATTGTAGGGACAGTTCTGACTGTGTCCGTAGACATTGGTGTTACAAACTCCATACCACACACAGTCCTTTTAAAATAAATAAAAGATTCAATGAATTTCTTAACATTCCAAAAAGTGGTCTTTATAATTATTATTATTACTTTAATGTTTATAATTAAATGGAGATGAACGTGAGCGTTTATCACCTAAGTACCTTTAACCCACTTTGACTTTCTTAGCCTATTCAGTCTTGGCCTCTAATTTTAAGTTGTTTTGAAAAAAATGAAAAATAGCATGCATCTGTTTTAGCTCGTTCCACACTTTTGGATATATATACGGATGACGCAAACTTGCAACAGCCAAACAAATCCAATTTGGGAACTGATCTCAAATATGTAGGTTGATTAGCAGCCGACAGTCAAAAAATCATTTGCAAGTGCAATCCGCAAGTTTAACTAGATTTTTCAATTCTTTACAGCTGGTTTACACTTTAAAGTTTAATTTTTATAAAAAATATAAAAATAAAACTTACCTGCTTAGATAATTGAATTAATGTTAAGAGCACGACGCTAAAGAGTACATGTACTTTAAAGCTAGTACTCCGGAGTGGGGCTGGTGAAATCATCCTATCAGAATCGCATATCTGTAATGACAAAATGAGTTTATAATAAACGATCAAAGTTCAAAGTTTTTTCAAAACTATAACATATAAACAGATATAATCCTTATCCTCACAATGAAAATCCGCTATATCAATACGATTGCACTCGCCTGGATGCTGAACCGAAATGTAATCGAATTTGCCAGTCTTAAAACTGGACAAATACGTTGGCTTCATGCAAATGTACCAACCGAACATTAAAAAAACATTTATTCTAGTAATTGATATAACTCGTGTGGGTATCTGAAACAATAGCCATCGGATTTAACACTTGGATCTTGAAACTCCGAACTGAAGTTATCTATTTTCGTGTGGACTTGGCAGATGCCCAGCAATTACTAAATGATAAATTGTGTCATAGCAACAGCACATTAAATTTATTGACGCACCAAAAAGTCATTATGTTTTATATATGTATACACAGTATATCATTTATACGGATGGATGGTTATTTAATAATTTTTTTTAATGATAACACAGGTCAGAAACAAACAGATTTTAATGTATTTGAGTTTATTTAGAAGTGTAATAAAAATAATCTAACAAATTTTAAAACATCAGGTTCTTATATGAAGAGCTCCCAAATTTGAAAGATGATGTGGCTCCAATGAGCTTATATTTAAAACTAATTTATTTCACTCAAATTTCAAACAGCCAAACTTAAAATTTTTATATTTAAAAAATGTTTACTACTCAGCAAGCAGTATGAGCGATAAATCGCCTCCTAATAGTTTATTTTCTTTAATTTTTTAAGCGATATTTCTAATGTTGCTTGCTGGGTTACTTATTAGGAAGATAAGCAAGAGGAACGGGCGGCTGAAGTGCGCGGTAAGTGGGTTTTCCGCCCGCATTTTTTATGTTAAAAGGATCGATCATAAACTTCATTAATTATTATTTCTTATGTGAGATAATAACATATAGAAATCTTTGTTCTATTTTCCAAGGCCTAATTTTGTTTATCTTTTCAACCATAACCAGCCTAGTTTATGTATTCGCGATTCAGTCTTTCCAATATCAAAAAATAACTAATGGGCTAATCTTAAAACGCAAGTTCTCGAATAAAAGTCATATAATTATTTTGCAATTATCTGAAATCCACGGAGGATACTTTTTTTACAGAGGGTATAGCCAATATAATAACATAAACTTATAATCAATATTCGATTATGGAGAGAGACCACATCATAATTTAAAAAATAAAAGATTTTGGTTTATGTATAAGAGTATTTTTTTTATTGCCAAACGATGTTTTTTTTGTAAATACAAAGAGTAATTTTAGTAAATTTTGAATGGAAAATAAATTATGATGTGTTAGATACTATGAGATTAAACTTAAAATGGATGATGTGTACGATAAAACCTTTGTTATTTTTAAAATTGTTTTATATTTTCAAAACAAATATAATTTGTGATTTAACTTTAAAAAAAATTGATGTAATAAATTCAAAGGAAACGCTATGATAAAAAGGGATTTCCATTTGTTATTGAGTTTATATTAAAAATCATTTTAAGATTTAATATTTTGAAATTATATACGAAATTGTACAATTTCTAAAACTAATTTCAAAAACTAAATTATATTCAACTACATTTATGAGCCGGTCAAGGAAACTTTACCGTGATATAGTAAATGTTTTGTCGATTCAATGTCTGTGATGCTTTTAAGTAAATGTTTGAATAATTATACGAAACTATAAAAACACTACGGCCTTTGACGAAGCTATGTTAACGTTCACACTATATTCAGTAACTTGGCAGCTACTGTGAAAGTGATGATGCAACTAGTTGCCTGGTAAGGGATGGGGGTATTTCCTTTATGGTATCCACTGGGTATATTCTGATATATGATACACAATAATATTTTTTAAAGAAACAGCTGACAAAGCCAATTACCACCATCACCCGTTTTGAACGAAATATTGCCCACCTTGCTCTTTCTATCTACCGACCCGAACAAACTTTGCAGCCACAAGTATCACCGAATAAAGGAATGATTAATCTGCCTTCAAAACTTCCAAGGAAATTTATTCATTGTATTTACTACTATAGTGCGAGCATTCATTGAAAAAATAGTTTGATAAAAAGCTTGCATGTATAGAAGGCACGCTATCACTTTCAGCTTCTGTATAAATCGTTAATTGTAAACATCAGTCATTTAGCAATCAGCCAAGAAATATGTTTTCTTTGTTCTCTTTGCAAGTGTACACCAGTACCCTGTATCACATATGAAGGTGCATACTAATGAAGTCACCTATGTCACGAAACAATTAATTTAATTACATCAAAGATTTTATGCAGCGAGCCGCAATCAAGTTTTCTCTTTTTTTTCTGCTTTCTTTAAGCTGGTGTTTACGCACAGGCACTATAGTATATATTTAATAATCAGACAAAGACGTAGTCTGAATCACGTCAATAACCTTGCCCTTAGGCTAATTTGGAGCTTCACTAACCCTCGTTCCCAAAATATTGTTGTTAAATGATTATTAACAGAAATATACAATCAAAATGTAAACACTCCCAATACTATGAAACTGAGTAACTTTTTGTATCGAATATTGTAATCGATTTCGGTAAAAATACTTGGAACTTGAATAAGAAACGTTAAAGCTTATCGATATGCCGTTTTTAAAACGCAGTTTTTAGGAATTTATCGTATTTGTTAAATGCTTCTGAAATAATGATAAATATCTGATTGGCTATTTTTTTTAAATATTTTAATATTTATTTCTTGTTTAGTCTCATCGATATCTAAAACAAATTTAAGTTTAATACTATAAAAAAAAGAAAGATTCCTTTCAAAAATTTTATAATATCTATTGTATAACAAATATTATAAGTAAATATAATCGCTAATGTATAATCTTGATCTAATCGTAAACATTTTTTAGCACCATCACAAAGTGTTCTGTAATTCCACTGTTTCAATTTAATGGGAATTATTCCACTGTCGATAACTTTATTGTTTCGATGCCATGGCCGGCCACAGCTATATATCGAACATTTTTACTTGTCATCATCAGCGGCTAGCATTTTAAGAGTCATGGTAAAGTGTTTATTTGAAAAAATAAAGAGTTTTGTTAAACTTACCATTTTGATTCCAGTTTCGCAACCAATACGATAGCGACGTTACAGTATGGAGTCCCCAGGGACGTCTGCACCAGGTGGAGTACGCTATGGAAGCCGTCAAGTTGGGAACAACTACGGTGGGTCTGAAAAATAAGAACATCGCGGTATTAGTGGCGCTTAGCAAGCCGACTTCGGAGCTTTCGGTTTCACAGCGCAAGGTGATACCCATTGATGATCACTTGGGAATTTCTATTGCTGGCATCACAGCCGACGCCAGAGTTCTCAGCCGGTATTTGCGTTCGGAGTGCCTTAACTACAAGCACGCCTACGAGTCCACTTACCCGGTATCCCGTTTGATCACAAATTTGGGAAACAAAATGCAGACAACCACCCAGCGCTACGATCGCCGTCCGTATGGAGTTGGATTGCTTGTTGCTGGCTATGATGAAAAGGGGCCGCACATTTATCAGGTGATGCCATCGGCGACCTTTTACGATTGCAAAGCCTATTCGATTGGATCACGATCCCAAAGTGCACGCACATACTTGGTTTCCAACCTTGCTTCGTTCTCGGACTGCCCCAACAATGATATCATATGCCATGGCATTATTGCTATCAAACGTTCCCTGCCCACGGATGAGAACCAGAGCAAAGAGAATGCATCTCAATATGTATGTTTATTTTTGTTGTATGAAGTAATCTACTAATTGATATATATTGTAGGACATAACCGTAGCCATCGTTGGCAAAGGTCAACCATTTAAGATTCTGTCTCCTGAGGAGTTGAAAGTATATGAAGAGATGGCTAATAAGAAGGGTGGACTTGCCCCTCCACCAGCCGATGACGATGACCAACCACGTCCATCAGGATCCGGCGAACAGCCAGATGAAGGCCCACGAGATCCCCAAGTCGCCGTTGCAACAGAGGAACGCCGCTAAATTACTTTACGATTACAAAATCACCTTAACCATTAAAAATGTAAGATGGGTGGATACAATAAAATTGTTCATGCATTTGCATAGATATAAACTGGAAACAAAATGAATACTCATTTTAGTTATTTGTTAACCAGATGGTTATTCCTTTAATTTCAACATCCAAACTACAACAAAAGCAAAAAAGAAAAATAAAAGACCACAAAATTAAAAAAAATAGTTTTATTTTTCCCGCCTGCTTAAGTGAAACCTATGAGAATCGATGAGGAGGGCGCTATTTTTTAAAATTATTAAATGTTTTTCCTTAAAAATTATAGAAGAATTAGGTTAATGAATATATTAAGGATATATCGCCAATATCGCATATAGATGACCGATTCTTATAGAAATTTAAGTATCAGACCAATTCGTTATAATGTGTATTTAAAAAAATTCCCAACCTTCTTTCCCAAGTATTCTCATAGGATATAGTCCGATATAGTATTTGTAACACCCTCTGCAAGTTTATAAAAATTAAAGAAAAACATTAACGGTATATTTAAAAAAATAAAAAAAATATATCACATTTTGTACGAACCAAAGGTATACTACTTTTAATGAAACACGGTCACACCATTGGCAGAGTTTATTTTTCAATGCCGGTATTATTTTTGTTTCTGTTCCTATAAAATAAACACAATAATATTAATTTGTAAATGACTAGTTACTTTTTTAGTTAGCTATTAAATTTGTACAAAGTTTTTGTTTACATATTCTGCCAAACGATTGTTAAATCATTCCTGAAACACACAAAAAATTACATAACAAAAGTTATCTTGGACGAACTTACTTCACATTGGATTGTTTTTAATAAAAACTTGTTATGATTAACTATGAAAGAATAAACAAACTACCGCACTTCCTATGGGTCAATACCTGTTGAAGTGTTTAAGTTATTTGTTTTATTCAACAACATAGCTGAGATTTGATCAACAGGTTCTTTTGTAAATCATAATCCATAAAAATTTGATACTCGATCAAACTTATTTGGAAATTATATTAAATTATTATTTTTCAGATAAAATGACGTTGCCCGACCTAGTGGCTAGTCTGTCAACGAATCCCTACTTCGGTGCTGGATTTGGTTTGTTTGGAGTTGGGGCTGCAGCGGCGATATTAAGGAAGGGACTTCAGGGCGGATTGATTCTTTTCCGACGACACTGCATGATTACTTTGGAGGTGCCTTGCCGGGATAAATCATACCAGTGGCTTTTGAAGTGGATCACCATCAAGGGAGCGCGAAAGACCCAGCACTTAAGCGTGGAAACCAACTTTCTGCAACACGACAATGGCCAAATCAAGACAAGCTATGAGTTCATTCCCAGCATCGGAAAGCACTTGTTTCAGTACAAAGGGAATTGGATCCAAGTAGAGCGAACCAGAGAGCAGCAGACACTGGACCTACATATGGGCGTGCCATGGGAAACTGTGACCCTAACTGCATTTGGGAACAATAAGGAAATCTACTTTGACATCCTGGAGGAGGCACGACATCTGGCCTTACAGGCAACCGAGGGAAAGACGGTCTTATACACAGCGATGGGAGCAGAATGGAGGCCTTTTGGACACCCTCGGCGCAGACGTCCCACCGGATCGGTAGTCTTGGATCGTGGAACTTCCGAAAAAATCATCGCCGACTGCCAGGATTTTATCAAGAGCTCCCTTTGGTACACGCAGCGTGGAATCCCATACCGAAGAGGATATCTGCTTTACGGTCCACCTGGTTGTGGAAAGTCTAGCTTTATTACCGCCTTGGCTGGCGCGTTAGAATACAGCGTATGTCTGCTGAATTTGTCAGAACGGGGTCTAACGGATGACCGACTTAATCATCTTCTAAATGTCGCGCCAGAGCAAAGTATCATCCTGCTCGAGGATATCGATGCAGCGTTTGTTTCCCGGGAGGCAACTGCGCAACAAAAGTCCGCTTTCGATGGCCTAAACAGGATCACTTTCAGCGGCCTATTAAACTGTTTGGATGGAGTGGGTTCAACAGAGGCACGAATTGTCTTTATGACCACAAACTACATAGATCGATTAGACCCCGCTTTGATTCGACCGGGCAGAATAGATCTAAAAGAGTACATTGGGTATTGTACAGAGTATCAATTGGAGGAAATGTTCAAAAACTTTTTCGGCAATAGTGAAACCCCCAAAGCGGCAGAGTTTGCCCAACGGGTAAATTCGTTTAATCGCAATGCTAGTCCCGCCCAAATCCAAGGATTTTTCATGAAGCACAAACTTTCTTCCCCGCAAACGGTTATTGATTCTTGTGAAGACATTTGGGAAAATGTCGCAAGTCCTAATAAAAAAAACAATTGAAACCTTTTGAAGTTTTTCTTGGGATGATATTGAGTTAAGCTCAAGATTCGCATTAATTGCTTTCCATTTTTAAAACATAACTAAATATTACCATAAAAGCTCTTTTGTCCTCTGAAGAGATTTATGGAGGAATCTTTAAATTTCGATCGACCAAATAACTGATATGTTTTACATTATGATTTAATTACATTTTTATAGGTAATTTAAAAATATGAACTATGTTCTAAAATATATGTATATTTTATATGACATTAAATTTGATTAGTCCTTTGATCTTCTGGGTCTTCCCACTTTTCCTTTCCTCTGACCAAGTGTTCCATTCGAATTTGCGGGCCCCTTAAGTAATTTGTGCCAATCTTGCTCACATACTAAGCTTGCTCCTAACATAGTGTATCTAAAAGATAATGAAAAATAGTTAGAACTGGGCAAGCATGTAAATGTAGTGCTAGCACGTACCTATCTCCAGGGCGCAGGCTTGATCCACACTTAGCACAACTAAAGCACCTTAGATGAAATACGCAATTGATTATTTGTTTTTGTTGATTTTGTAAATCAATATTATTTATCCCAGTAAGTGCTTTAGCAACCAGTTCACTTGGAGGAATTGTTTCTCCACATCCTGAACAGACGCCTGAGCAGCCGAACATACTAAAAATAAAGTTGAGAAATCAGCCATTAGTTTAGTTCAATATTAAATCGTTTTTTGAGATAGATTTCATACCTAGAATAGTCCTTTTTGCAAAGAATCAGACCCCGCCTCGTAAAACAGCTGGAACCAACCTCCGCTAGCATTGCTCCACAACAGTGACATTTAAGGCATCCATTGTGCCAATATCTGTCTAAAGCGTATAAAAGATATCTATCACTTATTTTATCTGGAACGAAAGTAGAAATATAATATATAATATGTATTTTTAAATTTAAATAGCAAAGTCTTACCTCCACAACCGCCACACACTTTAATAAGAGAGTTAGAATGAATTAACTGTTGATTATTGAAATCGTTTGAAGATTCGTCCATGAACGATAGCTGAGACGAAGAAATATTCGAATTGGTCTCGACAGCGTCCTTTGTGTGGTTAGAGTTTCTATAATCAATTACTATGGGGGCGAAATTTTCGGGACTAGATGAGTCTTGGTGATGTGCCGCAAGTATATCTCTGTATGAATGGAACGTTGCATTCATTGCAAATAATGTTGATGACTTAAGTCGTAAAAGGCATATGGGTCCTGTTTATAGTTTAAACCTGAAAATGCAAAGTATAATCATTTTTAATTAATTAATTGTATTGATAAGTTTGGAATGCTATATTCCTAGTTTCCATGTCTATATGTATAAATAAAAGCTAAATTTAACACATTTTTATAAAAAAACTGGCAATTTATTTGCAAATTAAGCCATTGAATTATTTATTTCGTTCCTTCATGTGTAGACGCTCCATTTAAAAAAGAGAAGCTACTGGAACAATATGTAAACTCTTCCTTAATTAAGTCGCAAAATTAGCATTTAATTTTAAAGTCATTTTGGACAATTACATTGACCACACAGCTGTCCATATATATGTACATCTCCATATATAAGTAGATATGTAATTAAGAAAACCATACATATATGTGTACATATGTATGTACGTTCCTGCAGAACGCTTGAATACTTATGTATGTACATACATACATATGTAGCGCGTGAAACTGCGGTCTTATGCCGATAGATTAATCAATATTTAATTTCTTTTAATTGTTTCACTGTTCACTGGGCACTTAAGCGTTCCCATTCATCACCGTGTTGACAAATAATAATACTTATTTGCCACTGGTCTTATGTTTGAGCAAATTTCGTGTACATATGTACGTACAATATACATTCATTTATTTTTCTTTGGCACACATGAAAACCTCGCGGTTTTGATTATTGACCACTGTTTGAACTTACACACTCATCAATTAATTATCAAATAGGGAAATCTCTTCAGACGACAACATGAGGAACAGTAAAATCGTTTCGGTTTCAAACACCATTTCTTGTATACGACTTTACATACCAAACTTATTCATAGATATGAAAGCAAGCGATTTGCAATTGTACAGGGTGCATCGTGCAAAACATAAAATGTTAATCGTTTGATGCAGTTTTTTCGATAATTTGACGTGTAATAAATAATCTCGCATTTATTGCTAACGTTAATTTGTTCTTTAGTGAAATTTAATTAATTTTTTTTTAAGTATGAATATACTATGTACATAATTTGCTATTTGTGAGTCTGTATACCTTTGCGGGTTTCAGCTGGAACAGCTGATTATGATCATAAAAGGTCTTGTTCTTTTAAGTTATGACATTCTTGTTAAGTCTTTTAAGTTCTTTTAAGTTTTAAGTTATTTATTTTTGAATGTTTACGTTGCGATAAAAATACGTAGATAAAAACATCTATAAGCTTTTTGTAGGTATTTTTCATTAAAGGCAAAGAGAATTCAATGGTGTTTTTAATTTTATGGAACAGTGGAATGGAACCATAGGCTTAAGGAAACGCATTTTCCTAACGTATTTGATTTACTTTCCTATTTAAGAATAAATTTCTGTTATTTAAAGACATATAGGTATGTGGGACTATGGAATCCTAAATTTTTAATAAGACGACTTCGAAAAGTTATAACTAGTAATTAAAAATATAACGTTTCCACTGGCAATCAGCTGTTAAACCATTTTTTATAAACGCAACTGACTCTGAAATGAATCGTGTCATAATTAACTCTTGCAAGACTGTCTATTAAATAAAGAGGAAGAGTCAGAGTACTACCCATCGCACCGCTGATGTTTTTTTTTTTTTACAAAATTGAGAAGCTGACTATATAACAGTGGTCGGCAGGGGCCTATTCCAGGAGCATAGGAAATTTCTCTGCCCGAGCTCTACTGCTCACACACAGTATAAAATGTATGAAACTTGATGCTCGCAGACTACATTCTGCCTTTCGTAACTAATACTAATGCATTCATATTGTATCGATGTATTCTGTGCCGACCACTGCTATAACAACAGCAAACTCCCACAATTATAGAAAATTGTATAGTACAATAATAATAGTACATTTTACAGAACATGAATAGATTTTTTTCGCCCTTTTCATTCACCATTATATATTCTTTTAAAGTGACAGAGGCTTCCGAATAAATCGATCTCTTTATCTTCCCTTGAAGCAAAAAGCAAATCAACCATAACATTTTCGAGTTGGGTAAAAACAAACTTTTCGTTTAATCCCATCCATCACCCACCATCTACCTGTCTCGTTGGGGGTTAAAAATCAATTTTCAAGCGATGCCGTCTCTTGGGCGCCTGAAAATATTCTCATAAACCACCTTGACATTAAACAAATGCATTACTTTTTAATAAAATAAAAATCGAAATGAAAATGGCTTTCCTTTTATTGTTGGTTGCCGATGGTTATCTTTAATAGACGTCGTACAAACCTAGATTAAAATACTTATCTTATTTAATTACAGGAGATTCCAGTTTATAAAATAGCACAATTCAGGTTTTATTTAATAAAAGATTAAGTCATCATATATAAAAAGTATTAAAAAAACGCTTATTTATTTAAATAGTTTAATTCTAAATTTATTTTTTTCTTGCAAAATAACAATCCTTAACTTAAAATGTCTATGTAGTTAAATCAATGGAAATAATTCGCCCAGTGCTGTTGAACGGCTGCACAGCGCTCAGAGTGTCAAACGTACTGCTCTCTGTTGATTGACTTGCTGTACTTTTTTCGGGGCTTGCTGAATGAGCATACCAGTCTGTTAGTGTGACCAATTTCTTAGAAAAATTGCAGTTTTCCTGATTGTATTCTTTTCTGAGTCTTTGCGAGTCGGGGAAGGTATTCGATGTATTCATTGAATTAACCAATGTATGATTTGATATTGAGTCAACTTTGCATCGGCTAAATACCGAGTTAGCCTTATAATTAGAAAAAATGTATAACGATTGTTGCAGGGGTTTAACAGATGTATCACCTGCAGGGTCTGATTCAGCAGCACAAGTAGTTGGCTCGTTCGATCGCCGACTGGATTTTCTGTTATGTGTGAGTTTTATTATAGTAAGTGCATCGGAAGCCAGTACTTTAGAAGATCCATTTGCCGATTCCTGTTGGTCGTCATCATCAGAGGAGCATAGGTCAATTGTATCAACAACAACCTCGCTTGAGGGCGAAATCCTCCAATGGGAATTAAGCGAATTGTGGCGCGTTAGTCTTATATTAAGTTTTGAGTTTGAAATGGGATTCGGATCTTCCATCATTTGCTCAGATATTTTTTTCAATCTGACTGAAATTGGACGGCATTGCTTGATCAGCGGCGAGTTCAAAAACAAAAAGTTTTCAGTAGTGTCTCTGCGTTTCACAAACTGACGACGCGGAAACGAATATATGTGAAAATTGTGTTCATGCGATTTTTTAAATGTGCAGTGAACGGTAGTGTTCGGTTTCCTATCGAATATTTTTTGCCTTGTGTTGGATTTATCAACTAATGGCGTGTAACAAAACCGATCCAATCGTTCCTGCCTTTCCGAAACATATTCCTTAGATATGGTTTGCTTTGTAGATTTTAACAATTGCTGACCCGCAGGTGATGATATCGGTATAAATGAACATCTATTAAATGAATGAACATTCCGATTTCTTCGAGATGGTAATCGCCTACTTCTGCTTGATTTTTTTTCAGTTGATGTTTCTTCACTTAATGAATATGTTTTTTGTTTCTCATTAGATGTGCTTGTATTAGTAAATTTGGATTGCAGGCTAAAGTTTAAAAGAAAGGCGTTACGCAGTTCATTATCCTCATTTTTCCCCTCGCATTTGCTTTCTGGCTCTGGGGAATCACATAGTATAACATCATCTTCCATACAACAAATATTTTCGTGCTCCTAAAATATTAAAGAACCCATTAAGTTCCAAATCATAATATAACTTGAATTTGACTTACCAGGATTGCTTCTTTTGAATAAAGTTCCGCATCACAATTGTCACACAGATAAATGTCGAAAGGTGGTGGCTCAACCATCATATGTTGTAAATTTTCATTAATTGAATTGTTATTTTTTTGCATCAACAAGCACTTTCTGCTTTTTTGTTGCCTATCATATGACTGAAACCAAGCAGAAGTTATGTTTAAATAAATCTTCTCAAAATGACTCTGCAAATCTTCAAAATTGACTTACCATATTTTCATTGCGAAATGTGACCAGCAATTTATTATTTCTCCTATCATAAAGTGATGTGGTTGAGTTATAATTATTTATGAATCTCAAACTGGCATGCTCATATGCAGCTAAATCATTACAAAACCTTAATAAAAATAGGCTTTTGTGAAATTGATAGCATATGACCACAATTTCTTTCATTTTTTCCATCCAGTTCTATAAAGAAAACGCAATTATTTTAGCATTATATTTTATGACTCTGGCACTCCCTAAATTAATTTCAAATGAATAAAAATGCTTACCCCTACGAATGATTTCGGCTTTTTTAGTGGAATTTCAAAAGGTGCATTTTCAGGCCACCACTCTGGTTCGCTGCAATCAACTTTCTTTGGTAAGTTTATATGTCCTAAAGAGCACTGCACCATAAATGGAATAAAGTTTTCTAGTTGCGGTTCCGTTATCTTCTCTAGAGACGTTGGATATCCGTTCGCGAACAGGAGTGGCAAGTTGGAAATCATGTTGTGCTGAGCCTTATCTTTTTCATCCATTGTCACTGAAAGACCCAATAAAATACAACTATTTTTAATTTTAAAGTGTTTAAATCGTTAAAAGTTTTGCTTAATGAACTAGAAAGTATAGAATCTATAGTATATATACATAGATGTTAAGATGTATAAACGTGGGACATTGAACATATGTATGAACATCTGTATGTCCACATGTTTGCTTGGTCCTTCTAATTTAACCTAACACAAAAGTTTATGCCACGTGGCCCAAAAATAAAGAGAATTCTCTGGGTCGTCTTTCAGATAACCCCTGCACGTCAGGCGATCTTCAATGACGTGTACTTTTAAGAACTAAGACGATACTGGCAATCAAAAGTATGAGAAGTACCAGGTATAAATACATATGTTCACATTCGACGTTTTGTACAAGGGTGGGTTTTTCAGAGATTTATTTGGAAAAACCGATTGCAAGCCCAAGATTAAAAATTGCACGGGCCTCAACATCCTAAAGGCAATTAGGTAGATTATCTTGACCCCTTATAATCAAAATTAATTAAGATAAAATAGTTATTTTAGATAAAGCTTGATGATATGTATATACCTCTTAATCTCGTATGGGGTATCGTATAGCCTAAAAGCAGCTCCCCACAGCGTTTGACGCGAGAACAGCTGATTGCGTCAGAAACCTAATACAAGCGGCAAGCTACAAAAAAAAATTGCTTCCGACGCCGTCCTGCGCAGTTAACAATGCTGCGAAAATGCTCCGAAACGTCGGAGGCTTCATGCATCGCAAAACCAGCCACACTCCCTTATGTTCATACATACATTCGTATGATGAATACATCAAATGAAAATATCAATGAGACTAACGCGCCAAAGGACTTTGGGAGGTACAGTAAGCTTAAAAAGCTTTTTGCGTCAAGTGCTCTTCTCATTTTGCGTCTAGTTCACGTAAAGCTAACGCTTTTCTTTTAATTAAAAATACTATTTCTTCGTTTCTTTCTTCAGTGTTCAAGTTTCTTCTGTCCCCAATCTTTGATGACCCCGTTCGCGAAGAAATACGCAGCAGGCGTTGCCACCTTGCGTTAGAACTAAACAAAGTTGGCTACGCCTCTCACTATTTCAGGAAATGAATATGATATGAACACCGTCCACTTTCCTAAAAAGTATAGCCAATAAAACTGGGCCCGTCCTTAGAAAGTAGTTTTTTTCCCAAGCCCCACCAATACACGAACGATAGTTTACGTAGCTAATAGAAAACAATATAAACTTCTATTTTCTAATGCAGACTAAAAACCACGAATGGCTTTCACACTACATGTACACATATCTACACACTCACACTCAAAAACCTACATATGTATACTAAGGGAACTAGAATAACTTTTCAATTGCAATTTTTGTTGCCTGAGTTCTGCGATCCATACATGAGCACACGAAAAAACCCACACTGACGCACTTATGGATAAAATACATACACACAGCCATAACACGACTCAATAGTCAGATGTTTTTCGGGCAGTCACTGTTTCATTTGGTGTTGTATATGTAAATATCACACCTGATTTATGCGAGTGTATTCATACACTAAACAAAAATTTTACTTTCGAGTCCTGTATTGCATTGGTGTATTGGAGACAAATGAATGAATTTATTTGCTTGCACCACACCAATGTTGGCATACACAATTTATTATGAAGGACATAAAACCCGATGCTTAGGAATGTTCAATGGCCTTTGCATGTACATATGAAAATAAAGAGATTTCTCTCTGTTACCACATTTACACTTTAATCAATACGCACCAAAAATTCGCAATGATAAACGAAACGCAAGACAAGGAGACCCACAATCACGAAACTGATAACATAGTAACAATACAAAACACTTTCTTCGTAAAAAATTAATTTGTTGTAGCTGCAATCGAATAGTCGAAGAGGGAACTAACTGGCAACTGAAGCCCGAGGTTGTGAAAAAAAATCTTTCATCTTGAAAATGGAACGTGGAATTGAAACAGAAAATATTAATGCCATTGTTGCGTATGTTGGATTTGTTTTTGCGTTCTTTTAAGCAAATTTTTTCTTGAAAAACATTCTGCCAAAAAAAATTGTTCATTTTAAGAACCGCTTTAAACGTCCTTTGATAAAATGATGTACAGTAATATAATCTTAATATTAAAAAATCAATGAAGCAGGATGACAGAAGGTCATACTGTTTATGTATCTATATGGAAATCTAAAAAATTACTTTGGAATAAATGAGTATATATAGGCACTATAAAGTTGGCGAACTTTTCTGTATCTGACCATATTCTCAAAACCCAATATTAAAACGCAACTAATTAGCGGAGTACATGATTTGTATTCAATTACTATATCAGACTAGATTACTATATCAGATTATCTTCTTAATCTGATTACCTTCACACGTTATACATATAACGATACATATGAATATAAAGTAAGGATGATAAAATAATTTCCGATCCTATAAAGAATATATATTCTCTGTTGTCTTATAGTAATAATGGCGTCGGTACAGTAGCTTACAAGTTGTTCTGCTGTTTTAGATACATTTTGTAATACAGATACAGATTTTTATAGGATAAATAGTGTAAGCAGTGTAATAGTTTTGTCGGCGTTGAATCCCAACTGAAATTGCTTCGATAATGATATTCTCTGACTATAATGTGAGAACTACCTTTACATTTCGAATTTTCTAGAATATTATTTGGTCAATTACTTATACTTTGTTCATAAAGTAGAAACTTAACATTAAAAAGCATCAGAAGCGGACACCATCCATTTCGTTTATCTTCTTCTTCTTATACATCTGTTTAAAGCGCAAGCCAGAGTAATAGAAGGAAGAGTGTTCGAGAGAATTTTAATGGAGAGAACAAAAATTTAGTATTTAAAATATTAAATTTAAAAAAATATATAATGGCCGACATCATCTAACTTTTTTGCAGGTATTGAAAATCTTTGAAAAAAATTAAAAAGTAATAAGCCCTATATCTAGGCTATTATTTTCATTATTGATCCATTTGGTTCTAAGTATGCTTAGTATTCCATTTCAACGTTCCACTTGAATCGCCATAGGTAACAAAAGAAAATTCGTAAATATATCGATATACAGGCAAATCTTGTAAGGGGTAAACGCTCGTTCAATTGTGCAACGTGTTTAAACGACAGACAAGGCAAAATGAAGGTAGAAGCACTGGACCAATTCTGGACTGACAAAAGCCGATATGATTTGGCTGAGAAGCGCTTCTATGAGGGCACCCTGAAGGTAAATAACGAACAAGAAATATAATACATAAGATAAGAAGCACATTCCATTCACGTGGCTCGTATGAGAAATAAGCAATATATAGTTTTGTGAATATACATATATATTTAATAAAAATGTGTACGTTAAATTGCAAAAAGTGCATGTAGGCATTTTATCAAAGTGGTTATATAAATTAGAAATTATTTTAGACTATCTTTAAGAATGTCTACGGGCCTTGTATTTATAACCCGGCATCTTATAGTTCATTGTTACATATGTATGTATGAATGTATGTACATACAAAAGTGTGTAACAGGTGAATAGCGTATTGAACTTGAAATATAAATACATGTTCTTAGTTTTGATAGGAACATTTTTATATAAAAGCTTATATAGTATCTATATAATAGAGCGAACAATAACAGATTAACTAAGGGAATTTTAGGTGAGAAATGAATGCAGTATACCCTTACAGAACTTTAGAACAAACATCCTCTAAGAATGCCCTTTTATCGAATGAATTTAATGATTTAGGAAACTCAATTCAAACTTCAATTATTTAATATTTTATTGGCAAACTATTACCTTACCTACATACATATATCTTTCAAGCTTCTATTGTTATTGTTAATTCTCAAATTATCAAGTATTAGTCTACACGAGTAATCATCGGTGTTGTCTTATTTTTAAGGTAACTGATCGAAGCCACTACAGCCCTTTAGTAAGCGAAATTGCAAAGGCTAGGGAACATATTCAAAACTCACTGGAGAAGGTAATTATTGTGCGTCATTATGTATTTTGTATTTTTTTTTTTATCCGGCTCTCAAAATTATGTTATTAGTTCGAAATTTGTTTGTACTATTAGCAAGGAATCATTATTTTAAATCCGCAAATTATTTTATTTATTTTATGCGTCTAACAATATTTAATTTATATTCCAGATTGATGGAGTTTCTTTGGACAATGTCTCCAGCTCGCAGCTCGCCAGCCGAGTGTCTCAATTGGAGAGCGATAACAAGGATCTGAGGCAACTGTTAAACGCCGTCCTGAAACGCCTAGACACCGTCGAGTCGCAATTAAAACTGACCAACGGAGAAGTGAAGAAGCCAGAGGCGCCAGCCAAGAAAGAAGAGAAAGCTGAGGATGATGATGATGTTGACTTGTTCGCCTCCGAAAGTGAAGACGAAGGTGAAGAGGCTGCCCGTGTCAGGGAAGAACGATTGGCCGCTTACAACGCCAAGAAGTCCAAGAAGCCCGCCCTTATTGCCAAGTCCAACATTATCCTCGACGTTAAGCCGTGGGACGATGAGACGGATCTGAAGGTCATGGAGGCCGAAATTCGTAAAATCACCCTCGATGGATTGCTGTGGGGAGCCTCCAAATTCGTGCCAGTTGCTTTTGGTATCCAAAAGCTGAGTATCTCCTGCGTTGTTGAAGATGACAAAGTTTCCATTGATTGGTTGACCGAGGAAATCGAGAAACTGGAAGACTTTGTTCAAAGCGTTGACATTGCTGCATTCAACAAAATTTAAAAAGTTAATGTATTTTTTTTAAACCGATTCGGAGTTACTTCGATACGAGTGTTTTGGGTGTCATTTAAATAAATATTTTGATAAAAAAAAAACTGATTTGTTTTAATTAAAAGCGATTGAAGAACAACGTTTTATTTTAGCGTCTGTAGACATCTTAGTGTTAGCTTCTTTATGGATATATGGAAGTGAAAAAAAAGGTGTTATACCTTACTAAATTTATATTTCGGTTCACAGCTAAATTAAAAAAATATCAATAGACTGAGGACTAGTTTTCGTAAAGGTCTATAAATAAAATTAGTTAAAAGATAAAAGTAATATCTAAAGCATAATTTCGTTCTCTGCTCCCGACGAGGGTTTTCGGGTAATATCGCTGATCCCTGGAGACGATCTAAGCGTTGTCAATGCTGTGCTAGTCGGGGCATAGGATTTGGTTAGGCCAACACGGTTTCTGTTTGATGTGATGGTAGTCTCTGACTGGATACCTATAATATTTAATAAAAATCGTCATTAGATAGAAATAATTTGTGATCTAATAACCCACCTAGTCTAATTAAAATTTCGTTCCAAATTCTTCGTTTGAAAACAAATATAAAGAAGACGAATATCCCAAGGAGCACATTAAATGAATCGCTAATTGACCAGAAAAATGTTTTTTTATGATCGTAAAATAGAATGCTCACAATCTCTAGAAGCCACGTAATGCCCATGACAAAGCATAACTTTGTATTCATAACAAATCTGGTCTTGTCTTGGAAAAATCGTCTTTTTAGTACGGGCTTGTCGCTGTTTAAGCTTTGCATTTTATAAATTTCATTTTTGACTTTGTTGCAATATTTAAGCGTCAGAACGAAAAGAACTAGGTTGAAAATAAAGAGTATTCCAACAGGTCCTGAGAAAAAAACCAAGCTAGCTGATCCAAAGGAATCATCTGCAAAAAAGAGTGATAATAAATTCTATTTAAACTTAATATTCTTTCGAAAACTTACAGGTAAACCAGCAACGACCGTGCCCAAAATTAGGTCTAACCACATCTGGTAATATGTTGGACTTGGTAAATGATATTGTGATGGCAGTTAACAATGTGGGAAGTCCCCAACCGTAGCAGGAATACCAAATAAATTGTTTTCTTTGATCTCTTTTCTCGCAGCTTTTAATCTTGGTTGAACTGAAAGAAATATTTAAATTTTTAAATACCAGATTTTAACTTGCATTTTAATAAAACTTACCCAAAAGTCTTCCATATATCGAAAGAAGTTATATTCATCCAGGAAAACGCAGCCATTAAACAGAAATACACGAAAAACCCTATAATATATAATACTTTTTATCAATTTTAAAGATTAAAGTTTCTCTTAGTGCATAGCAAACTGTGAAATAATATATCTATGATTTCATATTTCTCTTTCCAGTCGTGAAGAGCAACTTTTTCGACAGTTCCCAGTGGGAAACTATTACTTATGTCATAAAAATGTTGTTTCGTTGACCATCAACTCAAATAGCTTTCGTACTTTATTGTTATGTAATCATTTCAGTTACTTACCAGAAATAAAGCAGACGTCATCGTTAGATGTGGGCTTCAGCTGTCCCAATGCAATTCCCAGATACGCCGCAAATAGACTACTAACCAGGCAAATAAGAATCTTTCCGGGAAGATTTCGCAACTTGGCAATTGATATGTAAACAATTAGAGTTAATGCATAAAAGCAACAAGATATGAGGAGGCCAATCGGATACATTTTGAAACGAATGCGGTCACTGCCAACTACCTTTGTATCAAAACACAAAAATGTGTACAGCTGCTCTGAAAAGAGGCAAGAATTAATAATAGGGTACATAAAGCAAGAAATCAGTTTTTGAAGACACCGCTTTAGCTCTAACAATAAGTTCTAAAATCTGACACACAAAGGAATCTTACCTTTTGATGAGATCTAACTCTTTCCAAGCAGTATTGGGCGTTTGTGTATAATTTTCGGGTATTCTGAATAATAAGGGATCCATTGGATGAGCTAATTGTGTGCGAGTCGTCTGGAAAATTGTCTGGATCCAAACGAAATTTCTGACAATCTTGCCCATGAAGTATTCCAAACTCTAAAAAAGAACAAAATTAATATTTTGATAATATTTTAAACCATAATATGAAGTAGAGTTAACTGACCTAACCCAATAAAGTTTAATGGGCCAGGCAAACAGGGGTAATTGGTAGTGCAAGAGTTGAACGATAAGAAACTTTTAAAAAGATAATTAACCTGACCAATATGAGTAATCAAAAAATGACGAAATTCGCTATAGAACGACCATGGTGGTCTTCAAAACAATTGAAAATTATATTATGGTATCGTTAACTTCCATAATGGATTATATTATTGGACTATATTGGATCATTTCCCATAAAAAAATAGACACGAAAAAATTGTATATGTATTTTTAAAAATTTCCAAGCGTAAGTAAATGTAAAACAGGTGATCCCAGCAAATGAAACCAATCAAACGAACGTGTATAATGTGTTTTTCTATGTTCCTGGATTATTTTTATTCATTAATAGCGAATCGCCAATCCTAATTCGTAATAATGGCGTATATAAACAAATTACGAAAGATTCAATACTTTTTTTTCATTATTTTACTATTTATAGGGAATGCCGGTTTATTTTTATACCCTTTACTTGTTATGGAGCTCACTTACCGCGCGGTTTTGAAAAGTTTGCGTTTATGTTAAGGTTTTGAAATCCCTGGAATTTATTATCAGTCTCATCGCGTTTGCAGTAGGTTGTAAAATTGGCTTTGGCATAGATTTCGCCTTCGCCACAGCATCTTCGAATGCAAGGCAGGGTTTGGCATATTTTCGTTGACTGGCAGGCTCGTATCAGATACTTTTGTGTGGAATTAATTGTAGATTTTGATGAAGGTTCCCGCTCAAAGATAGCATCCAAACAAAACTTGTTTCTTTCCAAAACAATTGATCCGTCTTTCCAAAACAACGAATCCTTGTTGAACTTGACATCTTTCGAGGAAACCGTGTATTCCACGAGTGCGTGATTGTCCGAACATTGTAAGGTGTTATCAAAAAACACTTTTGGACTATTAATGATAGGCGAATAAACAAGAAAATCTGTTTCTCCAATCAAGCATGTATTATTTTCGGAAACATAAACAGATCCCAGTGGGCAACACTTGTATACAAATCCGACATTTTGAGGCGGCACATTCTTTTCAAAATCACAAGATAAACTTAAAAGCTGCTTGTTATTTAACAGGCCAATACAAGAATTATTTTTTAAATTCAATAAACTTTCACTTTGTTCGGTTATATTGTAGACCTTGTAGTTCGTACACTTTGGTAACTGAAATTTTAATTCTGAGTCATTTGGGTGGGCCTCCAAACCGAGGCCCTCCAGGGCTATCATTTCCCCAATCACTTCTATCGTATCCGGAAATTCTTTGAGATTAGCTTCGGTGGAAGTACATTGATAGATATCCGAATTATCCGCGCCACGGTATTTGAATAATATGGATTTGGGGCTACAGCATATACGAACGGCCAACACTTTTGAAATGCCACTTAAAATCAGGCAAATTAATATTAGTCCGGCGTTCATTGTTTACGACGGAGTGTTTACTTTCAATGACCAATTCACGAGCTTGTGTTACGTTTGTATCTTTCTTTAGAACGGACTTTTCATATCTTATCATTGAATCGTTATCGGGCAAGACGAAACTTCGAACCGTTGCAGTTGGCTGATTTACTGAACTGAAGGCTTCGCAATTCCTTCCCGACCAAATGCGAATGTTTATAGGTAAACATTTGGTCTTCACCCACACCATTTCAAGTATATAAGAAATACAATTATGAATTGGCGTTCACGTACTCGCAAACCCACATACAAATACACAAATAAGTTATACCCCATGGAGTGTTAAACACTCAACATGCTGTGGGCCCCCCGACATCCAGACAGCCAAATGAAGGGAATGGCTAAATATTTATCTGCCTAAAATATATTTATTTCTACAAATTTGATGTCTTTGTACACTTCATCTTATAACAAAGATAAACATGTCTGTTCTTGTTTTCATTTTCAACATATCAACAATTTGAACATTTAATATATAATATACACATTTTTAATTGAAGTATTTTTTGATAAAATTAAAAAGCACTTTGAAATTAAATAAATACGCACTATATGTAAAAATAAATAATTAGTGTACAAATAAGGAGTAATTAATTGTATTGTATACTTTCTTTAAAAAAAAAACCTCAAATATTAAATTTATTAAAATTTAAAAAATTATTACACCCGCCCGTAATACTCTGAAATACTCAATAAAATATAAAACTTCGTCTAAAAAGGCTAAGTGTATGGTTTTAGGTGTGCAATACGTTTACTTGGGTTATTAAAGTCAGTCCAAGAGGTGGACTTTAGGGGGTGTGAAATACATATTTTTCGACAAGTTACGTTTCTTGTTTACCTTTCGTAGGTAACTTTTCTGGTGCTGATGGGCGATGTCAGCGCAATCAATTAATTGCAACCCCATGAACTCTCCCCATGGATTGAAACGTTAGATTAAGGTTGAGTTACAGAAAATTAAGCAAAGTGGAGAGCTTCTTTACGACTTTTGTCCCCGTAGTGGCTATTCTGGGTAAAGATGAAATCATTTTTTTATATACTCATAAAGTATAAGTATATCTATATTTTTACTTGTTAGTAGTTTCCGAAATATATCTAGATTGAGCTGTTTTAGTAGAAGGTTTACATCAGTGGTCGGCAGTGGCCTATTCCAGGGGCATAGGAAACTTCTCTTCCCGAGCTCTGCCGCTCACACACAGTATAAACGTATGAAACGTCATGCTCTCAGCCTACTTTCTGATATTCGTTACAAATACTAATACATTAAAATTATATTAATGTATTGAGCGCCGACCACTGGTTTACAATCTAGTTGAAAAAATTCGTTACAGCTGTTTATGAATTGCATCTCTTGCCAATGCTCTATAATCAAGAGAGAGCCAAACAGCTGGACCAAACCAAACAGTATAATTCTTCTTTCTTTTAGATTTTTATTTCTATTTTGCTTGGAACGAATAAAACTCATATTACTATAAGATATCTAAAATAATGTCAATGTCATGTCCCCTGGTTCTACAAATGTATTGCAATAAAAAAATAATAATAATATACAAAAAGATAAAAGCTGGGTGTTTGATTTGTTGGTTGGTTGGTAATATTAATAAATTAACAAATACAAATTGAATTAGTATACTAAGGTTTTATAAGAGTTGTATAAATAATATTCTGTAAAAAGAAATAAATTTAATAAATAATTTCGTCAAAAGTGTTCCATTCCAGAATTTCAATTTTAACGAAAATGGAACACAACTGCGCAGATGTCAACCTTGTGTGAAAAATTTGTCAGAGTCAAGCGAAATTGGTATTATTGATAGCATGTTGTAAGGCGACTTGATTATTTTGTAGCTTAATGCAATTTTTTTATCGAACCGCAAAGTTGAATACGTGAGCAATATAAATAAAGCCGTGAAAGCAGTAGAGGGATATAAAAAAATTCGGCCGACATTGAAAAAATAGAACATTTTTTAAACATTTAATTTATATATTCTGTGGATATAATGATGACGGAAAAGCTATCTTCTGGGCGCACCAATCTAACAAGCAAAGGGTTCGTATATACATAGATATGTTTAATATAAGCATTTTATTTTATTTAATGCGAAAGTAATGAGAAATTAGCATTAAATATAGGAAACCGATACATTCTCAGGTGTATCCGTTTTCATAGTAATGCCGGATAACCAAACACTTCAAGCGCAAATTTTGGGAGAAATTGCCGATTTCTTTGTTTTCTAAACAGGTTTTCATAATCAAAAAACTATGCCCATGCTTTTTCTTTAGTGAATTTAAATAATTCCCTTTTTTAACTAAACGCAGTAACTTTAAATAAATATTCTTCTATATATATGTACATACATATAATTATGTACGTATGTAAGTAAGAACTATGTATGTACATACGTGTAAATGTACATACATATCTAGCTTCATGTGCACCTTACGCGTGGAAAATGTTTGAAATATGTAAATTGTTCGCTCCATTGTTAAAACAAATACAAAAAATAATTTTATTCAAAATGTGTTTACTTTTTTTTTGTTTTTTGCAGTATGTAACATAATTACATACAGTAAATTGTTAGGTCTTACTTGAAAAGACAAATTTATTTTATTGTAATAATTTTGGTAGTAATTTTCTGTATTTTTAACTTAATTTATAAACTAATGTAACGGGGGATCTACCATAACCTATTTCGGGTTCACCTGGCCATGTTATTTATACCGTTATACCTCTCCATGTGTCTGTTAGAATTATAAATGATCTTCAAATATCTGGAAACACAAGCGACGACGACATGGGCTGGAAGTCGAAGCTGAAGCTGCCGCCAAAGGATAACCGTTTCAAAACCACTGTAAGTTTATATTTCTCGGTTCAGTAAAAAATGTATTTACAAAAATAAAATATATAAGAGATAAATCATGAATAAAATCAATGAATTATTTTAGGATGTGACCGATACTCGCGGAAATGAGTTTGAGGAATTTTGCTTAAAAAGAGAACTGCTTATGGGTATTTTTGAGAAGGGTTGGGAGCGCCCTTCGCCGATTCAAGAAGCTGCTATTCCTATAGCTTTAAGTGGAAAGGATGTCTTGGCTAGAGCCAAGAACGGTACCGGAAAGACAGGAGCCTACTGTATCCCAGTTTTAGAACAAATAGACCCAACTAAGGACTACATCCAAGCATTAGTCATGGTTCCCACCCGAGAGTTGGCGTTACAAACTTCACAGATCTGCATTGAATTGGCAAAGCATCTTGATATCCGCGTGATGGTCACAACAGGAGGCACCATTCTAAAGGATGACATTCTTCGTATATATCAAAAAGGTAAAAACTTGAATATTTTAAATATTAATAGCCATAATTCGCCAATTCAAAAAAATATAACATTTTGTAATTTTAAATTTAATTTTAATTTTTACAGTACAATTAATTATCGCGACTCCTGGACGAATATTAGATTTGATGGATAAGAAAGTTGCTGATATGTCCCATTGCAGGATATTAGTTTTGGATGAGGCCGATAAACTTTTATCGCTTGATTTTCAAGGCATGCTGGATCATGTTATTTTAAAATTACCAAAGGATCCACAGATCTTGCTATTCTCTGCAACATTTCCACTGACTGTCAAGAATTTTATGGAGAAGCATATACGCGAGCCATACGAAATTAACCTGATGGAGGAGCTAACGCTTAAGGGAGTCACTCAGTACTATGCATTCGTACAAGAGCGCCAAAAAGTACATTGCTTGAACACATTGTTTTCTAAGTTGCAAATCAATCAGTCTATTATATTCTGCAATTCCACGCAACGTGTTGAGTTGTTAGCTAAAAAAATAACAGAACTTGGGTATTGTTGTTACTATATTCATGCAAAAATGGCTCAGGCGCATAGAAACCGAGTGTTCCACGATTTCCGGCAAGGGCTCTGCAGGAATCTGGTGTGCTCCGATCTGTTCACCCGAGGTATAGACGTACAAGCCGTCAATGTTGTCATCAACTTTGACTTTCCTCGAATGGCCGAGACATACTTGCATCGAATTGGTCGCTCCGGACGTTTTGGTCACTTGGGTAAGTTCCATTCCGCTCTCAGCAAGTAAAATAATCTAATTCTGGATTTTTTTTTTATAGGTATCGCTATTAATCTGATAACCTATGAAGATCGGTTTGACCTGCATCGGATTGAAAAGGAACTTGGCACCGAAATAAAGCCTATTCCCAAGGTCATTGACCCCGCCCTGTATGTAGCAAATGTTGGCGCTTCCGTAGGGGATACTTGCAACAACAGTGATCTTAATAATTCGGCAAATGAGGAAGGCAATGTGAGCAAATAAAGATTGAAGAAACTGTAATACTAGCTTCTGAAGTAGAGTTTGAACATGAAATCAATAAAACCGATGAAATATTTCAGAAAACAAAGGTATTAATAAAATAAATCCCTGGTTCACTTGGTCGATTTTTTGACTTTGTGGATTGGAAAGCAAATTACTGTCGTTTTTTTCTATGCAAGGGGGAATGAAATTAAAAAAATATATTTACAGGTATTTGGCAATGCATGAAAGAGGAAACTAGATATGCCTCGACTTCATTATAATTTAAATAAAATTTATTTATTAGCATCCAAAATGTAAGCTTTGCTTGTCATAGAATATTTACAATAAATGTACAATATTAAACAAATCATATACATATAGTCGATAACTTTTAAAACTTTACATATTAAATATTTTCGATGAGGAAGATGATGAGTCTGATTGATCAAAGTCAATTCTCGCATACGTATTTCCATCTTCAGCGCAGGTGGCAACTGGCGGAGATTCGCGCGAACCTCTTTTCAAATATTTCTGATCGCTGCAATTTGGAAGATCGAGTTTTGCGTAATGGAGCTCCGGTTGGGATGCCTGTGAGGATGGCCGTGATGGAAAATTTAAATCTTTTGTTTGCAGAATGTTGTCCAAAGTAGTGGGGACTACGTTTTGAAATGTGTTAGCTTTTGGATAGAAATTGCCTTTGGTGGCTGCGCTGGGGGATTTGTCGGGAATCATATTAGCACTTTCCGTTAATCTCTGTTGCCGTTCTAAATTGTCTATGAGGCTGTTTTTTTGGGCTATCTTCGATGAGATAAGGGAACTATCGCTTTTTATTTGTTGAATCTTGTAACCTACTTCGTTATTTTTCGTGAAATCATTCAATTTATCCTTAATTTGGGTATAATCTTCACTACTTAATGAATGAACCAGTTTCTTTTCGTCCGTGGTACCCAGATCCCAGTTATTATTCTCAATAATGAGCTTTTCGACATTATTTTTCTTATCGCCTTTAAGCTCGGGGATATTAGGTTTAATATTGGCAACGTTTGCAGATTCTATGTTAATTAGTTGTTCATTCAGTTGGGAATTAAGTGTTTTCTCTTCGATTCGCGTTTGCTCCTTTCGCTTTTCAGGGACAATATTATACGAACTGACTTTGTGCACATCATGAACCGGCATTTCGGTGTTGTCTTTTAGCTTGAGCTTTTCTATTTTGCTAGGAAGGGTGACTGGACTGGAACTAAACGCGTTTCCAACCGGTTTCATTTCAAGGTATCCACCCTCTGAACTGCTATCGGTATTATTAATTTTCACTCCATTAAAAATGTCTTTCTGACTGGTGGCATGTAACGTCAAATTGGAGCTATCGTTTCTATAACTTTTCGGGAACACATTTTCGATATTCTTGGGAACTTCCACCACATTTCTTTTCAATAGTTTCGAATTTGTAATTGCAGTTGCCCACGGTTTCAAGTCAGACGATTGAGAAAAGTCTATTTCCATTAAGTCGCTCATGCGATCCTGGTTTATTTGGTTTTTCAAACTCAAGAGCGGCGCACTTGTGGATTTCTTTTCCCTGTTTGTACTTGTGCCGCAGATGGGGCCTTCTCTTGAAATGTTGTTATGACTTCTGTTCGTGTCGAACTTATTATCCTCCACAAGAACAACTCGTTGCAAATCACATCGGGGAATTTTTGACTTAGAACCGACTGAGTAGGCACGTACACGATTCGAATTCTGTCCTGTATCATTTATATAGCCAAGTCGTCTATTTAGCTTTAAATGCTCCACTTTATTTCCTATCGAATATGCACGAATAGGTCGTCCATATCTGCAACAATATTAATAGTTTAATAAACTAAACGTAGTTCTGTACTTTAAGTGAACTTACTGATTATCGGAATCCAAGTCAAAGTCATTTTCCAGCTTTTCGGATGTGTGCTCCGGAAAGTTAATATGCAAATTTGGATCTTCGGGTTTTGGCAAATCCACCTTATCTTCAGGGCCCGCCTCGCAGAATGAGGGAGGTTTAATAGGTGTCATTGGTATATAGTTATCGTCTCCTTTTTAATAAAACAATAAATTATTATTATACCAATCCTTCGGCTTACAAACTTACCACTTGGTCCTGTGCCTTTGCAATATTCAGCACTGGAAAAGTCGTCAATGTTCTCTTCTGGAATAGCCCCTTTCGATGACCTAGTACTATCGAAAACGATACATTTTAGTTATGATTTCTGGCTATATGGGTTTAATGAAACTAACTTTAAACGATAATGGCCAAAACTTGCATTATCATCGGATTCATCGACACTAATTGACGACTCTTCAGATTCGGAGCATCTCAATGGCATGTTGAACGTTGGACTGTTGCTGTGCTTGCTAGTTGAATGTGGACGGATACCAGAAATGGTGTTGGATCTTAGTCCAAGATTTGATCCAAAGTATGATTGGTTAGAGCTCTCGCTCAGAGTTCCATTTCTGGTTGGTAAACTATCGCATCTCTCTCGCGGAAAGCCTTTAATGAAACAGTAATTTATGATTATTTTCTTATGGTTTTAGATAGTTTTTACTTACCATAATTGTGTGGCGAGCTACAGTTTCGCAATTCTAGAGAGTTTTGGCGATTTTGTATTACGTTAATTGGCTTTGAAGCTTCGTTTGCAGAAGATGATCGTTTTCTCATTGGTTCATGACTGATATCTGGTCGAGCTTGGTAAACATTTATTAAATTCGTGTTGGAATCTGTTTTAGCTGACATCGCGCTGTAAATAGATGAAGGGTTTTAACAAAAGGTACTTTTATAAAAAATAATTCAATACCTTAATATCGTATTGTGCATATTTGTAGCGATAGCTGCATTATCCGTTTCCATCCACAATTCCCCAGAACCTAAGACACTCTGGCGACCCAGTTCCATGTAGAAAATACATTGGGGAGAAGCATGTCCGCATCTGATGGGAAAAAATATATAGAAAATGATTGTTTATCAATGGGATTTAGTCTAAAAATATAATTTATTTACCGCCTAATGGTAGTCAAAAGAATTTCTATGCTGGATATTCGATCATCTCCATTAGCCGTCTTCTCCGGGCCAATGCATACAAATGTCAGCGATTTAGCAGAAAGGCAACAATGATAGGTTCCAGTAATTCCGACTTTTTCCGACATTCCTTTTTTTTGAATGATAACTTGCCAAACATGCTCTGCAATGAAGATTATCGTTATTATTAAAGTGAAATTCTATATAAAATAAAACGCATTTCAACTCACCATAGACTGAATACACTTGTCCATTAACATTGGCTATATTCCTCTGTAGGAATAGTAATTTATCTAACCATTTCCGTAAATCATTTTCGCTCTCAAGAACAATTCCGAATCCGCCTTCTCGTGAAGATAGCACAATGACAAATCTGTGCTTAGTGTCTAGACGACGGTTTATATTGAAGCAATCCTTCAAGTAGATAACTCTTTTTGGTTCTGATCTTTGCAAGAATTTCTTTTCACTGTCATAATACTCCAAACGCGCTTGGTTAGTACTAGTTTCTTCGTAGAGGACAAAGAATTTCTTTTTCATTGTTTTCAACTTTTTGTGATAGCCACTAAGGACCATACCGTCATCGGATATTGATGCCATGACTTCAAAATTTTCCTGCAAAATAAAACAATTTAATTATATTATTATAGATAATTATAGATTTATTTAAATAATAACAAAATATATTATTTTATTTGTTATTTGTTTTTATCAGTGCACTTTAGAAAAATAGTAAAACGCAAAATGTCGATTTTTTGGTTGGCCTAATTGTAGTTTCACCCGCCCAACCCCCCCTTAGCCGTTCATGGTAGTCTTTAAATCATCACAGACTGATGTAAATATTGACATTTCAGCGGCAATGTGTTCCATTGAAAATACGATACGTAGTGGGAAAGATGTGTGTGGGTTTTAGGTGTCCTTCTGTTGAAAACATCTTTTCACTTCACAGGAATACTAAAATAAATAACTTTTCACAACAAAACACACAACTGCAATTCAGGTTGACAAAAATCCTTTCCTTTCGAACATCAAAATACGCAATTACGTCGTTTGTCAAGAATTGTACTGCAGCTTTCTTGGCGACGGATTATAATCGCAGAGTTCCGACTCAAATAGTAAATAGTGGAATTCGTAATTAGCTTACTTATTTCAGTTTTTTCTGCGTAATGCATTGAGATAACAAACGTTAGATGCTCACTTCATTATACACATTCCTGCATACATACATACATACATACATATGTATGTATATATGTTTGTACATATTTTGTTTTATAGACGAGCATCATAAATATATATGTATGTATGTACAACTGAGGAATTCTAATACATCTTACATATGTATCTACGAGTTATTTCTCTCTCTATGTATGTACCTTGTACATACAAACATACATATGGCACTCTAGTGATATGATTTTCAAACGCACATGGATATGGACAATATTTTCCCAGCAGCTAACCAGGTAGCGCCTATTTTACCTAAGTATTTTGATGATTGCGACACAAGTATTTCCGATATCACTATTTACACACACTCCGCTTGATACATTTAGGATCTTTATTATTATTGTTCACCAACGCAATACTTTTTTTGTGGGCTTAGGTTACCGCACTGCCCGAGAATGGTATGCGATTATTTGACAACACTCTCTTGGAGTTTTATGCCAAGTCAAAGTAAATAGCGCCTTTGTGTATTACAGATTGGCGTTTGTTTTTTATGAAATCAATTAAATCTTGGTATTTGCTCGCGTTTTCTTGTTTAATGAACATATGAATATAGTTGTGTTTGGTTAGAGATGGGAGTTTCACCCTTGTCACGTTGTATTACAGATAAAAATATTATGGTCAATGTTATCGATAGTTCGCAAGTATCTTATGTTGCTCATATATACCATAATTTCAGATAGATTAACAATAAAAACAAAACAATCCCTTGTATACGATAGTATCTTTAACTTAAAACTATCTTAAAATTTTAAGATTTTATGCGCGAAAACATAATATAATAAAAACGCCATGTGTTGTGGATTGATTTTATTTTTTAATGGTTACTATATTTTTAAATACAATTTGAATATTTTATTTGTGGTAATAATTTAACAATACATGCCGCATTGTTGTTAAGCTTTAGT